CTTTTAAGTAAATTAACTATATATATATATATATACTTTAACTATTAGAGAATTTAATAATGATTATTAAAAATAAAATTTAGGTATTAGCTCTTATAGTATTAGTAGTTTAAAGTTAGTATTTTAGTAGAGTTTTAGATTACGAGCGGAATTATTTAGATATACTGTATGTAGACAGCTTAGGCAGGAAAGAGGTTTCTTCATACGGTTTTTCCTATACCTTATAGAAAGTGACTATATATAGAGGTACTAGATAGGCCTCCGGCCTAGTTAGTGTAATATAATCATCATCATCATCATCATCACCTTTCTCGGCCAGGTACCGCCGTTGTGGGGTTACGAAAGCTGACCGGGCCAATCTATGTTATTAGGTACCTAGGTACATAGGCACTCAACGTGGCTCTACCTACCTACCTAAGCAAAGGTAGGTAGTGACGTCTCCATCGTCCTTACCACAGGACACGCATCTTCTCCAACACCACTCCTTGATCGCACACATGACAAAGTGGCCAGTCTCCGCTCCCGGAACTGCACTATACACCCACAACATCAAGTCTTGCATTGCTCTCCTTCTTGCACATGGATCAGGCGATGGACGGTGCGAGGCTGCCCGTAGAGGCCTGGTTTTGGGAGACGCCTGTGTGCACGCGATGGTGGACGACAGCGACGCTGCTGGCCAGTGCCCTTGTCCAGTGCCGCATCGTCTCACCGTACCAACTCTTCTACAGCTACCGAGCTGTGTTTCATAGATCACAGGTATGGCTCTCCGAACTTCTCTTTACGGCGACCTGCCCTAACATCCTCTATAGTACTGGCGTCTTGTGACGTCCTTCCTCTACTTCGGCCCGTTTTCGATCAATTTGCTCTTCCACATCTACTTCCTCCAGCGATACTCGCGCCTTCTCGAAGAATCATCCGGTCGATCGCCTGCTCATTTCTCCTGGCTTTTGCTCTACGCAATGTTTAGCCTAATTATCATGTCCCCCCTCGTGTCTCTGCCTTTTCTCGGGCATCCGCTTTCTTCGACCCTCGTATATATCTGGTCCCGGAAAAACCCAGATACGCAGCTCAGCTTCTTGGGCGTTCTTGTTTTCACCGCTCCGTACTTACCGTGGGTGCTGATGGGCTTCAGCCTCATAATGCACGGAAATGTCCCCAAGGACGAAATTATGGGTGTTGTCATCGGACACATCTGGTACTTTTTCACAGATGTGTATCCTCCTCTTCATAACGACTCTCGGCCCTTGGATCCTCCTAGGTGGTGGCGGAGACTTTTCGAGGGCAGACCTGCGCGGCCCTCGACCGACGACGTTGATGAAATGATACACGCTGGTGTCCGCGATGCCCCAGTCCCCGAAGCTCGCTAGAACATGACGACATTTGGCATCTTAGGCGCAGCAGGAAAATGGATCGACTATGCGAGTGGACGTTAGCCTCCTGGAGGCGTCTTTGTGATGTGGCCTTCGGCAGGTGTTGTGGTGTCATGGTTGTGATTAGGCTTCTACTTAGGGCTCTGATCCGCCGCTACGCTAACTTTTCATTAGGTGCTTTTTGCTTGCGTCATGGCGTCTGTGACGGTCGTCAGTATATAGATCAAAAAAGTAGCTTCGCTTAGAGAACAAATTGAGATACCATTTTCGACCAGCCTGAATCGACCCAGTGATGGTGTTTACAAGGCTGCAATTTTTCTCTGTGACTTTCTGGCCACGGCAGAACACAAGCGTTGCATAGTCGCAGCTATGGCGACATGTTATAAACGCATGGCAATTGGTTTGGTTCGATCTCGGTTAGCTACCAAGCTACCTATGTATGGTGGGGAATGCATGCGGTTGGAGGGGCTTATGTAACTGGTGAGCCATCAAGAACGCCGCCCTCTGACGACATCGGCAGCAGAATTTACCCCTCCTCGTCACATCAGGACGATTTAAAATGAAAGCGTACATGTATGACAACCTGCCCGTGAGTACTGTGTGATGTCGAACCGCGCCCGCCGTCACTACTAACCTGCTATTGTAGGGCGACCAGCGACTGGCGCACGATTCTGGCAAGGCCGTCGACGCCGACGCACTGGGCAAGCTCGGTGTTCTATACTACCGCATATCTGAAATAGATGGGGTGAATGAGCTCGCAAATAAACGAGGCTATAAGAACCGTGATGAGATATTCGTCTCGCCGGAAAAGATGGGTCCAGTCTATGAGGAAAAGGTCAAGAACTTCTTCCACGAGCACCTCCACGAGGACGAGGAAATTCGATACATTCGTGGAGGTCAGGGCTACTTCGACGTGAGAAGTCAAGATGAGAGCTGGATCCGCATACACCTCGACAAAGATGATCTTATTATCCTGCCCGCCGGCATTTATCACAGATTTACAACTGACGAGTCCAATGTAAGTGGAATTATATATCGTGCGACTGAGTACCGCTAACATACAGTAGTATGTCCATGCCATGCGATTATTCAAGGACGAGCCAAAATGGACTCCATTGAACCGTGTTCCGGAACTAGACGATAACAAGTATCGCAAGGAGTATGTTAATGAGTTTCTCTCCCGATAGGAGTGAGCTGTTGGTCACGTCATCTCGGAACACATAACTATGAACAGAATTCAGCATTTTGAAATTATGAATACGAGACCAATGAATAGACCCTTGCCTCTTGCCTACGCATCATTGCCCTGGAGCATTCAACTCCTCGAGAGTGTAGCTCCTAAGAACTTTAAGAGAAATCAAGAATTGCTGTACTCAGCTAGCACTGCTGTGACAGCTGCCTACGCTGTCTGCTACCGTTACATTTTACCGCAAACATTCGATTTCATTTCATCGCTCTAAGCGGCTTGGCCTGAAGCACGGTGGGGCGCTAACCACATTAGCAGCGTCGCTAAATAACTCGGCAGTTCGCTTTTCTCAGCTACTGAATCATATCCCTTTCGGTTAAATAACCCCAGCCTTCCATAGCCAACCGTAGCGCAGCACCACACACTCTTGATGACATTCCCCGGGATCGGTCGCCGCTGCAGTCTGATACTGAGGCCAGACTTGTGCACGATTGAATTGACCTTGATAGTGCCGGCCACGAGCCATGGACGTGTCCGAGGATGGCAAGCCTCGCCTTCAACTGCCGGCCAGCTGTGAGCCGCCTCTAGGCAAAACCCATCCTCTCGTTTGGATTGTACGTCGATGAGCTTCGGGCAGGGGTAACCGCTAATGGGAACAGATTTTTGGCGGTACAGGGCACATGGGCCGTTCCCTCGTCAAATGCGCCTTATCCAAAGGCGACTATGTGGTATCGATTGGTAGAGTCTTTGAAACCACTCCTGAAGAGATGGATAACATACATGAGAATTGTCGTGGCGAGCTCTGTGATGTTCGATCGCGTGAATCGGTTTCGAAGGTGGTCAAGCGCGCCCTTGACCATTTTGGCCACGTGGACGTTGTCGCCAACTGCTCAGGCTATGGAGTCATTGGTTCATGCGAGGACCAGGATGAGCACGACCTTCGAAATCAGTTCGAGACCAACTTTATGGGGACGCTGCACATCATTAACGCAACGCTCCCTTACTTTAGACGGCAGAATAACGGCAGATATCTCATCTTTAGCTCGACGTCGGGCGCTCTCGGTGTTCCTGGACTGGGTCCGTATTGTGCGACCAAGTACGCTGTTGAGGGTCTCATTGAGGCGATGCTTTACGAGACGGACATTTTCAGCATCAAAGCAACCCTGATAGAACCAGGCTTTGTACGTCGCGACGAGCCCATGACCAATGATTCAGACAGCCCTTTGCCTAGTTTTGGTCATTTCTTTATCAAGCCGGCTAGCGAGGGCTATTCCGACGCTACATCCCCGGCTTTGCATGCCAAGCGAATGGTGCAGTGGCTTGGAGATCGACAACCAACAAGCGCAGTCAAATGCGCTGAGCTTGTATGGCAGCTCGCCCACTGCTCTTACCCGCCGCTCCGCCTGCTGCTGGGCAGCTATGCCATCGAGAGTATACGCGACAGAATGCGTTCTGTCACGGAAGAGTTGGAGGATTGGAAACATTTGAACTTTGCTTCTCCGACTGGCGAAAAGGATGAAGAAACCAAGGAAAATGCCATGGAAACCAGTTCTTGAAGTTTGAAACTGGCACATTCCCCTCCTTTGCAGGCAATCCCGGTTTTACGCCACGCGGTTGCCACTTCGTTTTACCAATCTCTTGTATATGTTTTTGTAAAACAGTCAGCGGAATTTCGAAAGAGACGTCAGAGTGTCTAATGGGGTGTCGCTCTTGCTTGAGCTTGCCAACCAACTTACATTGCCTGCTATGATAACGCTCAGTAGCGAATGTGACGAGGTATGTAGTCAGGCAGTGACGTCAAGACAACATTACCAATTTCTCCCATCACTAAAGAGAAATCGCGCGTCTTGAGGTAACGGCACGTTGGCGGTCGTCCCAATTTTCTGGTGGTATTCTTGTAGTCATTTAGGTATTTAGATCCTATTTTTTTTTTTTTTGGAAATTCTTCTGGTTTTAGAGACGGCATGCACGGGTTCCAACATGGGCATCTGCCTGGGCCCACTCGGCTTACCTACGTGCCTACCTACCTGCGCCAACGCCTGCTAAAAGAAGGTGATGTTGTTGACATTTGCCTGGTCCCTGAACTCGTCTATCCGCGCTCCACTCCCCAACCAAATTGCGGCGGTATGCAAGCTCGAAATTAACGTTTTTCCTCTCGAGTTTCCCATGTTGAGGAACATAACCCTTTCGTGCTTTGCACTTTGGATCTGAGCTTCTTCGCGTACAATGATCCCCTTGATCAACAAGCGTACGTCCTCGCTCCTCGTCACTCGCCCCTCGCCCCTCGCCCCTCGCCCCTGCCTGATGGCCATCTTGCATCGAAGCATCCATCCTTGTGCATGCCTAGCTGACTAGATCTTACAGCATTCGAAGCTCTATCGGGCATTGTTGGATCAAACCCCGATGAGCGTATGTATATACATTGGACTGAGGTCCACACAGAGTCTAACTGATTCGCAGTCAAGATCATCTTCTCCTTTCTGCTCTCCTACCCACTGGCTGGCCTTTTGAAGCGCATACCTGATGCAAAGCCGGCTTATAAGAATGTATTCATCATTGGGTAAGCTTTTCATTCCCGTATGCCGATACTCTGACGTCTCGCTCACATCACAGCACCTCCTTGTTCTACCTCGTTGGGCTCTTCGACCTGTGGAGCGGCCTTCGCACCATTGCCATCAGCTCTGTCGGTGCGTATTGCATTGCAAAATACCTGCAGAAAAGCCCATATATGCCATGGCTTGGTTTCCTCTTTCTGATGGCGCACATGTCCATCAGTCATATTCAGCGTCAGACTCGGAATGATCCATCCGCTATCGATATTACTGGCGCGCAAATGGTCCTCCTCATGAAACTGAGTGCCTTTTGCTGGAATCTTGCCGACGGTCAGCTTCCTGAGGATCAACTAACTGATTTCCAAAAAGAGCGCTCTTTGAAGGAGGTACCCGAACTACTGGACTATTGTGCGTACGTGATGTTCTTTCCCTCTCTTCTCGCCGGTCCTGCCTTTGACTATATCGATTATCAGCGATGGATCGACACGACCATGTTCGATATTCCTGCAGGTGTCGACCCATCCAAGAAGCCCCCGTCGCGAAAGAAGCGAAGGATTCCTCGTAGTGGGACGCCGGCTTTAATAAAGGCCCTCACTGGTCTCGTCTGGGTCGGCCTCTTCGTTCTCTTGGCTGGCTACTTTAATCATCAAGTCCTGATCTCGGACACATACATGCAGAAAGGCTTCCTCAATCGCGTCTTTATCATGTACGCGACTGGAGTCGTCACTCGTCTCAAATATTACGGCGTCTGGACCCTGACTGAAGGGGCCTGCATACTTGCTGGCCTCGGATATAATGGTGTTGACTCCGTCACTGGCAAGGTTTCGTGGAACCGTCTACAGAACATTGATCCCATCGGTGTGGAGACGGCACAAAATCCGCGAGCCTATCTCGGTGGCTGGAACATGAACACGAATCACTGGCTGCGCAATTACGTATACCTTCGTGTTACCCCCCGAGGCAAGAAGCCCGGCTTTCGAGCTAGCATGATCACCTTTGCTACCAGTGCTCTTTGGCACGGCTTCTACCCCGGCTACTATCTCACTTTCATTCTTGCGAGCTTGATACAGACTGCAGCCAAGAGTCAGTCCTTGCGCTATTGTTATTCACACAAACTTTTGACTGACAATCTCAGACTTCCGACGCCATGTTCGGCCATTCTTCTTGGAGGCAAACACGGGAGAGCCGACTAAGAACAAGAAGTACTATGACCTTGCCAGTTTCTTCATCACACAGGTGACCTTTTCATTTGCTACCATGCCGTTCCTAGTGCTCAGCTTCAGAGGATCTCTCTTGGCATGGTCTCGCGTCTACTTCTACGCCCTCGTTTGGACCCTTACTTCGCTGGCCTTCTTTGCCTCCCCAGGCAAGACTCTCCTAAAAAAGCAGCTTGAGAAGCGACAAGGAAAGGCCAACGCGAAGCTTGTCCGGTCCCTCAGCACTGATAGTCTCACGGGCAACCACCCGATTCTCGGTATCTCCAAAGACCCCGAGAGAGATATTTCTGAAGCCATGGAAGAGATTCGTATCGAGGTTGAGGCGCTTCAGAAGAAAACTTCCTGAGCACCGGCGAAGGGAAGCCGAACCTGCCCCACCACCCAAAGAAGCATTAAGTACACGATCCACCATAATCCATTGCGATTTACAAGATGGACGGTAGAGACAGTCATGGCGAAGTATAAGTGACTTCAAAAAAGGGCAAGATGCATTCATCTTATTTACATTGTCTAAATTTTGGAAGGACACAAGAATAAAATGACGTGATATTTATATCGTAGAAACATTAAGTATCGTTTGTCGTAAGGCAAGGAGAGCGAGCCCGATGAGTGGGTTGGCTGTTTCCCTTTTCGTCCGACATTATATAATTCAACAAATGACAAGACTTTGCTGGCTGTCTGGCTGCACCGACAGCCTAGCGCGTCTTTGTCTGGAAGAGAGGAAATTGCTTTTGTGTATGCATTTGAGAACGTTTTCGAAATCGTGTATCGTGCTGAATTCGAACGTAGTATGAATTGTGTAAGGAAACATTGTAAACAATAAAGTAATTGCTGAAAGAAGGGATTGTTGAGTTGACGCCGAGAATTTTCAATATCGTAAAGTATCGTGCATCGTACAAATCAGTGCAATTCGTATACAGGCGTCATGTAGAAAGGTCAAACTGTGTGCCGAAGAAGAAAAGTGTAGCTTTGTGAAAGTATTGAATCGGAAGGCGTTAGAGCCGGAACGCTCCGTTCATGGTGAGATTCCATTGACTCTTGTCACCTCCACCGCTGCTGAACGCCAAGGGCAATTAGAACTGCGAATGCCCCAATGATTAAAAGGCCAATCACGGCCATGGCCCGGTTGAGATCTCTCCACCACTTTGCGCGATTGAAGAGAGCAATTTCCTTAGCAAGCTGAGACGGGCTTGCGCCGTTATCTTCTGCGAGGTCAATGTGGCTAGTACTTTGGAGATTCTTTTCCTCAAGATGCCGATTGGTGGGAAGCGGTATGAACGCGGCAATCATCCATGCTGTTGTCACATGTTAGTTCGCCTTGTCGCACTAGCCTGGAGAAGACAGATCAGAGCAGTACTCACCAATTGGAAAGAGAAATCCAGACATGAAAAGCATCACTTGGACATTTCGCCGCGCAGTGATGCAACCTTCTACTGATATAGCGCCAGCAGGGGGGTCCCAGATTCCGTATGCGCTTGCCCTGTTGTCTCGTCGCAGATGTGGCGACCACAAACTCGACGTCTGCTTCTTTAGTGTTCGCGCCCAATTCAGGTCAGGTTGGGAACTCCTGACAGTGATGGGCTGTCCACCATCATCAGTTGGGGGAGCTTCCAGATGGTGCAGTGAAGCGGTTCTGATTCCCTCAAAGCTGTGGGAGTGCCTCGGAGCTGAGGTACCCATCTGATTGTCCCTATGTATAGAGCAAATGGAATCATGGGAAGCTTGATGAGTGAGAAAACGACGTTCACCACTGCCATAGTACAACCTTGAAAATGATGGTTAGCTTTGTCAAAGGTCCTGGATCGGCTTTCTACAGACTTACCTTGCCCATGCTGGTATCGCCCAGTTAGTTGCTCTGGCGCTTGCAGAAGACCATAGCTTGCGATCTGATATGTAGTTGGGCGTCAAGCCAGGGAAAACGCCTCTTTTTGAGGGCCGACGAGTCAAGAGATCGCGCAAATCCGTCAAACCATCACCATGTTCATCTTGATGTCCGACGAGGCGATAGCTTGAATTGGATTCCATTTCTCCTCCTTTTGCAAAAGTGGCATGCGGCCGGTAGAGTGTCTCGCATGTCGGCGTGAAATGTCGTGTGAAAGAACATTCGCCAGCTTTTTGATCAGTAAGGGAGACTTCGGGGCTGATTCGGCTCGTGCTAGCTTCAGTAACAAACGGCGACATGAATATGGAACGACATTCCTTTTCTCTCTCGCTCTCTGGAAAAACAGTGGATAGAGGTGGTTGTGACTGACACTGGTGGGCTCCGGGTGTAACTGTGGAAGATCCGGCTTGTGAAGGCGCTCTGGCGTTGCGAGATCTCGGAGGATATATTCTGGATCCGAATAGGGCTCGTGCAGCGTCAGGCTTCATCACAGCGGACCAGGTCGCGAGAAATCTGGGTGACGACCGGCCCTGTGAGAGCTTGACAGAGACAGACTTGTCGGTAAAGAGCTTCCTTGCGGGGTTGAGAGGCGCCACGATCAAACTCTCCCTCGAGTATTCGGATTTAAGCCTTGATGCAGGGGTACCGGCGACTGGCGGAGATGGTGCACCATCGAGCTTCACGTAATTGGGTTCACTTTCCTCGGTTCTTGGGCGCGACTGAGTACTCAGAGAATAGTCGGAGGAGCCAGAATCGCCGAGAATTCGATAGTTTTGGTCACTTGATGGTAATAAGAGGATGGACTCTAACGACGGCTGAGCATGAACGTTGGGCTTCGTAGACAGCGTTTTCTCAATGGTTCTGACGTTTAGAGAGCACAAACTGGCCGGACTTTCTGAGTAGGAGCTGGGCAGTGGTTTTCGCGGTATGAGCATTGAGGTTGCGCGCGCAAAGCTCCTGGTAGTGCCCGGCGGCGGCAGATGCGCCTTGCTTGGGGTGGCGATGGGTGAGAATGACTGATCCAGGTCTGACGCGGGGGTTTGCTGGTATACCTTGCGTAGTCCGCCGACAAATTCATAGTTCCATGGTGAGGATGTGCTCGCGACTTTGTTTGCGGTTGGCCGGGGCGGCGTCTTGTCGTCTGGCGATGTTGGTGCGGATTCCTGCTGCTGCAATGCCAGAATTGAGCTACGTCTACCGTGACTAAATGTGACGGACGAATTTCTGCCAAATGTGCTGGGGAGCGTCGAATCCAAGGCCGAGCTCGAGTATTGCGAGCTAGATTCACACTCGACTTGTGGCAGGAGTGAGAAGGTTTTGTCAGCATGGACATTGACGAGGTGCTTGAGACGGCGATTCGAAGAGGATGTAGATGGCCGCCGAGGCGTACTGGCTCTGCGTCCGTACGTGTCTTGGTAAGGAGACCTCGAGTATTGCCCCAGTGGCGATATTGGACTTGACAAAACCGGGCTTGAGTCAGCAGGCTGCCGCTGTGTCTGCGGCGTGTCGCTTTGATAAACTTGCACATTCGCCTGTGGTAGTTCAGATGATGAGCTGCAGCTGCCTATATCCAGCTGCGTTGCTGTCGAGTAATCTAAGCTGAGGCGAGGGGGACTGTACGGTACAACTCGAATTTGCAGGTTGTTCTGTAAGTTGGTGCGGTCCTGCAAAGGCAGCCGTGGGGTTGACATGGCTGAGCGCTCTTAGGCGGTTGCTAACGTGCTTTTCAGACCCATTGCCCGGTGTTATGGCCGCAGATTGTGAGTTTTCTTTTCAAAGTCGGTTCCAGCTCCTGATTCCAAGGCCAGAATAGTAAACTTTCACTCTGCTGTGTAGTAGCGGTGACTGGCGCGAGTGGCTGTAATTGGCATGTATGGCCGTTGCTATGTTGTGTGAATAGACAAACTCTTTGAAGATTCGACGTTGTTGTCGCTGAATTAGGCTGGCGAATTAAGAAGCAGATATGCGACCAATTGGAGCATTGAGTGGTGAATGTGGTACGGGCGTGGTGTCAAGACACAAAATTAAGGAATAAGAGGGCCGTGATGAAGATGAAGATGAACGATCGTGTAGACTGAAACAGAATTACATATATGGTGCGCGAGGAGAAAACAAACAATTGAACGAATGACTGAATGAATGAATGACTGAAGAGGAAGTAGCGAAATAATGAAAGGATGAGTTTTGCTGGCTGAGGAGGAGAGAGGCCTGGCACAAGACGCAGCGCTGGCCATGTGTGCACCGGCCGGGGCGCGACCAAGCCACAGGATGAGCCGGGGTATGACATGACAGAGACGGTATTACTGCCAACTGGACAAGGAAAACTCCACTGGCCATGGAGGCAGGGCCACATTGTCTCCGACATGCAGATGATGCAGGTCCAGTGCCGCCCAGGCCGGCCAAGTCAGTCAGGGGAATAGGTACCTTCGAGCGCAGAGGCTGCAGCTAGTGGCCCAAGTGGCCGTGGCGGCGAAGTTTAATAACATGCTGCAGCCGGAGCCACTCCAGCTCCATTCGGCACTGCCATCTATTGGGCAGGCCGAGGAAACATGTCGCGCCAGATTGTGCCGAGTTGTTTCTTCGCAGCTTCTTGCGGTGAGCGTGCGAGACGGGGGGCTTGCAGGAGCTCATCTCGTGTTTGTGGTGCTGCTTTGTTTTTTTTTGCTAGCGCTCTGTAACATATTATAAATACAGATTACCCGTACTGCTTGCTGTTTTGCTCTGCGATATCAGCCATGACGTTTGGGCGTTGATATGGCTGCTGTTAGCTCATAACTCAGATTCTGTCCAGGCAGGTCTCTTGGCCGTCGCTGTGATACCCGCCAGATTGGTACCGGGTGTGTGTGATGTGGTGCGACCGCTCTGATGGATGGCCCTGCATATTAACAGTAGTAAACTGTATGTATCAGCTGATCTCTTGCTGTGACCGTCCTCTTTGATGCTGCCATGATGCACTCAATGTCTATCTGAACTGCCAACTGACCGATGCTTTGTGCTGGTGGTCATGTGCTTGCTGCGACCACCCGTGAAACTGGCAGAGCGGCAGGGACAGCCAACGCTGGTACCTACAGGAACGGCCGAGTAACGTTCTCGACTGAACAAATATATACCACTGGTTGGATACACTTGCGTCCACCAGTTATTCGTACGCATCTGAGTACTGGCGGGATCCAGAATGGATAATCACGTACGAATCAAGAGTACTCAAAACAGTGTGCACTCGCTGCCATGCAGCCATCGAATCGCAGCTCTAGTCGCAGCCACAGAAACCATCGCAAGAACGACTGGACAGGTCGCATCTAGAATTCAAACACGCACGCTACCTGGCGCACGCAACACCCGACATGTAGAGGCCCCGATCAGAAACAAATTTCGGCACAAGCAAACTGCAGCATGCTACAGCCGGCGCCTGCCACCAGCTCCAAGCGCTTCATGAAACAAATCCACGCTGTCGTGGCCTAAGGCGAAGGCGGACTAACTCTAGCAGTTAGTGTAGTAGTGCACCCAAGCTAATGCAGCGCTATGCACTGCACATCTGCGACCTGCATGATTATGAAATTGCTAGATTAGGGCCCACTGCACGAGGTAATTTTAGCATTCGGCGCGTTTTCGTGTACCAACCGACGCGTCGCACCCACTCCGAAACCTGAACGCACCTCAGCGCAGCAGCTTGGCTTGAAAGTGTGCGCGCTTGTATTTACTTGTAAATAAAGAGTTGAGTAATAAGCATTGTTGTTATGCCAAGGAAAACAAAATACCTAGACGGAAACGAAAAATAGACGATGCCAGAAATGGCAACCACACCGCGCGCTGTCCACGAGGCAACGTACCTTCCCACCATCTAAAAGCGTACAGCCATGCCATCAAAAGCTGGCTGCGAAACCTATGATTGAACATCTAATGATTCCTGACAATGAACATCGCATCGCTCATAATCCATGATTACTGATAAAGACAAGACACGTAAATCGACCCAAGTCCAGGCACTTTGAACTTTGACCCAAGCCCCACACCACGCCAAACCAGCGGCGGAAAGCTCAACCACGGCGCTGAGTCGCCCAACGACCCCTACTACCCAGTGATCGGGGCTCGACTGCTATCAACCACCCTCCCTGCTCATGCCGGGCCGGATGGGTCGACGTACGAATAGTCCACTAGGTATACGGACATGGCCATCATGGAAACCACAGCGGCTGCTCCAACCGCCAAGCTAAGCATCCTCCAGGCCTCCGGGCTGATGGTACGTCGTTCGCAGACCTCGCCGTGCTGAGCCTCCGCCCGCCCATGCAAAAGCAAACCGCTGCAATTTCTGATACTGACACATACCAACAGCTGGCGTATTCCATCATTTATGTGCTGCCGCTTTACGCATCAGATACGACAAGGCCCTCTCCGTCACGCTCCAGAGATGATCCTGCTACAATCCGTGCTCGTGTGCGAGCCGTGACGCTCTCCACCACAGCTTGCTCCGTCGTCACCCTCATCACAGCATACCGCTTGTCCCAACTGCACCCCGCCGTTTACTTGATGGGCTACTGGCCTATCCGTCTGGTCGAATCCGCCAAGGTCCTGCTTCTAACGGCCATCCTCTTCGCTGCCCCTCTCTACGAGAGCCTTTTCATTGAGGGTGGCTGGCACCATATATTACCAGGCTTACAACGCCTCTGGCAGAGTTGGCCAGAGTGGCGAAACATCGTCGCTGTAGGCTACACGCTAACTGCACTTGAAATGATGCATTGGCTAATGTGCTACAGGGACCTGTTACCGAAGAATGTCTCTTTCGCTCTGCCGTAGTTCCGCTCCTGGTATTAGCCCAGGCTAGCCCTTCTTCCATCATATTCCTGTCGCCTCTTCTATTTGGCTGTGCTCACGTTCACCATTTCTACGAGTTCCGTCTCACCAACCCTGGAGTTCCCATCTATGCGGCAGTAGCGCGTACCATTATCCAGCTGGCATATACATCCCTATTCGGAGCATACGTCACGTTCCTCTTCCTCCAAACCGGGTCACTTTTGGCTGTAGTGCTCGTACACGCTTTCTGCAACTCACTCGGCCTCCCGCGTGTCTGGGGGTACATGGAACCATACTGGCTACCAGTCAACACAAGCAAAGGCACGCTTTTGAAGTGGACGATTCCATACTATGTCTTCCTAGTAGGGGGCCTAATTTGCTGGTGGCAAAATATGTACTTGCTCACGAACTCTCATTTTGGGCTCCTCAAGTAAATAGCGTCTTGATTACTGTCCAGAGTGCAAAACAAAACGGGGACACGTCATCAGAAACACAATTAGCAACGGCAGCATAACTATGGAGTAGTCAAGTTATGAAAATGACGCATTGCCCTTTTTCGACTCGTATCAAAAGCTTGAACTAAACACGTCCCTGCTTTTTCTACGAGACAGCTGAAAGATGTGAACAACGGAGTATAAATTTCAAGGTATACGGCAATGCCGTCATGATCGCGCATCTAGTCTTATCCCAGGTAGTGAACCCGGCATAGCAAGATCACCCTCGTCTCGCCATGACCGTCTCTGGCGCATAGAAGCCGCATCACGTAGCTCCGCATCGCCAAATGAGTCCCTGCTGCGCATATCTTCGCGGTATTCGCGCTCAGCGTCCTTGCCCTTCGCGCGGCCAATGGAACCCGAACCCTCGCCCATCGCATCATCCGGGCCTCGCGTGTTCTTCTTGCGCGGCCAAAGACTAGGAAGAGCAATTTCTTGAAACCGCGGCTCTACAGCCCGCTCATCAAACCACTTATGGAGCCTGGCCTCGACGAGCTGTGCAATCTTGGGTACGTCTTGCAGTCGAGACCGGCTTCCCAGAAGGCTCCTGACAGAAAAGTCCAGTCGGTAGTCGTCCAGAAAGTTGAACGACATCATGGCTGGAGTAGCTTGAGACGGGTTGCTAGGAATAAACGATATCGACAGAGTGCCGCTGAACCTAACGACCGACACGGCAAGAGCAACAGGCAGAATTGCCGAAAGCTTTTTGGGATAATTCAGGAGAAGCTTAGTCTCTACCGCCAAAGTGAGCATATCACTCAAGTCGACGTCCATTCGCGCCTGAAGACGTGTGCCGTCACGCGCTGCGGTGGCAGGATCAAAACGTATCCCTGCGCCCAAGCTGATACCATCCTCGTCGACGGGAATTATGCGGCAGTTGCTAAAAATGGGAAAATCTTCGCCCAAGCTTAGCTCAGTCACACGTATCTCGTCGAGAAAATCTGGTCGCGAAGTGCCATTGAGCGCCTTTGTCAGGGAGTTGAGAATGGCGTCGTCATGCTGGGCATCGCTACGGAATTGGGCAATCGTCTGGCCAACCAAGACATTGAACCAATCCAGACTCTCTGGCTGGTGGCTATCGACATTATAGTACGTCTTGCTGAGAATTGAGCCAATCGTCAGGGCTGGTGGATTGCGGAGGACTGTTGATTTTTTGCGATTCAAGGCCTGACCAACACGATGGCCCTGAGATCTTAGCGTGAGTAGAGATTGCTTGTGTGCCAGAGTCCTGGAGCGGCGCTCAGTTGCACGTAAAGAGGCCGTGACATCCGATGAAGGAGGATCCCCGAATATGAAAAACTTTATAAAAGCAGCAAGTATCACAACAACGGATATCTGCCCGACGATGAATCCCTGGGTAAAGGAGAGTCTGTGGTACGTGTCAGCCAAGTGACTCGGCGTAAACAGGCTCGCAGAGGTTCCTCACGTGGGCTCTGACCGGGCAGGGCAAATATTTGTCGACATTTCAGCGCCTGCGCCCCTGTCCTGGGCTTCCAGATGTCCTTCCGACTGCCTTGTCCAGGCGTGTGTAAAATGGTAGAGGTAAGAGCTTAGCGACCCAGAGACACCGCCCCGCTGGACGTTTCTCACCAATAACCTATCCGTACCTACAAGCTCCTTCTGCGATGCGTTGGAGGTGATTATGGCAAATCGACAGTCGTTGTGTTCATGCCCCACCAAACGGAAGATTGACACCTAGAAGAAGGTACTGACAGGAAAATCAAAGACTTTGAAACTTTACCAGATCAAAAGCAGGCCTCGGCTGATGTGAACGACAAGTTCGCCAGGGTCTACCAGTGGTGTATGCATCGACCGGGACTAATTCAATTAGCGGGTGCCAACCTGATGTAGCGCGGACAGCTTCGGCCTTGTCACTCTTGAGCTTCATCAGCCTAGGTCTGAGCTAGCACATGTGACAAACCCTTTTCGACCGAGTCGCCCAACCTACATGCGAGTGTCCAGTACTATACAAGTCCAAAGGAAAGCTTTCAGAAGCTGCTTGAGCATCAAAACGGCACGGTAGACCCTCATTCACGATGGACGTTTCCCAGGCCATCTCGGGCTACATCTCCAAGATCGTGATGCCCACGGGAGAGACATTGTCGTCCAAAATGAAAATTTTACTTTTGGATAGAGATACCGTCCCGATTGTATCCACGGCAATTACGCAGTCGAGTCTTCTCAACCATGAGGTCTATTTGATTGATCGCCTGGATAATACTGCGAGAGAGAAGATGAGACATCTGCGCTGCCTCTGCCTCGTGCGACCCTCACCAGAAACTATACAGCTTTTGATCGATGAGCTAAGGGATCCCAAATATGGCGACTACCAGCTTTATTTTACCAATGTGGCCAAAAAGTCCTCGCTCGAGCGACTGGCTGAGGCAGATGATCATGAGATTGTCAAGGTTGTCCAGGAGCACTTTGCAGACTATATGGTCGTAAATTCAGATTTATTCAGCCTCGAAATTATGCTGCCAAGATGGCATATATTTGCTGGCAGCCCTGATATCTGGAACGCCGACTCCCTCCAACGCTGTGCGGAAGGATTAGTCGCTGTTTTGTTATCGCTCAAGAAGAAGCCCCTCATTCGATTCTCCAAGAGCAGCTTGATGGCAAAGAAGCTCGCTTCCGAGGTTCGATATCTGATGACTCAAGAGGAACAACTGTTTGATTTTCGAAAAGTTGACACGCCACCAATTCTGCTGGTGCTCGATCGTCGCGAGGACCCCGTCACCCCACTCCTAACACAATGGACCTATCAGGCCATGGTCAATCATCTTCTCGGTATTCAAAACGGCCGCGTGAACCTCGAGAATGTGCCGGATATCCGACCAGAGCTGCGAGAAATTGTTCTATCCCAAGACCAGGACCCTTTCTTCAAAAAGAACATGTTTCTCAACTTTGGTGACCTTGGAAGCACGATCAAGGAATACGTGGAGCAATACCAATCAAAGACAAAGAACAACGCCGACATTGACTCTATTGCTGATATGAAGCGCTTCATCGAGGAATATCCCGAATTTCGAAAGTTATCTGGCAACGTCAGCAAACATGTCACCCTCGTCTCCGAACTGAGTAGACGTGTCGCAGCCGAAAATCTGCTAGAAGTCAGCGAGTTAGAGCAAAGTCTCGCATGCAATGATAATCATAACAACGATCTGCGAGTATGTATCTGTACTGATCCAGTCATTGAAAAGAAGCTGACGAGGGAAACAGTCAATACAAACGCTGCTGCAAAATCCACAAGTCACAGCTGACAGCAAAGTTGCGCTAGTGACTTTGTATGCTCTGCGCTATCAAAAACAGCCTTCCAACTCTTTGCCGATGCTGACCGATCTTCTCGTTGCAGCTGGTAATGTGCCACCGCGCCAGGCCTCCATGGTAGGCAAGGTGCTTGCTTATCACACATCTCTGCACGCTTCACAAGGACAGGGTAGCATCTCTGATATATTCGAATCGGGGGGGATCTTTTCTGGTGCGTCTAACCGTTTCAAGGGCCTCAAGGGCGTGGAAAATGTTTATACACAACACACGACACTACTAGAAACCACACTTCAAAATCTTGTCAAAGGCCGCTTAAAGGAGCAACAATACCCATTTGTTGACGCAGGAGGAACGACTAGAGATAAGCCTCAGGACATTATAGTCTTTATGGTTGGTGGTGCAACATATGAAGAAGCAAAGATGATTGCGGGCATCAATGCCACAACACCTGGCATTCGCGTTGTTTTGGGAGGAACCTCTATTCACAACACCAGTACATTCATGAAAGAAGTAGACGATGCAGTCAGCTCTTGGCCCGATGCTCGAAGCCAACGATGAAGAAGCGCGATTGATTGGTAGCGCGGCATACGCAAGGATGACGATAATTCCGCCAAGAACCATTTATATAGACTAAAACTTAACGGATCTCTTTCATGGATGTATTCTAGCCCCTTTATAGAATTTTATTCAGGCAATCAGAATTTCTTTCTTTTTTTCCCATGCCTGCCGACACTGGCTTGGTTGCGTGAGGCGAATAGCCTTGCACTTTCGCAAAACTTTGTCTGAAAGTATAATATCATTTCTTTTTTGCTTTCAACACTGATGAGCCGCGCCAGTGCCCGCGAAATCACGGCGGAGCGTTATCGGAACGTGCGCCACTTGAGGTGTCGCGATTCCTTCGTCGGATTCCAAAAGAAAAAAAATTAAAGAGCACTAAATCAAAATTCTCTCTATTTTGCTTTCAAAGAATTCGAATGCTTAAACAGGTAACTTTTCGGGCAGCCGTACCCATTTGTAACAATGAACAGGACACTGTGAAAAAGAGGAGATGGAAATGCAAATTGACTTGCTGCCAGTAAGCTGCCAGAATTACCCATCTACCTGATGCCGCGGCTATGTATTCGACATTTGTGTTGTTGAGTTGAGTATGCAGCCAACAATCATCTGATCACTATTACCTAGGTTGTACAACATAAACTGCCTTTGCTGCATAACCGGATGGAGTGGCGGCGCCCCTGCTACCGGGCTGCTACCGGTGTCGGCCTGAGGGCCGGCGCGGCTGTTCTCGGTTCAGGAGCTCCTCAGCTCTCGCACTAAGTGGACGGCTAACGACCAAACGCATGTGCTGAATAGTAATTACATTGGCCGATTAGTTAATGCGTAGAAAACAGGCAAAAAAAATACACCTTTTCCTGGCCCCAGGCACTACCTAATTAATGATTACAGCGGAAAAAGCTGCCCAGAAGCTCCACCCGCACCCTCCGGTGTACCGGCAAATTGTCTCGCCCAATTTTTTTCCCCTTCCCCCCAGATCAATCGCGCTCTTGTGCTTTCTTTTAGCAGTTCAATTGTCCCAAATCTTCTGGTCGAGCGTGACCAGGTCTTTCTTGATTGGCTCTTTTACTTTTATGGTCTTCTATTCTGCCCGTTAATCCTTTCTCTTTTCTTCTTCTTTTTGCTTGTACCGAAAAGATGGCTGCTGAAACCGAGACGGCAGCGGCTCAAGGCAGATCAGGTAACCATCTTGGCCACCATGCCTGCACTTTGCTATTGTCCATCCCGAGCTAACTTTGTGCAGTTGATGTCGTTAATGATGTAAATGCTGACCTTGAAGCTTCCAATGACGTCGAGAACGGCGCTGGAGCTGAGGGTAAGTCTGTCGCGTGCTCTTGTAGAGTCTCGCCTTACTTACACTCAAACAGCTCTCCTCAACGTCACGATTGTGCTACCCGGCTCGAAGCCTTCTAAGGTGCAAATAATGGTAAATACTACTCCTTTCTGTGCTTTCAATGGGCTGATACTAACACGCGAAACGACAGGTGTCATCTCAGGAGCAGGTCCACGAAGTTCGACAGTCTATCATTGATCTTCCCGCCGCATTCCGATACACCTGCTTCCACCTGGAATTCAAGGGCAAAAAGGTTCAGGACTTCATAACAATTGGCGAAATTCCTGAAATTGGACCCGACCCAGAGTTCCACCTCGTCGAAGACCCCTATACCGAAAAGGAGGCGCGCATTCACCTCGTTCGAATTCGCGAGCTCATTGGCGCTGCCGGCAACCGAGTTGATACTACCCAGGGTGTACTAGCTGGTACCTCTCTTTTCGAGACTGCGAGCGCGGGCACTCAACAGTCCGGTGAAGACCCCAAAGAGCAGTCCAAAGGGCAGACTCAACAAGAACAGTACGATTTTCAAGGGATCCCTCCTCTAGTCAGCCTTGTTGCGGAACAGACAACTACCGCCCCTAAGACTGTCAAAACCATCGCCTTATCGACCTGGAACCCTCCTCCTTGTTACCTGAGACAGCGTGGCCACCTTCTTTACCTCGTCGTGACGACAAACGAAGGTGAGCAGTTCCAGGTCACTGCGCACGTGTCTGGCTTCTACGTCAACAAGTCATCCAACGCAAAGTTCGACCCATCGCCGCGTGCAGCACCCAAGGGCCAGGCTGCGCACTCACTCCTGGAGCTAATCGATCTCATCTCGCCATCTTTTGGCGAGACCTTCCAGCAGCTACAGGAATACAACAATAGCAAGGATCCTCTTTCCACCTTTCAGCTCACTAACGCAATTCCGGCTGCTCCCTGGGTGGTCCCCTCGCCAAACTCGGCTCTCTGTACTCATGAGCCGGACGCCACACGGCCCCAGGAGACTTACCTCCTCGCCGGAGTCGATAACACCGACACCCTGCGAGACTGGAACGAAGAATTTCAGTCCGCCAAGGAGCTTCCCAAGGAAACGGTCCAGGATCGAGTATTCCGCGAGCGACTCATCTCGAAGCTCTTTGCTGACTACAATGATGCTGCTACCAAGGGCGCTGTCATGGTTGCTCGTGGCGAAATTGCACCTCTCAATCCAACAGAATGCGTCGACGCTCAGATTTTCGTTTACAACAATATTTTCTTCTCTTTCGGGGCTGATGGCGTTGGTACATTCACCTCTGAGGGAGGTGACGAGGCTGCTCGGGTTGCCACCGGCAAGGACGTTGCTGGTGTACATTTGGTGAACCAACTTGACATCGATGGCCTATTCACACCCGCCACTGTTGTTGTCGACTATCTTGGGAAGCGTATCGTTGGTCAGAGTATTGTACCTGGAATCTTCAAGCAGCGAGAACCTGGCGAGAACCAGATCGACTACGGCGCAGTTGATGGGAAAGATGTTGTTGCCGCTGATGAGCGCTTCGTCGGCCCATTCAGCAAGCTGTCAAGGGCGTTGAAGGTGAAACCTCACGCTGTATGGGATAAGGACGGGAAGAAATTCGAGTTGGAAGCCAGTGTTGAGACGAAGGGTCTGATGGGCACCGATGGTCGCAAATATATCCTTGACCTGTACAGAATCACACCATTCGATATCCCTTGGTTGGAAGAAAAGGCGAAAGACACTGAAGAGGACTCTGCCACCAGCTATCCTCATCGCATGACCGTGCTCCGACCTGAGCTAGTCGATTCTTTCGGCCGCCTCCGCATGAAGCAATGGATCGATAGGGAAGTTGTAGAGCACGCCAAAGAGACTGCTAGCAAGGAAGAGGATGACGAGAAGGAACCCGGGGACGCCAAGAAGAAGGATTCCTGGCAGCCTGATCTGTCCAAGTTCAAGTTCTCTCTTAACCCGGATGTCTTCAGTGGACAAGTACCACAGACTCCCGAAGAGACCGCGGAACTGGAAGCTGATGAGAAGGAGGTGCGAGCTGCTTGCACATACTTGCGAGAACAGGTCATTCCGGGCCTGCTTCGCGAGCTGTCTGATTCAGATGTTAGCTTTCCTATGGATGGTCAGTCACTGAGCCGTCTCCTGCACAAGCGTGGTATCAACATCAGATACCTTGGTCAGATGGCGTCGCTCGCTACCGACGGCCGACTCAAGTGTCTGCGTGAAATTTGTATCCAAGACATGGTGTCTCGTGCAATCAAGCACATCTCGGCCACCTATCTTCGTGCGCTCCCTCTCGCCTTCGCCCCAGCTTGCATTGCTCACTTGTTCAACTGCCTGCTGGGCTACAAGGTTAACCCCAAACCTCATAGCGACCTTGATGCCCAGCTTCGATCGCTCTATAAGGACACCGACTTTTCTTTCGAGGATGTCACGCCCGAGAGCCTACGTCGTAGTATTAAAGAGGAAATCTTTAAGCGATACAGATATCATCTGGAACTTGGGTGGTTCGAGACTCTCCGCCCCATTCAGTTGCTTCGCGAAATTTCTCTGAAGCTTGGTCTTCAGATCGAGGCCAAGAACTACCTCTTTGACGGTTCTGTGTCAAAACCGAACGACACTAATGGCGCCAGTGAGACCTGTCAGGCCAACGGTCAGACTCAAGGGGATGCCAAAAAGAACAAGAAGAAGAAGGCCACCCGTGAGGGTTCTCCCGCTGCTGTTCAAGGCCCCGTCTCTACTTTCGGCCCAGATGACATTATTGACATTGTTCCGATCGTGAAGCACACCTGCCCACGCAGCGCTCTGGCCGAGGAGGCTCTGGAGGCTGGCAGAATCTCTATTATCCAGGGCCAGAAAAAGCTAGGCCAGGAACTTCTCTTGGAGTCGCTGTCTCTTCATGAACAAATTTACGGTATCTTGCATCCTGAGGTGGCTCGCGTCTACAACAGCCTGTCCATGCTGTACTACCAGCTTGATGACAAAGAGGCCGCTGTGGAGCTCGCCCGCAAGGCTATTATTGTGTCTGAGCGTACCGTTGGTGTTGACTCTGCCGAGACCCTCCTCAACTATCTGAACTTGAGTCTCTTCCTCCACCAAGCCGGTGATAGCAAATCTGCGCTTGTTTTCTCCAAGCATGCTCTGGACTTGTGGAAGATCATTTACGGACCTGGACATCCCGATTCCATCACGACTATCAACAACGCGGCTGTGATGCTGCAGCATCTGAAGGAATACCACGAATCTCGACTGTGGTTTGAAGAGTCTCTCCGAGTCTGCGAGTCGGTGTTCGGAAAGCAATCTGTCAACTCTGCCACTCTGCTGTTCCAGCTAGCACAGGCCTTGGCGCTCGATCATGATTCTAAGGGAGCTGTGAACCGCATGCGCGAGTCTTTCAACATCTTTTTGAGCGAACTTGGTGCCGAGGACAAGAACACCAAGGAAGCTGAGAGCTGGCTGGAGCAGCTCACGCAAAACGCTGTATCAATTGCCAAACACGCCAAGGACGTGCAGGGACGCCGTATCAAGTCTGGTATTCGCGCACCCTCACAGACGCTTGCTCCCGCACCCCCGCAACGTGGCGGCTCGCAGGTGGACTCGCGAAGCCTTGACGAGTTGATCAAGTTTATTGAAGGTGATCAGGGGGTAAAGTCCAAGAAGCGCACCGGTCGCGGCAACCCCAAGAGAAGAGGCCAGGCCGCGTGAGCCATTGTACCATTTTATGTTGCATAGCATTGACATGTTAGACGATTGGGAAAAATGTAAAAGTATAGGGTGAATGGCTGCACATTTGTTTTGGGTGGATTTTCATGGATATAGATTCGCGTGAACCTGGCTTTTTACGGAGCAGTGGTTGGTGTTGGCCACAGTCAGCTGCTTTGTCTCGGTAGATGTTGACACGCTATTTTTTTATGTACTACTAGATTTATTTGTCTGGCTTGACACAAGTCGAAACCAATAACCATCTTCACTCAAGAGCTTTTCGCTTGCAAACGCTGTATGAATATGACTGTTGGTGCGGCCTGATTGCTCGGAATGGTTCTACCACCAATTACAACCCACCACACCTGGATTCACAGATTTTGTCGTAGAATCGCGGAATTAAAAGCCCGATCATCCACAATCTTGACCAAATTTCATACAAACATCCTAGCTCAAAGATCTGCTTCCTGAACCCGCTGACCTTGCCCACCTCGACGTGCGTTGACAGTAGCCGCTGATCAATCTGCTTGTTCAATTCCAACACCATTACCACGCGACTCTGACGATACGTCTTACTAGAAGCGCAGTGCTGCCGCGCCTCCACAAGCCTGTTGCTCCGACCCAGCAACAACTGCAGCTTATACACGTCCTCAAACACTTAGTTGATGCCCTGCCCCACCGACGGCGAGATCGCATGGCGCCATACCGCCCAGGACCAGGACGCCATCCGTCACTGACATCCAGCGGTCAAGCTAAGACACGCCGAATAACGACCACTTGTTGGCATTAGCGGGCGTGATGCGCGATGTGGCGTTGCGTACACACTCTAGAGAGAGCTCGTCGCCTCTCTGCAGAAACGAACCCTCCGACTGTTTGTCCACAACAAAGTCGCGATCTCATCTCGGCTATTGCTCATCCGTCGCGAGTTGCATCTTCTTGCCAACGAGCACCTCTAAGCCGTCTCCCTGTTGCGGAGCAATGACAAGCGCACTCTGTGGGGAGACAATGGTGACGGGAACGTTGTAATCCGCAGGGAGCTGAAGCTGCGCGGTGGCCACGGCAGTGGCAATGCCCGCCATGCCCGTGAACGTCGTCTCGAGGTCCGGCTAGAGGTGCATATGGTCTGTCGACTGGATACCGTCATCCCTAGCAAGAAAGAGAGTTCCCATCAGTAAGCGCAAACAAGACACCTTTCGGGGAGTCCTTTTCCACATGGGAAAATTTGGCACCGTATTCCGCCACGACGCCAAGTCTTGCCGATCCCGCGAACGGCTCATCGATGAGAACATAGCGGTTACGCGAACCATGATAGCCGTACCTTTTCACGCCACCAAAATCCTGTATCGCGGCCAGGCGGCCATCGATATCGCGGTATTCGAGGCTGTCGAAGTCGTAGCCTTTGCTCCGAACTGTGTCGTAGCGACCCAGCGCATCTAGGGACTTGAGCGCTTGGACGACGGCATGACGGCGCTGCCACTGTTAAGCGGCGCTGACGTCTTTCGTGGACAGTAACGAGGAAAGATTGCTGGTGCAAAAAGAGGGTGAGCGTGAGGCCGGCCAAGCCAGCTCCAATGATGGAGACGTTTGATATGCTCAATCATCCGCAGCTTCCTTTCTCTACATCAAGCTCGACTTTCTACACGACATGACACTTGAATATGCCGGATGTATTTCAACGTAACCAAGGCCAATAAATTCGATTAAGACAGCAGGCGCTGTGTCGCACTATCTCAGCAAAACTAGATAATTCCGCGTGGCTATGAGTAACTTGGCTTGCCTGCTGGCCGAGTGCTGCCAAAAAGATGCAGACCTCCGCTGTGGCAATTGTCAATAGTAAACGACACTTGGTTGCAGCCATAATTGTTGATTGTTCATCAAGTATACTGTCATCAATTGTCCTTTTTAATACTTTCATCATCATAAATATAGTTCCAAGTTTGTTGCACATTTACTTTTGCACTTCGACAAATCAAGTTTTTCCCTTCAGCGCTTTTGGTACTGGTAACCCTCGCCCGACAGGAGCATGATATGCGCTTATACTTTGGAAACCCCTGCATATCTCGTTAGTCAAGAACACACATAAAACTTCAGGCTGCTCACTTTGTCAAATCAAAGCCTTCTTCCTCCACCTCGGCCGTATTTGGCTCCTCTACCGTTTTTTGTACTGGCAGTTGCGGCCTCGTTGGGCTGCTGGGGGGGGATTTGCCCATGGGCGGCGGGCTGCTGCTCTGAGGCGGCATTGGTCCTCTCGTCTTTGACGGACTCTCGTAAGCTGCCATCGGCTTGAGTGGCGTGCTTCCTATCTCGGCATATCTCCAGAAAGGCGCCGGGGAGCTAGTTGGCATATGTTGACTCGGCCGTTGCGCAGTGCTTGGAGGCGCAAGCCTGGGGTGTATGCGCGGTGGTGCAGGCGTGACAAATGCCGAATTATCGTCCTGATACGACGAGGTCAAGGTTGGTGATTGCGGCTGGTAGCCCGCGAAAGATGATTCTGCATCCATCGTCTTTCGCTGTCTTGGCAATGGGCTGCCGTCTGCGGTCAAAGTCGCATTCAGGCCTGAGCGATCAGAACGGTTTGGCGTTGACTGAGACATGCGTAGAGATGATCGCGGCACTGGCGAAGTGAGAGGCGAGGCTCGACGCTTCCTGCCAGTTGGTGTATCCCTGCCAGCCATATCCTTTGGCCCTTGTGTAATGTAGTTGAGCTGGTTCGGTGACGAAGGAGCTGACGACCCACGATGACCACCACGTCCAACCTTGTACGCATTGCGGACCATTTCTTCCCGAGCCTCGGAAACGATCTGCCATTTCATGCCTTTGCCGGGTTCGTCCGTAGATCTTGCTACCTTGTCAAAACTCTTGTTGAGCGACAGATTGTGTCTGATGGAGTTCTGAGAAGAATTAGTGAAAGCGTCACCAAGTCGGAGAGACGATTCTCTTACCTGCCATCCTGCTGCTTGCTGCTTGCGATAGTATGAATAAGTGTCCATTATATATGTATAGATTCCGTTCAAGTTCAGCTTCTCATCGGGCGCATTCAGGATTGCTTGAGTAATCATTTGCGCATAGCTGTACTGTGGCTTGATGTGCTGGTTGTCGTCGAGGCTGAGATCGACACCACTGGCGCCAATGATGACTGCAGGGGTGCTAACGGCAGGAGACTTGAGGTCAGTTCGCCGCGTCGAAGGGGGAGTACCTAATCGCTTATAGTTGACTGGGGCAGGAGCAATCGCTGGCGGGCGGCGAGAAGCGGGTATGTCGTCGGGTAAGCCACACCTCTGTAGAAATGAAGGGTGGACATGCAGTGGACTAATCTCTGAGGGCAGCACAAACATCATTTCGACGTTGCCAATCTCAATGACCTCGCCGCTGGTCAGAGGATGACTGACGCGGGGCTTCAAGGACTGGCCGTCAATCCTGGCGCCATTTCGACCCTTGACCTGAAGGAGCCATTTTTCGTCTTTGGAGTCAAAGACGATGGCAGCATGCGCTCGAGAGACCATTTTGCTGGGACCCAAGTCAATGTGTACATGATCTTGGTCCTCTGCCTCTTGTTCAGTACCTTGGGCGACCTCGGGAGCACGGCCGATATTCACGGCGAGCTTTGTTATGTAGAATGTCCAGTCCTGAGCGGCAACTTTGGCGTAGGCCTTGACGCCATCGCCGTTAGCTTCATGGATGGCATTGGCGTGGTCTTTGCTGGCCTGAACAGCCTGTGACTTAAGCTGCTGTGTGACTTGGGACACGATTTGGTCATCGTCGGTCGGCGGTGCGTTATCGTTATCGATGTTGGACGATCTTCGATCAGACTCTGGCGACGTAGCCTTCTTGCGACGCTTGGCAGGTCTAGTCGGTGATGAGGATGGGTCCATTTCGGCATCCGTGGAACTGATCGTTCTTGCATCTCTGCCAAGGCGCAAGTCGCGACGACCGCGCTGGGCTCTTTTCGTAGATGGTGGCATGTTGCCGCGTGAGGACAGCGCAGCTGCAACGCTGCAATCTAGTCTGTGACTTTTGGAAATATATATGAATGACTTTGAATAAGCACAGCATATAAATCGGCCACATAAGCTTGCACGCGAATGCGTAGCTTAAGCGCGAGTGTGCAGCGCAGGTAGAGATAAGGTGGTTGCAGTTGAGATGCTAGCTAAGAGATTCCTTGACAAGGGAACCGCGTTCGCGTTTAGTGAGTGCCAGGTAAAATGTTGGTTGAGGCGCGAATACAAAAGCGTCCCTCCAAGGTACTCAAAGCTAGCCTGGAGCGACTCTTTGTCGTACGCAATAATGGTTTCATTTTTTGTACTGACTCCACTTTATATGTACCTCTCTCCCTCTCCCTTTGTATTCGTCAGAGAGCCCCTTTGCAGGACATCGGGGAAACTATTTTCCTGGCCCCTTGCTCTAAGTTTGCTGCTACCTAGATCAGAACCTGATCAACCAGGCCGCGACCGCGCGCAACAGCCGCTAAATGCTGTCTTTGGCATCCAGGCACATTGCGTCGTTCTTCATTCCAGATCTCACCCTCGCTTCGCCGCCTCCCAACGCCAGCCCGGCAGTTCCGGAGCCTGTTTCTTTGGTTAGTCAAGGAAGCCTGCCATCGATAACCTCCGTCTGTCACGGCCTTCTAGCCTGTTAAAACCCGGCGGGTGTTGCCAAATACTGGCTTGAGGCAACAATGAGCGGCGAGCAGGTTTACGGCGTGACCCCGCCCATTTCGGTGTCGCTTCCCACAGAGAACGAAAAACGGATCAGTGAATCTCTGATTGAGGAACTTCGTCGCCAAAAGACTTTTGAGAGTCCTTCTGATACGCAAAAAAGGTCTGCACCTGACAACACTCGTCGTAGCGCGTTTGATCCATCCTCTCGCTAACGACAGCCTCTCCAACAGACATACCGTCCTCGAGTCGCTGCAGAAAATCACAGACGAATTTGTAAGAAAAGTTGCACGCGAAAAGGAACCGAAGAACGATATCCTCATCAAGAATGCACGCGGCAAGGTGTTTACCTACGGCAGCTTTCGCCTCGGTGTCTTCGGCCCCGGCTCCGACATTGATACCCTGATTGTTGCTCCGAAATATGTCACGCGCGAAGATTATTTCAAATATTTTCCAGAGCTACTCGCCGAAATGGCGCCCAAAGATTCCATTACCGATCTCGCGGCCGTCACCGATGCGTTTGTGCCCATCATTAAATTCGAGTATTCGGGCATCAGTATCGATTTAATTTTCTCTCGCATCATTCAGAAGCAACTTGCTCCGGATTTTCAGGATCTCAAAGACTCTGGTCTCTTGCGCGGTTTGGACGAAGCTGAGCTTCGCTCTCTCAACGGCACCCGAGTTACAGATGAGATTTTGGCTCTGGTTCCGGAACAAAGCACTTTTAGATTAGCCCTCAGAGCCATCAAGCTTTGGGCACAGCGTCGAGCAGTATACGGAAACATTATGGGCTTCCCAGGTGGTGTCGCGTGGGCTATGCTTGTCGCCAGAGTCTGTCAGCTGTACCCCAAAGCGGCCACCTCTGTCATTGTCAACAAATTCTTCCTGGTCATGAGTCAGTGGCGTTGGCCCCAGCCAGTCTTGCTCAAGCCCATCGAAAATGGTCCTCTTCCAGTACGAGTTTGGAACCCCAAAGTGTACAAGGGTGATTCATTTCACTTGATGCCCATCATCACCCCAGCCTACCCATCCATGTGCGCCACCTTCAACATTACGCGATCCTCGATGACCATCATCAAGCGAGAACTCCAGCGTGGACTTGAGATTACCGAGCAGGTTATGGTAGGAAAGCAATCTTGGAACGATTTGTTTGTCAAACACACCTTTTTTACAACAGGTTATAAATATTACATTTCGGTTGTCTCGGCAAGTAAGGCAAGGGATGCGCACAAGCTATGGTCAGGATACATTGAGTCAAAGGTCCGGATGCTCGTACAGAAACTGGAGCACCACCCGCACATTGCTCTGGCACACCCCTTTGTCAAGGGCTACTCGAGAAGACACCTCTGCAAGGATGAAACGCAAATCGAACAAGTGCAAGAAGGCAGTCTTGACTTCGTGGTCTCTGACGACGTTCAGTTGGATGGTGAGAGCAATGAACAAAATGGCGAGCAAAAAGAAGCTGCCGAAGGCGAAGCGGAGAAGCAAACGTCGTCCGAGGTCTTTACCACGACCCATTACATTGGCCTTGAGCTAGAAGAAGGTGTGTAACGTCTCATTTCTCAAAAGACCTTGTTTAACAGTGAACTCAGGTGCCAAGTCTCTCGATCTGTCATACCAAGTCGATGAATTTAAGGTATTATGTACTGCATGGCAGAAGTATCAGGACGAGCTGAAGCCATTGGTGTCAATTGGAGTACAGCATGTGCGCAAGTAAGTTATCTTGTTCGTTGACCGTGACCGTTTATTGACAAGCAAAGTTTCAATCTTCCAGATGATGTATTTGGTGCAGACGAAAAGAAGCCTCAAAAGAAGTCCTCCAAAGGCGCCAACGGGAAGAAGCGCGGCGCCGCTGAGGTAATGCCGCTTCGCAATCTTCTACGCTATGGACAAGCGATCGAAGTACCACCCCCCATACTTGACAGCACACTAACTTATTCTAAAGGACAATCAACCGCCTGCGAAGCGACAGCAGGCATCCGTCGCGGCCGCCGGTTAAAAGTAGCCTGAGACGTTGCAGCTGGCAACTGCGTAACCCTACTCACATGAGTAGATAACTACCGACTTCTCTGGCCCTACCGACGAGGGATCTTCTCAAATATTGACCCGTGCGGAATCCCTCATCACTGCAATTTCTGGCTGACTTTTACGAGAAGTACTTGTACACGGCCGCAGCGAGCGGCGTGAAGCGAAAAGAAAAGTTGATGACGGAGCCATCATGGCGAAGAATCTATAGTCCAACATTGGCAACAATCCCAGTCTCTGAATCTTCCTGGCTGCTCCGAGGTTGGATATAGTACCAGAACGAGCAGCAATCAGGGAGACACGAATGTCATCACAAAAACATGTATTAAAATCGCGCAGGCCATGTTTAGCAAAGTCTACAGATACAGAGTTGGTCTCCTCGAGATATTAAACGGCCAGGTTATTCACTAGGCCCAAGCAAGGCTCATGCTGAAGTCGTCACTAGATAGATAGTCTTTAGACACCTGCCCACCAAAGTGCAGCGATTCCGTTTCGTATTTTTGCCTTGCACATGCGTTAATTGTCATACTATCATTTGAGGGTTTTTCCGCGGCTCGTCCCTAGTCATCGTCGCCTTCGTCACTTCCGCTCGACCAATCATCATGGTACGCATGCCCAATGTCGGACAGGGAATTCGCCAGAACCTCTCTTTCCTCGATGCCAACGGCCCAAGTTACTTGCTTCTTCAGCGCCTTCATTCGCGCCAAGATGCTCTGGTCGGTGAAGAGCGCCGTCTGCAGACGTGTGCTTTCTTGGCCCGCCGCGTCGGGGAAGATGTCGGGATAGCTGTTCAGCATGGGAAACTCAAGAGTCGTGTTGAACCTGTTTCGGATTAGCTCTCATCTATTGGTACGGTTGCCGGGGCTCTTCGAACCTCTTTACCACCGAGTCACCAATGCGGCGCCTCGTCTCCTTTTCATCGTCTCCGGCCTCTTCAACAACCTCGCCACGCCACGATATCGACTTGCCAAATATGCGTTTCTGGTTTTCAAGTCCATCATTAGCCACACGGCCGATTTCGAAAAGATCAATGTCCAAGCCACCGGCCTCGGATGCAGCGTCTTCGGTACCCAATCCCATTTGCAGTCCAGCAAGAGCCTGCGCGCCTGTCGTGTTGACGATTTGTGAGATCTCGTCCAGAGACACACGCGGCGTACCGCCTCCTGGCTGTGGCAGGAGCCGAGATGGCAGCGTCGTGGTTTCGATGGCTGCGGAGAGCAGCGCCGAACTGTGCCACGGCGAGCTGCAGTCGAGCTTGACTGATCGCGGGAAGCGGTGCTCAGGGAGCGACAAGGGGATCAAGGTCGTCGCTTGTTGACAAATCTCGCTGATGCCATGTGCTGCATTGACAAGCCGCACCGTGCGCTTGTCGCGGGTAGTGTCGAGCAGAGGACTCTGGAGGCCCCAGACCCAAATGCACTGCTTGGGATACTCGTCTCGCAGGGTTTCGAGATACGACGATGCGAATCCGCCCCAGGCATCGTCGATGGTGGCAATGACCTGAATGCCCTGCATGTGGTCACATTCTTCCACAAATGGGCGCCAGTCTCGGTCAACTATGTCTTGCTCCTTGTCTAGCGTATGGAACAGCTCCTTGCCCATGTGGAAGCGCTCAAATGGTTGGATGGACGAGTGAAGCTCATAGTCATACAGTTGGTTGAGCGACTTGGGATGGTAATATACCCGAGAGTAGTCTGACCAGTAGCGAACATTGGATTTTGTCAGTTTATCTGGTGCGCTCCCGGCATCGAGACTCTGTACGTAGGCGCTTTGTTGCAGGGGTTCTTGTTTGTGCACGGCTGATTTACCGGCCCTGTGGGTGATTAGAACCTATCATGTTCGAAATAAAAGTATCGCAGTCACCTTACCAAAGAGTACTTGATATGATATCCTCGTCATGATTCGTATCGTACAGCGCATTTATTTTCCGCAGGGAGCCAAATCCACCTTTGAGATCATACACCACGGTTCGTGGTAAGAAGGTATCTGCGCCATCAGCGCCAACGCCGGCGCGCCAGTGAACATCATGGTCGACAAGCAGCTTGTCGGCATCTGAGTATGTAAAATACGATTCTTGTGTGTTCCAAAAATGCGCAGCTGTGTAGTTGCTCAGATAGCCAAGCTGCAAAGTCACGATTTCTCTCATGATGGAGGGGCGAGGGAGGAGCAGGCTCACTCGCGTAAACAGCAAGCTGGTAGCGCTTACACATGAAATGCCGGCCAGCGACAATCCCGGGTTGAATACGAGCAACAGGTGACCAACAAGCAACACCCCGATTCTACGCTGCCGTGATAGAGCCCACGAGCTCCGTAAACATGTATATTGAACGGCTGAAGGGTATATCCACACTGCGAAGCCCGTGAAGCTAGCATGTATTGGCTGACTAACATTTGCGTCATACCCAAAGCTGTATGTCGAGGTAATCGTCGACATCAGTAGAGAGCTATTAAATGCACACTATACTTTTGCATCTCTCTCCGATCATACTTGTTTTTATTTAATTACGAATACTGATGAAGCCGGCGGTAGCGACAGCGCGCCACAGCGCCGGAGCGGCTTCTGGGCCGAAATCGAGACCCTCAAGTCGCCTGAGAAGAAAGAGGTTGCAAAGTTGCCCAGTGTTGGCGCTGCTGCCTCGAGCTCAGACAAGATCCGACTGCCTGACGGCAAGCCTACTGTCATCGTATTTCTCCGCCATTGCGGCTGTCCTTGTAGGTTGAGTCTTCGACAAACGATAAAGTATAAAAGCCCTCAAAATAGCCAACACTGCTTCAAACAGTCGCCGAAAAAGTGTTCAAGAAACTGTCTGCCCTCTCCCATAAACAGCCGGACATTCACTGCATCGCCGTATCGCACTCTTCCACCGCGGCGACAGAGAAATGGATTCCGCAAGTCGGCGGCGCCTGGTCTACCGACGTGGTCATCGACGAGCGGCGGGACCTGTACGCGCAATGGGGTCTCGGGCTGAGCAGCGTGTGGCACATGTCCGCCCCCTCGGTACTGTATTCCGTGTACCGCCTGGGCACTGACGAGGGCGTCTGGAACCGACCCACGGAAAGCGGCACCCGTTGGCAGATTAGCGGCGCATTTGCCACTGATGAGGGCGGTGTGGTGCGCTATGCTCATGTCGCGAAGGCGGCCGATGACATGCCAGACCTCAAGGCTGCAGCGCAGTCAGTGGGTATCACGGTGGAAGAGGAAGCCACAAGATCTTGAAACCCACAAGATGCCGAACAGAAGGCGATTGCTTCCTCCTTTGTAGTAGACTGTTATATATTTACCTGACGTTGAAAAGACGTCACAAAGTGACTCAAGGACGATAATTGGAAGAGATTTGTACTGTACTTGTAAACAACGAGTGTTGGCGAGGGTATATATCAATCATGAGCAATGTAAATGTACAAGAGACGCCATGTGAGCGTGTAAAGGCTCTAAATTGCCAAAAAAGATGGCGAGAAAAGCTGCATATTACGATCCGCAAACTCGGGCTTCATCAAGCAGAGCGCAAGATATCCGACAACTCCGATGCCGCCGATAAGTTCAACAGCGAATGCCCCCGTACTCTTCACCTGCGCTGCCAGTCTGACCAAGCCTAGGGGGTCTTGATCGCAAGTATGGTGAGCATGTCGTTTTTTACGGCCGCTTCCGCGGCGGTCCTGTCGTCGCGTCACGGTTCCCGAGGCACGCGCGATGAGCTGTGTGGAGGTGGTGGCATTTATAATGCGCTCCGATTCCAAGCTCTGTCGTAGGCTCTGCGCCCAACTCGAGGCCTCAAGCCGGCGCAAGTCTTTCACTTGAAAAAAGGGGTCTATTGTGACGGTTGAGTGGCCAGAGTTGAATCGTGTCAGGGCCGACTTGGACAGATGCTGTCGATGCTGTTCATGTGCCCATTTCACGGCCTTGACGGCCGCGGAGTGCCTCAGTCGCGATGCACCCTCCAAAGAAAATATATTCTCAACAAGAGACTTGAGATCCGTAGGTAGTAGCGGCTCGATGTAAGCAGAATTCATGAGAAAACTTGCATCCATCACGTCACTCTCTGCTTGTGTGACGTTGGATACGGCAAAAACGCCAGTGTGGTCATCGCTCTCGTTTAAGAGAGCAAAAGAGAAGACATCAATGCCCATATCGTCTATCTCATCTCGTAGTTTCTGCTTGAAACCCTCAATGGCTGGTTCGTCAATTTCGTCAGAGCGAGCAAGTAGCGGGATGATGTTTGTGACAGTCTGAAGGCGGGACAATGCGTCCGCGTCTGTTTTGGTGAGACCTGACTTCGTTAGTAGGGTTTATTCGAATTGTAAGTGAGACGTACCAGTTGATGGAAGCATGTACAATACTGCATGCACGATGGATTCGTTGCCACCGCTCAGTAGCGAAACCAAATCGGTGTCAGCCATTTGCTTTTCCAACAGTGGTATCAAAGCTGATTCGAGAAAATCGACAGCGTGAGCGGCCCTGGCAGGTCTCTGGGGCGTAAAATCTAGAAAAGAAATATTTCTGTCCAAAATCTCCTCCACAGAGGTAGATGATCTCCGCCGCCTAAGCGTCTCGGATGGATTCTCTGTTCGCCACCATTGATATGGACGCGTGCTGCCATGAATCTCCAACACTGGACCATTGAAATTCGTATTCACGGCATCGATGTGAACGATGTGCTCGCAGGATTGGGATATGGAGCGGATAATGGAAGTTTTGCCAGTGCCTGGACGATTCGTTAGTGGATGGCTGACGAGCTGTAGAGGTGGACCGACCTGGGGACCCCAGAACAAGCAGCCGTAACTTGCCCAGCGACCGCCCAACATCGGTAAAAGGACGACGGCGCGGGATTCGGAGGTTTGGCATTATGAATTGTGGTACAGGACTCCCTACACTGCTAGGGGACAGGTCTCGGTACGCTTCAATGTGCTGTTGTGTAATGATGGCGTCCTCGATGGAGCCGTCGCGGTCGATGGCGGACGAGGAGCTTGAGAAATTTCGAGGTGACGATAAAAACGATAGAGATGATTCTGGCCTCGAGAATCCGGATATGGGTGGTGTATTCGGAACTGAAGACTCGGCTACCAAGTCTCTCGTCGACCCGACGACTGGCGATGACGACGCAGACGAGGGTGGCACAGGTGAGAATGAGACGTCTCTTTGCGCGATGAATCCAATTTTGGTGAAAGAGCGCCCGCGAGGCATCATGCTGCCAGTCTCCAACTCGAGCTCCATTTCGTTCTCAGTGACGAGGGCACAGCTTCCGATGTCAAGGGACTGGCTGGCGGCGGCGGAGTCGGTGTAACCGCCATGTGCATCGGCGGAAACGCGTGCGCTAGGGACCTGTCGCATTTTGAATTATCCGGGGTAGAGGCAGAGAGTCATCTGTAGTGAGAGTGAAAGAATGGAAGACTACAGCGGACGAGCAAACATGCTAAAGTTGAGAGATGGCAGATCCGGTAGCATGCTAACGCGAACACATGGACGTTGGTAGTGTGACCCCGCCATAGTCGCGAGATGGCGGAGTGTTGTGGCGCCAGCTGGCCCGCTCAGTGACATTTGGAAATGGTACTTGAATTTAAGCTGTGAACTCTATGAATGGGAGGTACCGACAGAGCTTACGACGAAGGCAGAGAAGGAAACGTGCTCGGTTACTGCGATATCACCGTCTAGCGCATGTCCCCTCCCTGACTCACAATCAGCAACCAGGCGCTACCAGCCTGGTGGGATGCTTTGCGCCAGAGTGCAGGGAGCCGGTGTTTAATTTATTTTCACAGGTCAGGCATAACATTGTTGCAAGCTCACCACCTTGGCGCCTTGCCAAAGTAAATCCTACGAGATTCTGTAACTATGGACGGCAAGCGTCATCCCAGCTCGTTTCAGCAGCTGGAAAAGCTGGGCGAGGGAACTTATGCGACGGTATGTACATTAAAAGCCATCTCAATTATCAATCACCAACACGCTTGCACAGGTTTTCAAGGGGAGAAATCGCCAGACAGGCGAGCTCGTTGCCCTCAAAGAAATCCACCTCGACTCCGAAGAAGGCACTCCGTCAACGGCGATCCGTGAAATCTCCTTGATGAAGGAACTCAAGCACGAGAATATTGTCGCCCTTCACGATGTTATACATACCGAGAACAAGCTCATGCTTGTGTTTGAACATATGGACGGTGACCTGAAGCGCTACATGGACACCCATGGTGAGCGCGGCGCCCTCAAGCATGCCACCATCAAGTCCTTCATGTACCAGCTCCTCAAAGGCATCGACTTTTGCCATCAGAACAGAGTCCTGCACCGCGACTTGAAGCCGCAGAATCTCCTCTACAACAGCAAGGGGCTGTTGAAGCTGGGTGATTTTGGTCTGGCTCGTGCCTTTGGAATTCCCGTCAATACCTTCTCCAACGAAGTCGTCACCCTTTGGTACCGTGCGCCCGACGTACTTCTCGGCAGCCGCACCTACAATACCAGCATCGACATATGGTCTGCCGGCTGCATCATGGCCGAAATGTATACTGGTCGCCCGTTGTTTCCGGGTACGACAAACGAGGATCAAATCATCCGCATCTTCCGCATCATGGGCACACCTACCGAACGAACATGGCCTGGCATCACCCAGCTGCCCGAGTACAAGCCGACGTTCCAGATGTACGCGACGCAAGACTTGCGCAACATTCTACCCGCCATCGATCCTACTGGCATCGATTTGCTTCAAAGAATGCTGCAGCTGCGACCCGAGCTGCGCATTAGCGCCCACGACGCCCTGCAGCACCCCTGGTTCAATGACCTGGTCATGCATCAGCAGCAGCAGGCGGCCCAGGCGGCCGCACAGGCTGGGGTCAGAGGGTATCAGCAACAGGTTCCGGTGCAAAGCTACGAAGGCTATTAGAGACAGATTTGAAGCATGGCATAGCGTGAGCGACTGGTGTAGATGTTGCATTCATTTACATGTTTACGAGGAGTCAAGTTGCTATTATCAACGCTGACGACTGGCAAGCAGCTTGCGAGGCAATGATGAATCGGAGTTTTGGTGATATTACTAAAGACAGGAAACTGGGATACATGATATCGGATTGTTTTGTTCAGAATTGATTTCCTACCAAGTGCCCGTCCAGTCTATGCAATATCTAATGTACAGCAGGATTACAAAGCTAGGTGGCCTGCGAAGCCGCTTAATGCCTATTTACAAGGCTTCCATCCACCGGACTCTTAAACTTGCGCTTATTCGGTTCCTTGTCCCACGTTTCCGCCAGCGCCGCCGTCTCATCTTCCTCCTGCGGCAGCCCAAGTGTCGCGCGCATCTTGAGAATCTCATCGCGCACTGCCTTGGCCAGCTCCGTCCGCAGCTGCACCGCCTCTGGGCCGTGCCTGAGCTCCTCTTCCGTCTTTTGCTCTCTCAGACGGCGCCAGCGCTGGCGGTAGACGCCAAAAAGCACGTCCGTGTCGGCGGGGGCGCCGATGGCGACGCGAATGTGATTACCCACGCGGGGCAGAAAGCGTGGGAACCCGCGGTCTTCGGGCATGATGCGCTGCGTGCCGTCGACAAACATGGGCACAAACTCGGGCGCTGGATCGCTCTCGAGAATGAGCCGCGACACGCCCCATTTGAAGTACCGTAGGCTGCTATCGGTACTCTGGTGGCAGCATGCTTCGGGGAAGATGTGCACCCAGGCGCTGCGGTTCGCCGCGTAAAAGCCTGGCGCGGGGACAATGTCCTTGCCATTCGTGGAGTAGGTTGGGTTTCTGATATTTGGCAACGACGTGGGACCGGAAAGTAGGCCAATTGCTTGCGTCATTGTCGGTTGATACAGGCCGCCGAGCTCGGAATGCCATAGTCGATGCGTGGGAAGGGTCTGGCCGAGGTTGAAGAAGGTCGATGTAAAACTGCACGGTCAGTTGTGGACTTTGGAGTCTGATGCATGCTCATTACCTATTCTTGAAGCAGATGTCGTGCGCCGCAAGACTCCAACGAAGGTTTCCGACGTCAAAAGCGTATCGCATAGGAAGTATACCCCAAATCAGAGGATCGTCGAGTCTGCCATCAGGTCAGCTGTGCCTCGTCACGACTCGGGCAGCCCAACGCACACTGCAAGATGATTGCACACTGTAATGAGGCCACGGTCCTTGCCCTGCGTCTTTCGCCTGTCCAACACTCCAAGCAGGTTCTGCAGGCCCGTCACCTCGACAGAATTAAAGGCGTAGAGGAAGCCCCTGCACGCCGCGCCGACGCTGGCCATGACGGCTGTCGAGCCCAGGCGCCAGCCTAGGCCATGCCTCAGTGGCGGTGAAGGCGATGGCGAGCTAGACATGGTGGAAGCTTTTGTTCCTCAGACGCAGCCAATGGCGTGGTCCTTGGCGGTGTGAGATCTTGGTGCATAGAATGGTGGCCAAATTTTCGAAATTGTGACGCGCGATCCAGTAAGCTTAAGTGGGTGTAAGCTGACCCCACGGTGACAGGCACAAGCTGGGGTACTTTTTTCCGAAATGCTTTCTCAAACCCGACACATATTCTTCGACCCCCAACGGTTCACCGGCTAAGCCTGCAAGATATTCTACGACATAGGCTAAGTTCGCGCACAATCGAAAAGTCAGTGGCTACAAAATGTCGCATAGTATGCCCCATCACTCTCCAAGAGGATCGGCCAACTCTAACCGTACCAGGCAAGCGAAACACGACTCGCCCCGTCTTCACCTCACACGAGCGATCCCTCGCCAAGGCCAACTGGGCATCCAAGTCGGCGCGCCTGCACAGCGACTCATTTTTGCCGTTTGGATCGTGCAGTTTGTGCCTGGAGCTGGCGCGGGACCCGGTCTCGTGCCCGCGCGGCGATGTATTTTGCCGTGAGTGCGCGCTCGCCAACATGCTCGCGCAAAAACAGGACATGAAGCGTGCCGAAAAGGCACGGAGGCAGGCGGAGCGCGAAACCATCCGGGTGCAGGCCGCTCATAACGACGAGGATCAGCGCCGGGCCGTCCGCGACTTTGAGCTCACGCAGGCAGGGCTCTCCAACGGCGCCAGACCTGCTGCGAAACCAGACGAGACGAGCAAGGGAGAAAATAACGATACATTAAGAATTATAAGTGGGAAGCGAAAATTTGAGCTAGACGCGGACGAGCTGGAGAGGATAGCCAAAGAAGATCGGGCCAAAGCGAGGAAAGCCATTGAAGACGAAAAGGTTCACCTTTACAACTCGCTTTGTGTGCAACACTAAAAGACTAACGAAGGACAGGCCAGCAAGCCCTCGTTACCATCGTTTTGGACACCGTCGCTCACACCCGATGCCACCAAAGATGCCAAACTCCTCGAAGCCTCTCAAAAAGCCAAGCCCGTCGCCGTCTGTCCCGCGTCCGCTAGCGACAGCCCGCACGCACTCACCATGTCGCACCTCCTTACAATTCATTTTGACGTGCAGCCGGAACCGACCAAGGCGACCGACACGCGCATCTGCCCCTCGTGTCGAAAAACGCTGACCAACGCCTCCAGCCCGGCTATGGCCGTCAAGTGTGGGCACGTGCTGTGCTTGAGCTGCATCAAGCTGTTTATGGCGCCGCCGTCGAACCGAACCACCAAAAAAGCGGAAGAAGACGGGCCCTCGTCGTGCTTTGTCTGCGATACGCCGCTGACGTGGATGGACCAAGTGCCCACGCCCAAAACATCGCTTCCGAACGGCATGATTGCGTTAAAGTCCGAAGGCACGGGCTTTTCGGCGCGTGGCGGTAACACCGTGGAGCGTACAAATGTAACCTTCCAATGCTAGCCCGAGGGATCTTACTTGGACATTAATAGACATGTATATACATAGACGTAAATAATACATTTGGCAGCAGCTCAGCCAGACGTCTTGAGTGAACGACGGGCATGCGACATGATCCAAACGCGAATTACCAACCGGTGAAAGAAGCCCTTGGCCAGCATAGTCAGGCCATGACTAAAAAATCCCTTGAGCAGCTCACCCTCCATGCCATCATACAACGCCCTGAGCCCCTCCGTCTTCATCAGCCTCAGAATCATGCCAAAAATCGTCCGATCAAACGCCGCCACCAGCCTCGCCCATAACGTTCTCCTCTTTCTCCTCCTCTTTTCCTTTTCCTCCTCCTCCAACCCATCCTCTTCATCCGAGCCCGCATTCGGAATCTGCAGCATCGTCTTGGCCGTCTGAAATGGGTACGTCAGCGCCGTTGCCGCCGACTTGCTGGTCGCAGCCAGCAGAAACGCCGCCCACGCGACCGGCACGTCCGTTTCCTCCTCGAGCATTGGAATTACGCGCTCCGCCAGCCTCCTGTTCAGCAACATGGTGATGCTCGGATTCAGGGTCAGCACCAGCGTCGCCGAGTAGCCCGCCCACAACGCCTTGACGCCGCCTTCTCTGCGCATATCCCGCAGCGTCTGCGTCACCGACCGCATATCCTCCTCGCTCGGCGTCATCTGACGCCTGGCAACGACATTTGACAGCGGTGCCGTGCACGCTTTGGATGCAGCGCCCGCGAGCATGCCAAATGCCACCTCTTGCAGCACGCCGGGCGCTTTGCCGCTGCGCCGCCGCAAAAGATTGTAAAAGCCAAAGAAAAGAAACGAGTCGATGACGGACTTGGCGATGTCGGTGCCGAGGCCGCTGTAAAAAGCCCCAAGGCCCTCGTCGCGTAAAATGCTGCGAAAGGCGTCGAGGACGCCAGTGTACTGCGCGTGGTCGTCAAGTTGTCGCTGAACTTTGAGGCGCGTGGTGACGAGGTCAAGCGGCGCGAGGACTGCGGTGGACGTGGCGGTGCCAAAGGAACCGGAGAGGGCGTGGCCGAGGGCCTCGAGGGCTTGTGAGGAAGCCATGCCGCTGAGGCGTCTGCGCTGAGAGAAATGCTGAGGTTGTCAAGACGGACGGTTCCTCAATGTATGGAAGTAAAGACCAACTGAGCCAATGTGCTGGTATATTCAACCGAGAAGTACGGAATGGTGAGGGAGGAAGCAAGCATTTAATTGCAGCGTGATGTTTAGTGAAGTGTTAGATCAACCGTTATCGTAAGACCGAGCTCGCACCGTTGTGGCGCCGCGGCATTGGCATGTGCCACTCACTGCCGAGCCCATTAACGACGTCATCCTGATCTGGGGTGGTGGTATATTGCCTACCCAGTTTGCCAGCGTAACTCCACAACCTACGCATTTGCATATGTGCTTTCCCATCCGTTGCAGATGATTCAAGAACAAAACTACTGACTTTTTGTTTTGCAATTCCTTTTTCGAGATTCGCCAAGTAATCGATGTATTCGCTATTCGCGACGGAACATTAAAAGCATCCACGCTGTCTGCTGTCTGTAATCAAATGCTCATACTAAATCATGGTCACTGGCTTGTTGCCATAATACAAAAATCCGGTATGACCAGGGGTATAAACTAAAGCAATAAACATTCAAATAACCCGTTTATCAAGTCTCTCGCAAGCCCATAAGCCAAAAACGCCTCAGTAATGCAATTTCGTTATATGCACCCCAACGCTCAAATGCACCGCAACACTTATCTGCACTCTGACACTCATGCATCCCGACTCACATCAGCCCCTCGCTGCTGTAGGCGTCGGACGCGAAGGCGTTGCCGGAATCGCAAACGACCCTGACCTCGCCGACGTCGGGAAGCTCATAGCTCCCACATCCTCTCCCTCCGCATCGCCGTCCTCCAACCCCGGATGGCCCTCAGGCAGCCTCTGCGCACCGTAGCCAATGACTTGAAAGATATTGGTCCGACCGCCGTTAGTGGCCATCTGAAGCTGCTCGTGGAGACGCGCGAGCTGGTACTGCCGCTTGATAGGGGCAAAAATGGGCTGAGGAACGAGAGGCTTGGGCTTCCAAGTGCTGAGGGCGGCCATGACGGCGCCAGTTTCCTCGTCTGAATCGACGGGGCCCTGGTTATCTTCGTCCTCGTCCGGAACAGGGGCGTTGGCATCCAAAGCAGCCTCTGCAGCAGGTTAGTCGGAAACTGTAATGGAGAGGGTAGATGATGTCTGGAGTAGACATACTCTGCTGCTTTGCTTGATTCTTCTTTTGATACGCGGCTAGGAGCATGTCATACGGCAGCGAACGACCTGCGACTGCACGCTTGGCGCCCATCGAATGACTTTTGCAGGTAAGTGAACGCGCGCATGGCTGCCCGTTCGGCAAAATGACACCACATTGCCGCTCCACGTCGACAGGCCCTGTCAATGTTAGCAGTGCACCATATTGCATAGCGCGCGCAGGCCATACCCTTTGGTTTGGGCACTTTGGCTTTGGGTTCATCCTTCTTCTTTTTGCTTTTGGGCGCCTTCTCAGGCTCGCCGTCGGCTTTGCGCTTCTTGCCCTTGCTTTCTTCAAGCTTCTTGCCGGCTTTTTTTGTGCCCTTTTTGTCGTCATCATCGTCGCTATCGTCATCGTCCTTGTCATCGGCCTTGCGAGCCTCTTCTTCGCGCGCAGCCTCCTTGGCTCGCTCACGGGCTTCCCTAGCCTCCTTTTTGCGCTGAGCCTTTTCCTTCTTCACCTTAAGGCATGCGGCAATATGCGCCTTGGTCGCTGTCTTGAGAATGCTCTTCTTGCAGTGCTTGCATTGTTGCAGATCGGGCGAGTCTTCGAGGGGTCGGCCAGTCGCAAAAGCCTCGCGGGCATCATCGTCGAGTTGATTCACGACTGGTCCAGGCGAGGCGGCAGAGGTGGGCGAGCCGACACTCTTCTTCTTTTCGTCTGCCATGTGTTAGCGATGCGACAAGAGAGGCCAGTGCGCACGTACCCTCAACGACACTACCGTCGCGCCAGTTGCCGGGTTTGTTATGTTTGGGGGGTTGTTTTTTCAGCTTGATGGTGCCGCCCTTGGTGTCTCTTTTGGCAGACTTGGCAGCATCTTTTGCGCCTGTGATGATGACGATTAGAGAGAGGGTGATGCTGTGCAATGGTGGGTGGGTCAGCGCATACCTTTGGCTTCTGGAGCCATGGTGGCAGTATGGCGAGCAGATAAAGCCAAAATGGCTCAGAGGGTAGCAAAAGGGGGTCGAAACCGTAGCCCGCTATGAGAGACGATATATACAGGAAGAAAGAGATGAGAAGTGATGAATGTCGCGCGCGGGTCGATGCAGCGTGGGCAGGCAATTAACGTCTGGCGCGGCGTGATGGCTCGATGCAGACAAGCATTGGTGCCTGGGGTAGGTGACTTGCAACGGGGCATCAAAGTTAGTCCGGCCGCATTCGGCTGCCAACGTGGCTGATGCTGGAGTCCTGTAAGCAGCGCCAAAAGCTTAACGTTACCACAAGCACTGTAACACGGTATGTGAGAAAAGGTGTTTGATTGGCCATTTTGATTGCCATTTTTACGCGGCTAATATGCTGGTGAAAAAGCAAAATTGCATTATAAGAAGGAGCTAGTGCTGCGAAAACATTTGCACATAACGTTCATCTATCACAACTCTTCATTCAGCGGCTGAGTGGATAATATATCCATGTCTCGCCAAGTCTGGTAGACTCTGTCGCGAATGGCCATGTGGGCCTTCGTCCGCTGTGGAAACGTTAGAGACGCGAGTGAATAAGCCAAGTCGTAAATAGAACTTACTGGATGAAAAGTCTTGCCGTAATATGTCGGAACATACCACATCGAATTCTGCCCAACCATCTCTCCACCGCGCAATGACTCCGAATCGTTCAGGGCCGCATTAGGGGGCAGCGGCTTACGAGGCATGGTTGAGCCATCGTTGTCATCGCCGCCGACAAGAAAGAACCAGGTTTCGTTGCGTAGATAATCAGGCTCAACCACCCCCGGCTCGCAAAAGCGATGACCCTCAAAGACATCGTCGTAATCCACAAACAAGACTCTTGGTTCTGTAAATGCCTCATTAATGGTGCGAATGGCCTGCTCAAGCCGGCGATTGACGTTGATCACCATGCGATTCATCTTCCTGCGCAGGTCTGCTTGAGCTTCGGTCCATGCCACCACATTCCCAGGGTATAGTCATCACACTCTGGAGTGTCGGCGTTGAAGACGCGCGCGTAGCCGGTAACGGTGATGGTGAACCATGGACGCTTCTCCCAGAGCACTCTGTCCAAAATCTCCATGATGAGCAGACGCAAGTGCTGATCAAACTCGGGGCCGGCAACCTGCGCCTCGGAGCGCTCAAGGGCGGCTTCGCAAGTACCAGAGTAGAGCGAGTAGAAGCGAAAGATGCAGCTATTTATGATGTCAAAGAAGCCCAAGTCATTGCCGCCGATGGAGAGGAGGGCGAAATCGGAAGAGGTAGTGGTGTTGGGGAGGTCAACCTGGGAATGGTCGCCGCCAGCAAGAACGTCTTGTATAGTCGAGCCTGTGCACGACAAATGCTGAAATGTGGTTGCCTTGTCGCAATCATTCTGGTAAGACATCATATCATTGCGGATGAGGACAGGGTAGGCGTGGCTGCCCAGACGGCAGTCGACTTCGGAGCCGTTGATGCCAGTGCCAATGCCGGCCGAGTAGGAGTCACCCAAGGCGACGAAGCCAGATGATGGAAACCAAGGGCGATGCGGAAAATCGAAGCCATCAGCTGGCTTGCCGTGACGGGGAAGCTCTGGCAATAGTTGCGGCTGTGGTTGGAGCGTGCCGTTGTCGAGATTGGGGGACCACGGCCAGCTCAGAAGCCAGGCAGGCAGCGCGCTGGCAGGCTGGACGAGAAGGAGTGGTAGGAGAGAGTTTGCTCTTTTCATGGCGGCTGGACCAGGTCACAGCGGACGAGGGAAAATCTCATGCCGTTGAAACAGAAAAGAGCTGGTGCAGTGTGAGGTGTGAGAGTGGTGAGTGTTGAGAGATGCCTGGCAAGGGTGGCTAATAGCGCCGCGTCATGCTCACCGGCGGGTGAGCGTAGAGTGCGCAGGCCGGGGTCAGTGTCTTGTGGAGGGGTCAGTTCGAATGGAGTTCGTGCGGCAAGGTAAAAATGGAGGTCGAACTGTGTATTATCGGGGCGTACGCGGCATGTGGTTGTTGCCAGTGTTGAGATGCTTTGGTTTGGTACAGTAATTGACTGGCATGTGGTGAAGTGCGACGCTGTCACTGGCTGTGAAATACGGCAGATGACCAGTGTCGCCACTACAACCAAGCCAGAGACAGATAGATCTAGACAAATAATACGGCGAATTTAGAGGAAGCGTTCAACATTAGACCTACGTGTTTATTTTCTTTAAGTAGAGCAAAGGCTACACCAGGATCACTCGTAAGGAGGCTCACAAGAACGGTCTATAAAAGCAGTACAATCAGCCCAAGGTAGCCAGAGCAAATCACCATCAAATCTACCACACAACAAAAAGTCACCCAAAATTAGTTAGTATCAATCAAGCTTAATACTACATCTAGGTCCAGGTCAGACTATAGGTATCCCTTAGAGCTTAAAAACCCTATCCCATTCGCTCAGTTCCAACCCAACAACATCACAATCATCTTAACACGCCCGCCTCGCCTTTCTAATCACGATATAGAATACCAACCACGCTATTACAGAATTTCTATCAGATCAAAAGCATATAATAGTTACGCTGCGGTATAGAGTTCTACTCCACTTTCAATAAACGCGAACACATAATGTTCAACTGCTAGAAATTTATCTTGACGAAGCTTTTAAGGTATTGGTGAAGGACGTCAATGACACCGTTGTTAAATACAACCAGCAATTTAGTACAGGCTTATGCTTATGGGAAATAAGTTTTTCTTTTTTTTTTTAGGCCAGTGAGAGCAACGGATAGAGTCACATACACCGATTTGCCTGAATGATGGAAGACTCAGTAATAAAAGGAGAGTGGCTGGCGAGTCGGTCGAGTATGTGGATGCAAAGGAACAGAGAATTGGATTCACAGCATGCGGCACGGTATCTGACCAGAAACATACTACAAACGTTTAGCCTGCGTTAAATTTGACGGATCTGGCCTCGGTTAGTGACGAAAGAGCATGGCACGCACCTGTAGAAAATCAGCATCGACCGCTGACCTATCATTACCACAGAGTCTCGCGTTAACCTTGTGCTGCATTTTGTTATTGTGAGGGTGGCTACTTCTAAAGAAACCGTTTTCTTATATAAGGAAGTGTTCTCAGGCCGGACTTGGCTGGAAGATATACGATGCCACAGCGATTCACTGCCCAGGGCCGCGACAACGAAACTGGCATTCACGGTATAATCCCCCCTCCGCCTGACAAAGATGAGAATGAGAGATACCCTACTATCGAGGATATATCTACGTATACCCAGTTCTATGAATCATAATGATTAAAATTCGTCTAGTTTCATAGGGCTGTCGAGGACGGCTAGGTCGTAGTGGCGGTTGACGGCTCGGAGCACATGAGCACTCCCAATCCATCCGGTATGTGTTCTACAAGAACTTGAACGACGTCCACATCCTTGATCGCGTGAATGGACGCAAGTGATAGCCAATATGCGGCCATAAATTGGCTAGTTTGGTCGTAATGCCCAACGTTACTATCCGTACTCCTGGGTGGCTTTGGTGTGAGTTGAACCTCATAAGCACGGGCAGATATGTGTAGCGCAAAAAGTAGGGACCAAAGTAATATGAGTGCAAATAGCACTACTCTGAATGATTCTATACTATTCTCTTGCGCTTCTTCTTGACTGTAGACGAGGGGCAAGCACGCCACAGGACTCAGCAGGAAAAAACCATAGAGCGAGCTACCAGCTAACGCTTTTACTGCTAATCAATAAACAAGACCAAAGCAATGAGCGGCTTTAATTCTTGCTACAGGAAGAGAGCCTGAAGGTTTCATTTCCAGTACAGAGTACCAACTCTATGCAGTTGCACTCCGGGAATAGCGCCCTGGCTATGGCTCCCAGTCCATTGCCTCAACCATCCAATCCCACCCCTCGCCGCTGTCTGACGCATAATCCACCATGATCTCTTCAGTCGCGACCATGCTTCTCGCCACCGTGTAGCCACCTTCAAGTCCCTTAAGGACCTCGCCCACGATCCACGCCAAGTCGTACATTTTGAGCGGCGGCGTCTCCCTGCCCTCGGCAGCGTCCTTCCAACGGTTCCGCAGCTCCTTGGCCTTCCACAGCGCCTGGTTGACGTCACCCTTTCCCAGCACCTCGTGCAGTGGATTCGTGTCCTCGTCGAGCGCCCTCAGCACGTTATGATGGTACGCGTGCGACGAGGACCCGGCGCGGCCGCTGCTGTAGCGCTCCCGCGGGACCGAAACGGCAAAAACTAGCAATAACAGCACAATCGCTTGCTCAATCCACGCGTAAAACTCGTAGAAGTCGACTTTGAAATTGCGCTCCGCGTCCTCGGGGGTAAAAACCCACGCCGACGGCGCCAGCGCTCGTTGATAGGCGGCCTCGAGGTCCAGAAATTTCCAGCGCAGCCGCTGGCATGCTTGCTCAAACCGGTGTAGCGCTTGCGGCGGCGTCAGGCCGGCTGCGAGAGTTGTGGACGTACGCGTGCCAAGCGGTGTGCTGTTTGGTTTGGCGGGCGCTGTCATGGTGGACGGTGGGGGTGGCGGCACAGAGCGGGATCGCAAGCTCTCGTGGACCGAGGACGATTTGGTGGTCGCACCATTGCGGTGCTGTTGCTTCAGGGGAGCCCATATTGAGCTTTCCAGGCCAGCTGATGGTTTCGTCATGTTGAGATGCAATGACCCTGTGCCTGGCGCGGCGGCGTAAACAGGCCGCTTGCTGACGAAATCAGAATGAACGCAACGCCAGGCGGCTACGCTCGTGGGGTGTGTTGAGGATGCTCAAGGATGGACATGCGCGTTGCGATCATGGCAAAAGAGGTGCCCGCATATTATTGATTGGTCTAGTATCTTTTCAAAGCAAGAGAAGCACGCATTGGACACCCTTGCCTCACCAAGTACTTGAGCTCGAATGCTGTTGCAAAAAGGGAGACGAAGTTGTCGAGGCTGGCGCCAATAATAATTGATCCAACAGCCCCGCCAAACGTCAGCGGCTCCGTGGCTCACGCTGCAAGCTGCTTGCCGACTTTCCAGATGCGAAAAATGAAAGAGACACAGTAAGATAGATAAAAAGAGATATATTCAAGTCCAACCCGCTGATTCCCAAGGTATCCTTTCCCCGATGTGCAAAAAAAAAAAAAATTGATTCTAGCCGACATAATGCATATATAATTCATAACACCACAAACCATACAGGAGCTTGAGGCCTGGAAAAGCACCTACAGTACTTCAAGGTAATTCCGAGTAGCAACGTAGGTCACTCCCTAGGTAGATAGTCATGGGAATGGTCAAAATTTGCTTTGAATTACCGTGAGCCAACACTATAGGCATTAGCTGGCTAGTCGCCACCTTTGATCCTCTTCGTGGCCTTGGCCGTTCCAATATGTGTATTATGCACCTACAGATATGCCGTTAGTCTGATATGCCTCAAAGAGAATGTTGGTTTACGGGCCATGGTTACCTTGGTCGCGAATCGTAAGCTTGTCAGCGTTTCTTTGAGGTGCGCCTCCAGCGGTGACACCATGACGAACATCAGAGTCTTGCTGTTACCACCAAGGCTGTACTGAAGGAGGTGCGTCAGCTTGGAGTTGCGGTACGGAATATGGCCGGATCCGCGACCCAGAGCTTCAATCACATCACCCAGACAGCTGAGACTCTTGTTGATGTTCTGCGTTTCCTTCATGCGGTCGCCCTCGGCCTGCGAGTGCTTGAGACGCTCCGAGCCTGCCAGGTCTACTAGATTCAATGTGCCTTCGCACTGCTCTCCAGTGGCCAAGTTCCTCCCCACGAGCTTAAGAATAAATATGCTGTGCGACCGAGACGAGCGTTCGTTGGCTTTGGTCGCTGCCACTGATCGATTCTTTTGCGCCTCACTTAGCATCGTCTCGACAACATCGGCCGAGCTCAGTTTGACCATTGTGCAATTGACGATAGTGGTTTGCTTGCGCGCTTCGTCGTGCCGAATTTCAAGCTTCTTGGAATTACGCTCGTTCGGTACTAGCAAGTCGTTTAGTTCTTCGTTGTAAACCTCGACAAAACAGCCCTCCATGGAGTACTCCCAGGATTTTTCTTTTAGCTTTTTGATTGTGTCATAAATCATGTGTGTTGCGCGGGGAATCATCCCATCGTCCGACGACATGGTATGAGTCTTGCCAGAGCCGGTCTGGCCATAACAGAAAATGCAAACGTTATAGCCATCCAATGCGCTTTGGACAAGTTGTGAAATCTCGCCGAAAATTTCTTCGTTCTCGGAGGCCGGCATAAAGACGCGATCGAACTCGAAAGGATAGTTCCTCCGCGAGACTACGCCTAGGCTGCTACGCTCTTCCGGTCCTGCGAGGACAATTTCTGCCGACGTTTTGTCGTCCGGGAAGGAAATGCCGGCGTGATCCTCCTTAGGAGTCTCCAAAGATGGACGTACTCGGCACATGACGCGAATGTTGCCCTTGAGCTCTTGGTATTTGTTGAAAAGGATGCGCCTTTCAGTTTCCTCCCTGATCAGCTTCTGCTTCGCTTCCTCAGCTAATCGAAGAGCGTCTTGGAGCCTGGCCTCCATATTTGCAAAGGAGTCGGATTGTGCTTTGCTACCAGACTCGAGAAACTCCACTTGTGAACGAACCGAGTTCAGTTTGGCTTCCAGCGTTGTATTGGCGGCAGCAAGCTCGGCAATGTTGGACTGCAGATTGCCATTGAGATTCTTTTGGCGCTCAATTTCGCTACGAAATATCTCGTTCTCGGCACGCAAATCTTGCAAGTCACGTTCCTTCCGTTGAATGCTCAAATTCATATCCTGTGCTTCGTTGCCCAGTCGCGATCGCAAATCTTGAATCTCCCGTTCTTTGCGTTGGCGTTCATCCTCCAGGGCCTTTTGGTGTTTTCGGGTGATTGACTCGATGTGCTCCTGATGTTGCTTCGTTTCTTGATCTTTGAGAAGATCCAGGTCGCGGCCAAGATCTTCGACTGCGGTACGATGCTGACGAGACAGATCCTCGACAACTCTCGAGTGGTCACGGTTGAGCTGATCAACCTCTCGCTGGTTCTTCCACTGAATCTCCTCGAGTTGATGTCGCAAGGAGTGGCGCTCCTCTCTAGAGCTTTCGAGCTCGGCATTCAGGAATTCAATGCGCCCGGTCAGTTTATGGCGATCGCTTTCGAGTTCGGCCGCTGCATCAGTCAGAATATTGCAAGCGATAAATTGTGATTCTTCTCATCCTACCGCGCGTCTTTGCCAGCTCAAGGGCATCGTCATATTCCTTTTTTTCTGTAAGCGAGCTGTTTACTATGTCCTTTAGTTCCTTAAATTGCGATTCCATCTCTCCAACTCGTCCATCGACGTCGAAAGCTACAACAAAATCAGTCAGATCGGCGCATCTGGTGGGGAAAACTCCTGATGTTCGGTCCTGTTTTGCGCTCGGAGGCTCATACCGTTTGTGATTGTCGTTTGATCGAGAAGGTCTTCGTCGCGGTGTCCGTGAGATGTTTTGGGGCGCGGCGCCTGGCCCTTCGAACGTGCAGCTGGAGGGCGCGCAGATGGAGGGCGAATGGCAGTCATCTTTGTGCCTGATCGTTCTCTGCTAGGGCCCAAGCTCTTCGTGAAGCTACTGACCGATGGCACTTGATCTGTCTGTTGTCGGTAGGAGGACCTCAACTGGGACGCACTCGTAAGCGCAAGGCCCTTGACCACGTTCGCTCGGGTGCCATAGCTGTGCGCCGGCTTGGGTAGGTACTCGGCAGCACGTTCGGACAGGAGTTTTCGTTTTGGCTCTGGTTGAGAGATGGCAGGTTGAGGAATCTCGCGCTTCAAATTCTTGACTCCGCCAAGAGCAGGAATGGCGGATTGATTGCGAGTGTTGTGTTGTGACTCGCTCAATTCGGATAAACCTGAGGGCGCGGAAGGACCAGGCAGTCGACTTATTCTAGAAGTCCGATTTGCAGCATTCTCCAAAGTTTCCATGATATCGACGAGGCGCGGGCGCGGGCTGTATTGATGGGATCAATTGAAGACGATACATTGGTTGTACACAAACGATAATGCGCCTTCGTCGGTAAGTAAATACTAGGAAGGTAAATAGTGCGCTAGCACTAGCGATGCCATGCATGGGGCGGCCCCGTTCGTGCCACATGTATTTGCTTTCGGCTTAGCGGGGTTGCCTAGGGCGACCTTGCCTGCCATGTGGGGGACAAAAAAAACGAGCGCTTTTCCAATTCAACACAACGATAATTAAAACCACCACAGTTAAGTCAAATTACCATCAAAAAATATCTAGAAAATCACATTATGTAGCAAAATCACCAGGCTGTTCGTTTTCCACTTAATTGGATGACGTGGTGTAGCCTGTGTGGCATACTCTCAATCCAGGCGTTGATGGTCTCCTGGCTTAATGCTAACCATCCTTCTTCGGCTAGCTGTTTGACAGTATCTTCATCCCAATGAGGTCTTTGGCGTAAGGCCTCTTTAGTCGCGAGCCAGCAGTTTTCTATAGGCGATAAATCCGGGCTTTGAGGGCAATTAAAGAAGTACTGTAGGCCGTGTTTTTCCTTCCAGGCCCTGACCGGGTTATCCTTACCTGGCCCGTGGCCACTATCGCCATCTTCTTCGAGGACAAGTGGCCGGCTAAGGTCCTCGAAGGTCTTCATAAGGCACGGCTTGACGAAGCCCTCTAAAACGGTCTCCAGATACACTTTCTGGCTCATCTTGCCGTTAGTATTACCAGGCACCTCATACCAGATAAGAGGGCTCTTGTAATCGTATCCCACGGCTGCCCAGGCGTGGAGGCGCTTGAGATCACGCTCGGCAGGCTCCTTCCGTTCCTAAAGATTACCAGGATCGCCACGAGTGCCGGCTTTCCTGGCGATCCAGGCAGTACCTTCAGAGCCGTATCCAAAGTGCGTCTCGTCAGAGAAGACGACCTCGTGCCAGTCTTTAGCCCGTGGGCGAAGGTTCAATGTGTGCTGTGCCCACTCGAGCCGTCTCTTAGCCAGAGCCGGCAACACGTAGTCAACCTGTTGAGCAATTCGCTTGTGTATCCCTCGCTCGTTAAGCCGGCGGCGTACGGTCCGGCCAGAGAGGTCAAGATCGCTGGCGGCCTTAAGGGCCACAGAGGCCCAGGGCAACTGCTGGGCTTTGAAGCCTTCATCTTTATATAGTTGTTCGATCGAATTAAGGTCAGCCTCGCTTAAAGCCCTCTTCCGGCCACGTTTTTCTTATATATTTAGGTTGTTGTGGTGGGTGCGGTCAGACGGGTCATTACTGTTGAGAATCGCTCTGCCACGCGCTGGTGAGACGCCCACAAACTTGTACAGCTTCTTACGCTTATAGGGGATGCCCTCGAACTCAAGGTACTCACAAATCCCTTTTAAACGCGCTTTTTTAGGCGTATCGTGGTGCCCTTCGTTCATCTGTAACGCGTCAAATGTGGTGGTGTGTCTTGTGGTGTGGTGGTTAGCGTGGTGGGTGGAGCGCTCGTTTTTTTTTGTCCACCCCTTGCCTGCTCTTCCTGATCATCCAGATGAGATCAACCCTACATTTCAGAAATTGATTAGGAACGTGATCACGGATGAGTTTTGTGGAATTTTCTTTTTTCTTTGTGTATTTTATTTTGTAGACATCGGACTATTGGCTTAGCTGCTTGAGAACGCAAGCAAATTCGAAGCATCTCTGAAAGGTATCAATTCGGCAAAGTTGGAGCGCGAGGAACATGGAATATGGAATATGGAAGATGGGGCAGATGGATACTGAGAATCAGTTCATCCCGTCTCCGGTCGTATCAGATTTCACTTCCACCTGCAAGCTGTGTACTTCATTCTGCGTATCAAGGGCGTGTGCTTGGCAAGACGGAGTACTTGACTTCATGGAACAACGACTGGAAACACTGGGTTTATAAGGGAATTAGATATTCGACTTAGTCGCGCAAATTGCAAATCCAAATTCATCATCCCTCTTGGTGACACTGGACAGTACGTCATGCGGTTTCGCAAGGTGAGACTCAGGTCATGACCGCCAAATCGTCTCGTAAATCCGAGTCCTGACTAGTAAGGTTGAACAGCCCGCGCTTACATTCGTGGCTTTCCTCTACTGTAGATAATAATGAATAAGAAGCGCGCAACTTCTTGCCTTCGTGATTGACTATCACTCATGTTACATGTGGCCGTAAGAGGTGAGTCATTTAGCTGCTTCCACATGACACAAGCTACCAATATCCCAGAAGAGTTGTTGTGTTGTGATCACTGGGTAAAAGGGTCGATGCAGTTGCGCTGACTGCGCACCAAAAGAGAAGGTAATCGGACATCAAACATAATCACCTACCCAGACATCCTTTTGCAAGGACCTACAAGAAGCACTGCAATGACTCTACTTTGAATACCGCTAGTAGTTCTTAAAGACATTCACATACACTTGAAGGCTACCTTCCCGGTTTGGGAGCCCATACCAACACGCAATGACTTCGCCCGCCGCAGCATGTCAACCCACAGATGGTGACGGGATTAAGATCAATGTCACGATTATAGTTCCAAGCGGCAGAACAAAGGAAGAGATTATCCAGGAACTCTTTTTGTGGCATTTTCGGACCTGACTCAGTTTTTACTATACACCATTGTCGACTGGAGGGCCCGAAGCCGTACCTGGACAATGTACACGCCGTAGAGATGGAACTCGAGTTTGTGATCCAAGACGCGGCAGACACGTATTTCGAGGAGATGCTGCTCCAACTTGAGGCATTCGGCTACAAGCTTGGCCCTCTTCACCCCATTGCGGTCGGAGATTGACGTGCATTTCATCGATTACGCGGATCTGCGGAGGCATTCTGGTAATACATTGACTTGGCAACATAGCTTAACAGGCTTATATTATATTTTGTTTACCTCTGTCCAGCGTCTACTTCTACCTCACTAGCAGGTGGTGATGAGGGCCGACTAGCTGCTCTTGTTGAGGCTTTTCCACGTAATTAGACACCGAGCAAAATTGCAGCTCTATTCAGGCAGTCCTTGCAGTACTGTCGCTTTGTTTTCCACCCGCTTGCGCGACTGTCCGACGTTGTGTACCCAACACGATACGTTTTTGCAACACAAGTGTAGTACAAACCAGGTTGATGCTCGCGAGTCGCGACGGAGGGCCGTTTAGCGGTCACTGAATCACAGACTATGTGGCTGTTTTCGAATCAGAGACTAGAGACATTCGAGTAACGGTACACAGAGATTGATGGCGTAGTAATGAGCTATATAAGCAGCAAGGGACCCCAACTCTGCTCTAACCAATGTCTACACTCTGCCATCACAACATCAGAGGAGCTGTTGTCACTTGTTACGGTACGAAATATCTTTCGAATAAGTTGCTGACCATGTCTGGTTCAATTCCAATCAGACCTCAGACACCTGATTCCCCGTCAAGATCATCTACCAATGACCCGAACCCGCCCTACAACGCAATGGTTGAAGTCTGGATCAACTGGTCTCTTGAGGAAAGGACCCAAGAGCAACGGGATAAACTACAGAGCTGCTTCACTGAATGGCAGAATACAGATCTAGGCAAGACACAATTTGTCATAGGTCTGACGCCGGCAGTAGAACGGGTCATGTATAGCGAACCGGACATGTTTTTTTACGTGAACGGGCCTGACAAACCTCGTGCAGACGCCCACGCGCAGGCTGCACGGCGCTTTTTCGAGCAGAACGGGTATAAAACTACACCTAATTTCCCTTCTTTCCATGTTGCAAAGCCAAATGAAAGAAAGCCTTTTCGGTGACCGTCACAGAAGCCAAGTAAGGCCTGCCCTGCCACTCTGGGTCTTGCAGCGGCACATCTGGGTTGTCTACTGAATTGCGCCTCGTGATGGTGTGACTCTTGCTCATGTTCGAGACGAAAACGGATTTGCTTTGTTTCTGATCAACTAACAAGTCTTGCAGGAGTCTTGTGCATGAGGTGGGCGGCTGAAGGTACATTAATTCTTCTATATACTTATTTTTTCATTTTCTCTGCTGAGATCAGTCGATAACGACGAGTGGCCCCGTGAGAATTGAGCAGCCCAAGAATGTGCACAAAGTCTGAATAAGTTTTTTGTGCAGAAGCCTTGTTTGTGCATGTGTGAGTCACAACGGAGCCCGCGCCTACCAATCAAACAGCGGGTTCAGCGGCGGCCTGCCCATTTGCGCCATCAGGCTTGGAGATGGCTGGACATTAAATAAGCCGGTCCTGATCGTCCATTCCGGATCGCCTCTTCCTCTTCATCACCATACTACTCTTTTCCTCATTTTTTTTTAGCAGCAGCTTGGCCTCGCGCAAGAGGCCAATCACAACCTGAGACAATGGGATCAGCAGTCGCCGCAAGTGCCTGCTGCTCCCGCCAGCTCATCCTCCTTTGAAGGGCATGTCGGGATCCTATCTCGGTCTGCCTGGGGAGACGAAGCTGGAGGAGCCTACGAACCATTTTTTCTTCCAGAGCCATATTCGAATTTTCAACAAAATTCCTCATGGTGGTCACCCTCGGATCCTACCTTTTTGGATGCAAGCCCTGAACTCGACGACCTCGACTGGACGTTGGATGAGGAGCTGCAGCGAGTCATCAACGCGCCCGCAACCAATGCTGCCCTCACGACTGTCACCGTACCGGACTTGCCTTTGCTTGCGCCTGCTCCTGCTCCGCCCGCCGATTGGTCTGGCTTTGGCGTATTCGACAGCAACCCGCCAACGGTGAGCAGCGGCACGAGTAGTGGCTGTGCGAGCACGCACCCGACACCCGCGACGTCAAAGACACCCTCTTTCGCTGCCGCTGCCTACCCGAAAATGAGCGCACACCGCAAGCACGCTGATCCGGAAGTGCTCCTCAAGAGGCAGCGCAACAAGGTCGCCGCGCAGAAATACAGGCAGAAGAAGCTCGACCGCATCACGGAGCTCGAGGTTGAAGTTAGCGGTCTAAAGCGCGAGCGGGACGAGCTGCGCATTAAGTTGGCGAAGCAAGAGGCTGAGACGGCTGCCCTGAGGGACATGTTGAGATTGACAAAACCTGGAATGTTGGAGGAGAGTTAGCTTCTCTGGTTTTTTTTGTCTCATCGGAGGATAGTTTGGCGGGATGTATGCTTTTCTTTTTTCTGTTTCAAGGGTTCAGTCATCAATTCTATTCCAACTTTTGCGCCCTTGATTTCTCAGACGATGTCGACTTAAACACTTCCTCACAGCTGTGCACAATGCGTCGCTTTCTGAAGGTGTACTTTATCCATCATGGTGATTAACGCGATGGGGGCAGGTCAAAACAGCGCTCTCTTACCTTGCGGAGCTTAATGATAATGTCTGGCGAGACTCACGTTGACTACAATTCAAGATGCTACTGTTTATCTAAAACGGCCTATCTATATGTACAGCAAACGCCTCTCAGTTTGTCACGGTTTCGCCGCAAATCTGCTGTCCGGGATTGCGCTGTCGAACATGATTCATTCGAGGCACTTGCAATTCGTGGTCACAAATGATAGAGACGATTGTCATAATCACACATTGCACATCATCACGGCGACTGAATAGGCCATGATTCATTCCTTGATTCCTCTTGTCTCCGGCGTTTGTGTTTTCGCCCGGAACACGGGCTTATGTGTGTTACGCAGAATGATTCATCTTGAACAAGCCAATCACCATCCCGCATAGTCACTGCGTACCCCTGCTCTTGCCTGGCTGTAGCCAATAATTGTGTAGTAGAAATGCGGATCCCACACCTTCATTGATGTGAATTAGGCCCTATATACGTTCATAATAATAGCATCTATTTTATTATGCAGCGATGCCGGGGGGGGGGGGGTTATATGCGAGAACCAGCTGTATGCCGTGCATAACTTGCTCGAGCCTCGAAAACCGCAGATATTGAGGAAGCAAGCTGATGATCAGCCCATTCTCTCGCGAGAAACAAATCTAACTGACATTTGAAGTTGATTCATAATTTTTGGGCTGGCTGTTTATCGACTTCCGTATGCTCTCCCAGGGCAAACATGCCATGGTATACTGAGGAAATCTGTCAAGGTACAAACAACACCACGCACTTTTGTATCTATCAACAGATTCCTTACCTCTCCTCCAACTTCACTGCAACGGTGGAAAGAGATGATCAAACACATCTTTCGCTGTCCTCGACGCAATGTCATCAACAGCTCGCTGGTTCCAAGTAGACGCATCATGGAACAAATAGCCATCTGGCGCGTCGCACGCAATGCTGCCGCGCTCCCCCTGCCCTGCAGGTATATCCATTGCACTCGCAAAGCACGGCGCCGACACATCAGCGAACAACAGCGACGCGTTCGCCGTCGCCTCACCGTGGCCCGCCGAGTCGTGCGCACCGCTTCTCATCATTTCCACATTCATGATCAGCTCTGTCATCCCGGCGACCGTCGAGTCCAGCTGCTCGCCCATCCGCTTCGGATACGGCGCGAAGGCCACCTTTGATATTCCCTCCTCCGGGCGCATATCCTTGGGCAAGCTTGCCACAAAATCCTGCAGGGCCGCGTCGTTCATGGGCCTGTCGCTCGTGTTGATTACATGCTCGTCTTCCACGCCAATGGGCTTTGAGCGTGCCCTATCCCGCCACTGCGTCATGCGCTTCGCGACTTGCTCGTTCCAGCGCCGCGTCAGGGCTACAGCGTTGCGCATGTGCTCTGCTCGCGTGTGAGGGTACGGTGGCGCCGGGCGTGTCTGCCACACCGGCGCCAGCGTCATGTCAAAGAGCTTCGGCACGAGGATGCGAAACGTTTCGAGAGCTCGCTCGTCAAGTATCCGTGGTGCGTTGGGCGCCATGAATCTCTGCATGTCGGACGGCTCCATACCGGCCCAAAAGTTGGAAAACGCGATCGATCTCGGGTTTAGCGCTTTTAGGTAGAGAAGCTCGGCCTGTTGAAAGATGTGTTCCACCATGCCGTCCAAGAGGTCATTTGCCGTCACTGGGGGGAGAGCGGCGAGATTCCAAACCTCCCATGTTCCGAACGTGAATATCCAAACAGTACTCCGCGACTGCTTTCTCTCCGGTGCTGTGGAAAGAAAATTGTCGACTTGTGCAGTAAGATCAGGCGTCTTTGGCACGGGGTATTGCGACTTGAGGAATTCGTAGTCGGATGCTGGCGACTCCAGCATATCGGCGCCTTCGACAGACGACAAAAATTCGTTGGTCAAAGTCTCATATAGATGGTTCGATGCTATTGCGGGTTGCGCATCTGTCGACGGCACTAGAGAGCGATATGATGTACAACCAAGCTGTCAAAGATTAGCCATGTCTATCCAGGTGCCAGGCTTGCGACCACACCTCTTTACAAAGCTGCAGGGTCCACGAAGATCTTGAAGAATCTGAGCTCGGCACTGCGCTCCCCATCACATCCTGCGATCCAAAGACCACAACCCGAACATCTTCTGTCGATTTGGTAATGGACGAGTCGATCCGCCTGTGCCAGAGCAGCGGGTTTTCGTAACCCTCGAAAAACCACGCCGGCGCAAAGGTCGCCAGAGAGTAAGTGACGACGAAGCAAATGGCTATTTGCGCAATGAGACGCGGCGTGGTGCGCAATATCCTGTGCGACACGAAGCGCAGCGAAGCACTTAGTTGCCCGCTGCCGGGACTCATCGAGTTACGCCTTATCGTTTATGCTTTGCTGTCATCCGGCCAAGTAGCTCGATTCCGTCTCACAATGTTCAATGTCGTTGCAATTGTGACGTGCGCATTGCTTGGGCGAGGCAGTCGCGTGCCGAGTTGCTCAAAGTCGGGGTGGCCTCGGTGCAGTTACTGCTTGAAGCTAGTTTGCTATTTCGTTAAACCTTATCGCAAGTGTTGACCTCCGCCAGCTACGCCAATGGCAATCGTGGGCGGTAGCGTCTCGGCGCAGAGTGTCCGTGGGTTCGCGCTGAGCAGCCAAGAATTGATTCAATTGATTCAGTGTCTTCCTTGGGGAGATATTTGGAATAAGTATAACTACTACGAATTGACCACGCGAGCGACCCAGTGTATTTAAGACTCCTTTCTCAACGTGTTTTATCAGTGGGGTGAAGCGCATTGAAACGTTATATTATCCTGTACGTTTCTGCGTCATGAGCGTTGCGCAAGCTGCCCCTCTGTGGACACCAGCTAGTTGCCCGCGGATAACGGCATCGTGGAAACTTCTATCATTTCTGATATTGGTCTGCGCAGGATCGGGAGGCGCCTCACGACTCAGCTAGGGGCCCAGCTATGAAGGGGTTGGCCGAAAGCACGCAGACGGCTCCGCCGCGCGAGCACGCGCACGCACGCCTAATAGAACGGTTTGGCGAGAAGGATGCCGACGGGGTGTTGCCTTTGAGTGTCGATCCATACGCCTTCGTGGGGACCTCTAAAAGTCTATATTGACGCGCGTCAGTACAAGAGCTGCTTGACATCTGCTTTAGGCAACAGGTCACTAAATTCCCCTAACGGCGAAGATGAAAAATAGATGTCGGTAATAATGTCGAAACTAAGAGTCGGAAATAAATGACGAAAGCCCATGTCGAAAGAAATTGTCAAAGGAAGATCGAAAGAAAAGCATGCCTGCGTCGTGGTGCTATGCTGGCCGGTACGCATCCGCAATTAGCACGGGCTCGGCGCCGACCCCGGCGACCTGGCAGTGACGGCGGCGCCGGTTGAGACTCGACGCCTCAGGCGCCACGACACAAAGTCAACGGACAGGTTTACGCATTCCAATCACCGCTCTGGGGAACCACGGCAATTATCGCACATTAATCAAGGTAAAACGTATTGTATTCGCCATATTGTATTCGTCATATTTCATTCGTCATGCGTATCGTCTGCATCATCTCTCATGCTAGATAAACGTTCAGCACGTGCAGTTCTATTCCTGGCACAATACACACTTCTTTTCTCTCTCGCACTCCTGTGCTCTCAGTGGTGGGGATGCAGCTTAAAGCCCGTCTTGCGCAGTTTCTGAAAGACGCCCGCCGGGTCATATGCCGCCGATACAGCAGCCAGCAGCGCCGTGTTCTCAGCTCCGTAGTGCGGAAACGTAGATCCAGGGCTCGTAGGTGCCCATGTCGCGCTGTTTTTTGTTGACTGTATACACAAAAGATCGCGCAATGGGCAGCAGAGCCCTCTGGTGCGCCTCTGTGTCGACGGTTATGGAAAAGAGCCAGTTGAGCTTAGGCCCATCCGCCACCACAGCCTCCAGACCGAGCACGTTGCCGCCGCGTGTGGCTGCGTGCCGGACCATGGCGGGAGTCAGCGGCTGCAGCAAGATGAGCGTGCTAAAGGTGGCGTTGGGCGCGGCGGCCTGCAGCTTGGGGACGAGGGCATGGTGTAACTCATCAATGGCGGCGAGCGACTTGAAGCTGTGCTTGGCCGTGGCGGTAAACCAGTTAGCGCTCAACAAGAGTTAGATTGTCTTTGAAAAAGTCTTTGAGCTTCGCGCTTACTATTGACCAAGAGGTGTAGGGCCGGTGAATTGGGGGATTATGTCCTTTTCCGGACCAGACGTTACGGTGCTGCCAATGTTGGGGATGGACATATACTCCTTGAAGGCTGGGCGGTTTGCCTGGCCATTGGCATTGGTGAGGATGGCGCGAAGGGTGAACCCATTCTTGTTGTCCCAGAGCAAGGCAAGAATGGTTTGATCCGGCGAGCTGTCCTCGGTCTTGTCGACAAAGTTAAGGTACGCGTCGAAGACGGCGTCTCGCTTGTCAAGATTGTACTGCGTGAAGCCGCCCCAGAGCTGGTTGCCAGATATGGCAACTATTATGTGTTAGCTTTGCAAAGGAGAAGCTCAGGAGACGCACTGTGGTCGATTCTCGTCACGAAACCCAAGTTACCGGAGCCGCCCTTTTGCGCCTTCCAGAGATCCGCATGTTCCTTTGCATTAGCATTGACCACGGTTCCATTGGCCAGGACGATTTCCCAATTGGCAACATTGTCGCAGGAAAATCCATGTGCGTTGCTATGAAACGAATACTACAGACAGTTAGCGACCATACCCCTCTCGAAGCAAGTACATACGCCAGCACCAGTGGTGAAGCCGCCCACGCCGACGACAGACGTGCGCGCGCCAACCACACTGACGTTGTGCGGATTGAGAGCCTCGTAGACGGTACCCCATCGCGCGCCGGGCTGTGTCGAGGCGATGCCCTTCTCTTCATCATAGGTTGTCGTATTCATGTGGCTCAGGTCGACGGTAACGCCATTCTTGACGCCATTGGACCCCTTCCAGGTCGAGTGGCCGCCCGCGCGGATACCAAACGGGCACTGATGCCGGTTGATGGTACGTGCAATCGCCTGCACATCGGCAGTCGACGCGGGCAAAACCATGCACCAGGCGTGCTGGGCAGCATTGGCGGAGTAGTAGGATTTGAGCTGGGCGTCATAGACGGTGCTTCCAGGCATAAATACCTTGTCGCGCAGCGAGTCCTGGGCCGCAAGATCGTTACACTAATTCGATGGTCACTGGTGAGTTTATTTCGACACGCCTCAGATGTGTAACATACACATCTACGACCTTGTGTCGCGGAGGCTCCGACGGCCACCATCACTACAAAGGCAACAGAAATCTTCTTGATGAAACGCGATAGACAGGATTGAGGATTTGGAAAGTGTTGTGAAAGACTTTCTGCTGCCGGACAAGCAGGATCAATAGAGCTGACGCTTGTCTTGTATCCCGTCTGACGAGCGGGGATCTTCAGCCGCCTAGAGTCTCCTAGGCCACTCCATAAAAGCGTCACTTCATCACCGCTAGGCCGGAGAAGACGAGGGAAATTCATCCTTTTGGCGGCCATGGAGTGGGCATGGCAGCGTGCCCGTTAGATATGTAATATTGGTCCAATTCGTCGTCTTTGAGGGGGCGAATGGAGCCAGATGTGCATATTGCAGCATTTGTGTGCTGGCAATGAGGCTAGAAACATCTGCAGTGGGGTAGAGGCGCGCGATGGACGGGACGAAAGGCAGGAGAGGCACGATTCGAGTCAGCGAGGAGATGTCGGGATGTCCGCTTGATTTGATGAGACCTACACCATTGGTGGCCAGTGGTGGCAGCCTCGTCACAGAGGGCGACAGTGGCAAACGCAAGCCAGATCAGATCGTTGGTGAGGGCGACTGGAAAGAGGACGGATTGGTCCTCTGGGCTGGACTCGGATGAAGAAGATGGGACGAACTCGGTCGGGTTGCAGATAGAACTCGGTCGGGATGAACGAGTGGTGCGACAAGGGTCTGGACAAATGAGGCTAGCGAATAGTTGCCAATGACCAAGTTGGGATCGATGTAGAAGTGAGAGCATGGCAAAGTCGCAAGGAATAGCCAACACAAGGTCAATCACATATAATAAGTAATAAATCTGGGCTCCCCATGCTCCCTTCGGTGTCTTGCCGGCTCTCGGCAATGACAATTGCTCTCCTTGCTTTGCCAATGAACAATACTTAGTTAATACATAGGTACAACCGGCCCCCAACCCTTCTCCCTCTGCCACGATCATTTTGCCCTTCACTGTTTGAAAACCCGCCGAGTCCCCTTTTCCAGGGCTGCAGGCGTTCACATCTGGACATGGGCGGCGCAGGAACCAACATATGGCTTCCTTTCCTGTCGCCAATGGTGCTGATGACGCCGCCCGACGGCGTCACGCCTGACTTTGACAACCCGCGGCAGAACCACTGGCTGCAGCACTACCTGGCGTTTGGCATCGGGGGGCCTCTGGCATTGGCATTTTTGTGTCAGCGGTATTACACGAAATTGTACCTGTCTAAAGGGCTCCAGATTGACGACGGTGCGCGACGAACCGGTAGTGTCGAGATGCAGTCGCTGACCAATTTCGCTAGCATTCATGTTTCTGGCTTGGATCATGTCGGTAGCCACACAAGCCATTCTCACATGTAGGTTTACGCTGCTCCTGCATTGAGCTCTTCTGACAATCTGTAGACACCATCGCCCAAGGAGGTATGTGCGCGCACGCATGGGAGATGCCCCTCAAGCGATTCGAACGATACTCGATTGTACGTCTTTGCACACACTCCAACAACACTCGCAGAGCATCCCCATCAACCTCGCCCTGCAGTTTGTCTACGTCGCCGCCCCAGTGTACCAGCTCTGCAACGGCTTCACCAAGCTCTCGCTGCTGTGAATCTACCTGCAGCTCTCTCCGCAGCGCTGTTTCCGCCTCGCGACGTGGTTGAGCATCGTCCTAGTCGCGCTCTACACGGTCGCCATCGCCATCATCATGCTCTTCCACTGCAACCCCGTGCGCAAGGCGTTTGACCTGCGCATCCAGACGGGCGCGTGCCTCGACACCGGCATTCTGTACATGGCCACGGCCGTGTCCAACATCCTCACCGACGTCATGCTGTTTTTGCTGCCGACGCCCATGGTGCTGCGTCTGGAGATGGACCGCGCGCAAAAGATGGGCGCGATTGCTATTTTCGGCATCGCTTCGGTTACAGTTGCCACGTCGATTGTGCGATTGGTCTATTTACCGGCGACGCTCAGGAGCACCGATCCGTCGTGGGATGCCGCGCCCGCCAACGTGTGGACGTACGCGTCTCCACCGCGTACACATGGAAGAAAGAACCCGCTGACTAGAATCGCAGCTTTGTCGAGGGCAACCTCTTTGTCATTTGCGGATGCATGCCAACGGTGCGCCGCTTCGCGCGACACCTGTGTCCGGGATGGTTCGGCACCAACTCCCCGGCCATATCCAAGAACTCGGCGCAGAGCACACTGGTGACGTGGGGCGCCAGCCGCATGCGCACGCGCAGGCATCGGCGCTGGTCGCAGTTTGATGATGCCAGCGAGATGGAGCTCGTCCAGCGCGGCGGCGCGTGCGAGGGCAAGACGGCTGAGCACAGCTTCGAAGCGGTGAACAAGTCAGGCGCTGATGCGGAACAAGGCCCGAAGAGGCCACAAAACAATAGAAGCACGGCCAGCGCGGACACGAACAGTGCGAAAACAGAACATCATACCGAAACAGACGGTGAAGCAGAAAATGACAATGTGTGAGACATGCCGAAGAGCTCTTCTGAAGTGTGGTATTTGGCATGTATACAGAGGGCGTTTTTATTTTTCTTTGGTGGGGGTTTAGTAGTTTAATTAGCATTTTGATACCCGGATATTACCAAGACGACATGTGGTTCGAATACACTCCATTACGAAAAAAGCCTTGTATTGTGAGAAGCCCAGGACAGTGGATGAAAGGGTGAGTTGATGACTGCTGACCCGCGACGCAGCAACATGGCATGCAGCGGTGACAGACCCGGCACGAAATACCGCTGTGCTGCAAGTCTCAAGAGAACACAGCAGTACACCGAATGAGCGCCAGTTCAGGGCGTCATACCATGTTTTGACATATGTCAAGACTGGCAAGCATCGTGGCATCTAGCAAGATACAGACGCCCTGTACGATTGAAGTTTACGATCCTGAATGACACACGGGCGCTGCGGTGGCCCCCTTGGTGGTAACGGCTCTAGGCCGATCCCCGTCGGGTCCGGGCCAGCTTGACGGGCGAGCGGTCGAGCCGAGTTTCCACCAGAGTCCGCAACAGGGGCTTATTAGGCCTGCCAAGACCTGACCGTACATATTCACACCTTGATATGGCTTGGTGCGCAGTCACACCTTGATAAGGCTTGGCCCGCAGTCACAGGCTCACAGCTGGATAAAGCGGCTAGTAGAAGAAATCTCAACGCCACTTGGAAGTTGGTACCGATCAGCTGCGCGGAACGGGTGCTGACTAGGCCACAGTCTCGAGTGTCGCCGCTATCGTTTTAGTTTCTTCAAGTAACGTAGCAGCATGTCTCGCCCAACGCGGAGCGCTTAGAAGGCGAATTCGCAGCGATCTTAGGGTAAGGCGCTGCCTACCTATGGCATACTGTTACCATCTGGGTAGGTATGATGGCGTAGCATGGTGAAAGCTATACCTTTATTCGCCTCTGAGTGCACTGGGCACCCACTGGCACCTTATCTGCTGTTCGGTTTCATGGCAAAGAAACCATTGCTTGGATTGCCAAGCCTACTGACCGCGCGGAGAGCGCGGAGACGGCAAATGGTTGTCTACGCATCTAACAGCATAAATACAAAGACGGAGATAGGGTCCGGTAATGCGCAAGCCCAGCTCGCAGAACAGCGCCAACGGGCTGTGTAATGGCGATTGCTCGTGGCGTCCAGTGGCGCTGCGAGGAACGGCGCAACGCACCAGTACGGTTTAGCGGCGAGCGTACGGATTAGTCGGGAGGCAAAGGGCACCTGAAAGCGTCAGCCTGGGTCGCCAGAAACATAAGTACCCCTTGTCGACTGGCTGACAAAAGTCCTAGAGTTGCTTCCCGCAGCGGAGTCTCCGGAACACGCCTGGGGTGGGCATGACGTCTGTGCCAGCAGAAACCAAGGCACCCTCAGTGGTGGTAGAATGTCGGGGTGGCCGGAGAGGCCGGAGTTGTGACCGAGAGGGTGCGGCGGCGGGAGGAGGGACTTTTCTGGAACGTGGAATCGGAATCTAGAACCTGGAACGCGGCGGCGGCGACGAAGAAATTTTCTTCGGCAGGCAGCTGGCCAATATCGATAAGGGAATCAAATTGTGCAACAATCAGAGGGATTGTAATGTCAGAAAGGCAAATGGTATTGGTCCCACGCGGGTTGTGGTGTCGCATCAAAAACAGTGGAAAAAAGAAGAAAAGCGCGCAGAGGAAACACGGGATACGGAGATTTGCGGAGTTGAAGTGACGACAGGCAGGTGAGGCCTGTAAGTCAGCTAAGCCTGCGAACCCGGTTGTTGTAAGCCTGTAAACCTCCGTGCCCTCCTCTGTCCAGCAAGGCTGTGCGGGGTGGGTGAGACGACGAAAAGGCTATTCTTACAGCGTTGAGACGGCAATTGCAGCACCTGGTTCTGCGTGCTCCGCCTCGAGGAATGAGCCCTTTAATCCAGCGGTTTCGAACCAAAAAAAAAAAAAAAAAAAGGTGCGTACCTATTAATGATGGGCATGTACCAAGTTCGATTTCGTTGCCAAGGCATTTACTTTGAAATACAGCAACGATTGTCAGTCAGTACGTACCTACCTGGAGTGCTGATGGCCCACACACACTTGTAGGCTGCGACATCATTGGCTGCTGAGGCCGTGGGGCCCCAGAAATGGAAACCCCGGGGAGCCGACAAGCTGTGTGGCAGTCAGTCTGTTTCACTGAGCGGACTGAGTACCTTCTATTAATCTACTGCCTACGGATTACCCAGACTTGACTCTTTGCACTAAAATCAAAAACCACTGCAAACGGGACGCTCCACCAATAATTGCTAAGTCTCTCCTTCATTTGATTAATCATTGGACTTCCCCCATCCTTACATTTTCCCCAATTTCCATTACCGTTCTCCTCCTCGTCATTCATATCGTCACCTGCTCAAGACTGCTCTCAACCAGCCTCGCCAGCGCTTCATCCGTACCAAATCCGAAAGCCGTTGACACCACGGTGGCCGCATCCCTTTTCTGCCTTGCAGATCAGCCTTCCCGCAACTGCAACTCATCCTTCGAAACCGCCACCCCGAACGCAACCACCACCAATCCCTCTTCCGCGTAAAATTCGCATCGCCGCCAGACCACCACATTCACTGCCATTCTACATCTCTTTTATTGCTACACCTCATTCGACTCAATTACTTTCTCTCCGCGTCTATTCGCAGCCATGGCCATCCGCGATCGTGTCCGCCGCGCTCTCCGCAAGTCGGAAGCCTCCGACACAACGTCTTCGACCGAGTCAAACAGCACCACCGCCCACACCAGCCAAAGCTCCAACGACGGGCCACAATTGGAAAAGACATCTTCCCGTCTCGCGCGCGCCCTCACCTTTGGCTCTTCCGATAGCAAGGAAAAGGAAAAGGAGCGCGCCGAAAAGCGTGCCTCCAAGGCCGCCCAGACTCGCCGTCGCACCCACCCCCGCGACCGCCCCCTCACGTCTCAAAACCTCCGCCACCAGGAGATGCTCGCTGGCTTCAGCATGACTTTTGGTGCCTCTGACCCGGCCCAGATCGAGACTATGAGCTTTGTCGGCGTCAGCCCCTGCTGCACCCGCCGCGGCTCCCTCGACCTCAGCCGCGGTAGCAGCACTTCCTTCTCCAACGCCTCTTCCGGCACCGACTCTTCGCGAGAAGAGTAACTGAATGCTTTGCACTCTATGATTTCTGACGGGCGTGTTGACAAATTACCTACACGTCCGCCATGAGTCAGCGAGGACTCTGACTACTCGCTACATGCACATCAACCACACAGAAACGGGACTATTTCTTAGCTTCTACAACACTTGGCTTTTATCATATTATTCATGGCTGCTGGCACGCAGATATGTACATACACGGCTGGACATTCACCCTATTGTCGAGGGCCCCACAAACCGTTACACGGTTCGGAATTACTTGCACTGACTGGAAGCGCTCCGATCAGTGTCCACTAGAACAGGCGGACAAGATTTGTTTGGTCATTTTTATCATTTTCAACGATTTGCCATGATATTATCATGGTTCAAGGGCGTTTAAGCATATAGCGGCATTCTAATAGACTATCTTGCGCACAGTAGATATTGCGACTTGGACATACACTGGCCAGACTCACTTTTGGGTGACAGGTATAACAGAAATTTTGGCAGCAGCATCTAGTACCAGTAGTCGTTACAAGTCGCATCATTCAGACTGCAACCCTGCGAAGCCAGTTACCCGCAAGTAGCATAAGGCGTTGCATCGCGCGGAGTCCGCCACACTCTATTCCCATCTACTTTTCATCTGAGTAGTATCTACGCGACCAATCAACACCATCACTCAGTTGTGACTTTCTGCATGATATGTTGGCTCGTCAATTTGCGCCGCAATACCAGTCGGCTGTGCACAGCAGTAGCATGTTTGATCAGCAACCCGCAGCATGCTAGACGTCGGATTGGTCATGCGACATAGCATTTTCAAACACTTCAATTCATGCTACCCCAAGGTGCAACTCCGGATGATCATTATGACACTGCCTTTGCTCTGGGTTTTCATACGGTCCGTCGCCAGATTTTTGGTCTCAGCTAAACCACATAACTCGGGCTCACAACCACAGCAGTCTCCTACGTCAATTTTGTGACAATAGATAAATTACGGAGGCCTTCATACGCTAAATAGACACTGGAAGGTTCCGTACTCAAAAAGCATTGCCTGGGGTTTGATCTTGTCTTGTACTGGCTGCCCAAGGGCCGCGAGTATCCGGCTCAAGATCAACAGACGGGCAGCTGCGTGATCGAGCGTGGCAGAAGACAACTTATTACTACTCATGAGATTCACACAACATCTAGCACCTACCTACCTATAGTTCATCATGCTCCATGAAAAGAGCGTATTTAGCTAAATATAGCTGAGCATAGCTAGCTGGAGCAATTGGACTCTCACTTTGCATGGACTGCCTCAACAAAACGTCTCTGCGCAAGGACTAGAGGATCGAAAGTATGAGATCGACGAAAGAACATGGTAGGACGATAGTCTCGATTCGTCCGTTGACAGTGCTCGTGGCAACAGCTTCACCTTTCCTGGGCGTAGACTGATGCTTTGCAGAAGGCAGATTTGACCAAAGCTCGAGAAAGGCGAAAAGCACTTCCAACCAGAGCATCTAACTTGACCCAGACTAGCGCTACACCTCTCGCTACGCTGCGACTTTGCCCTCGAACAATCCACGTGATAACGCACGTGAGCCACAAATTTACCACCAGCAGCGTCGTGCCCTACTCAAGCCCCACAGGCCCGAAAAATCCATCTTGTTAAGCGAGCAGTCCCCTGCGCCTGTACACTTCTTCCCTCCCCAAGCGAAGTCAACCATCGACAACTTTTCTTGAGCACACACGGCAAAGCCACTTTTGCCCATCATGTCGCTCGTGACGGGAGAGAAGTCGAACTTCCAGTTCGTAAGTTCTTTTCATCCGAATGCCTGCAGGAGTACAGCCTGCTTCGCCGATCCAAATGCTTGCTTGTCACCGATTTTGTCAAGCCCCAAAAGGTTTCATACTCGATCGACGATAATAAATAGGAGGAAAGCATCAAGACAATTACCGGATGGTGATGGCAACAAACGACAGCAAAGCTTTGGATAGGCTGGCGGATGTGCCGCCGACGCAGGGTAACACGAGTTGTGCATCCAAAACTAACACAATCAGATTCTGCGTCTGTTAAACACCAACGTCGATGGAAAGCAGAAGGTGATGTACGCCCTCACCAAGATTAAGGGTGTCGGTCGTCGTTACTCCAACCTTGTCTGCAAGAAGGCCGATGTGGACCTTGACAAGCGGTATGCTCGAACTTGTGGCTCCTGGTCTTGTGTCTGCCCACCGCGCAAACGCTGCCTCGATGCCTCCACCAATGAACACGTCATTAACAACTGCACAGCGCCGGTGAGCTTACCTCGGAAGAACTCGAGCGCATCGTCACCATCATCCAGAACCCCACCCAGTACAAGATTCCTTCGTGGTTCCTCAACAGGCAACGCGATATTGTCGACGGCAAGGACTCTCAGATCCTCGCCAACGGCGTCGACTCGAAGCTCCGCGACGATCTCGAGCGCCTCAAGAAGATTCGCGCCCATCGCGGTCTCCGCCACTACTGGGGCCTACGCGTCCGCGGTCAGCACACCAAGACCACCGGTCGCCGTGGCCGCACCGTTGGTGTCTCCAAGAAGAAGGGTGGTTAGTGGTTGTGCGCAATCATATTTGTGTGGTGGAGAACGAAAAGATCTCAGCAACGTTTTGGGTGGGATTGGCGTGACGGCTGGTTTCCCCCTTTTGAAACTTTTCTATAGGGGTTGTGCTTTCCTGCATATGCGGCATTGGGTGCTGCTACTCTAGATCAGAGTCATGAATTAAAAATGAAAACATTACACCAACTTCCGAATGTGTCGTGTCATGCCCACCACGTTGTTTATGCGGAGCACTGTCTATGGCCGATAGATGACTGCGCCATCTCTTTCAAAATCTCCCAAGAGTACCTGCAAGACGTCCTTGCTTGTATACCTTCAATGATAATCGTTATACCCGCTTTGAATTTGTAGCGGATCGGGGATATATTCGTTTCACTTGTATTCATACGCCTGACGTAAGTTTCCGATAGTCATTTTGTAGTTGACATCTGCCTACTCTTCATGCGTCACCGCCATATCTAGCACTTCTACCCTCCCCTGCCCTTTTGTCTCGTTCCCGATAAAGTCACTCAGCGGTTTAAACGCACCCGGCTCGACGAAGCCCACCACCTCCCACTCGGCGCCCATGACGTCCTGCGTCTCAACCTGCTCGATATAACTTAGGATCTTGTCCTTGACCGTCCCCTTTTGCTGCTGCTGCTCGCCGCCCTCCTCCTTCGATGCCGCCGCCGCCGCCTGCTTGGCCGCCTGCTTCAGCACGCTTGTACCGCAGCTGATACGCAGCCGCATGCGCGCACGCGCCACAGGAATCGGTTGGTGCGCAACCAGCGCCTTCATGGCCTCGAGTGCCTGGCTCTTGGCGCTCTTTGTCGTTGATACGCCCGTCCAACTGTGCTCTTTCGCTCTTGGTCTAGCCTCGCCGTCCTCGCCAGTCGCAGGCGTGCCTGCCGCGCTCCCGCTCTTGTCTACCTTTTCCTTGCTCTCTGACGGCTGGTGCGCCTGCGAGCTGAGCATGTCCAGCGCCTTTTCGATCATTCCCGACGTGTACACGCGCTTCGTCCGCGGATCGACCAGCTTACTCGCGACGATGCTGATGACCTCATTGTTGATGCGTTCGAGCTGCGCCGCTCGCTCCTTTTCGCCGACTTGCTGCTCGCCCTTTTTTAAAATCTCGAGGATGATGTCGTCGGTCGTCATCTTCTTGCCAAACGCCTTCTCGAGATCCTCTTTCGGCGCCGTCTGGCCCTTGGAGACGTTGAGAAAGACGTTGGGGATTTGAAGCACGTTGTCGAGGTCCGTCTCGATGCCAGAGCGCCATTCCAGGACCTTGTTCTTGTAGCAGGCGATTTCGAAGCGCTTCTTGCCTTTTTTTAGGCGCACCAGTGACACGTTGGTCAGCTTGATCTGGTTTGACGGCTGGTTAATTTGGCGCGACATGGTCGATGCCGGGTGTCGAAATGTGAGAAGACAATTAGATAATCATTAAGGGCTGGGGATAACTGTTTGTCCAAGTAATTTTCAAGGGTATATATAGCTGTTGAGACGTGCCAAGGCGTTGCGTCAGGATGATTTCCTCGGCTGGTCCAGTTCTACGACCCCGCCATCACTTGTCGCGTGAAATCTTTACTGCCCCGCCTTAGGCTTGCGCCCACGCACAAAGGTTGGTTGACTCATTTGCTCTTGAGTCACTTCAGGCTTTGCATAAAAGCTGACCACCTACGAGGGCTCCATCTGCCATTGACATACAAAGTACCCGGCTCACAAGTATTTCTCGGCCGACACCATGGCCGCAGCAGACGCCACCGCAGTAACCCCAGAGGATCCCGCTGCCCCTCAGCAGGCCAAGCAGGACATCAACCCCTGGTCCGTGTCGGGCGAGGTGGGCGAGGACGGCAAAGTCAAGGCAATCGACTACCGCAAGCTCATTGACGAGTTTGGCACGTCTCAGATTGACGATGCGCTGCTGGCGCGCTTCGAGCAGGTGACAGGCCAGAAGCCGCACCGTTTCATGCGCCGTGGCATCTTTTTCAGCCACCGCGACATGCACGCGATTCTGGACCGCTACGAAAAGGTAGGCGTGATTAAAAACATTTTAGTACAATGTGCCAAATCTGGTGCTAACGACTTAGAATGAACCATTCTTCATCTACACTGGCCGTGGGCCGAGCAGTGACAGTATGCACATTGGTCACACTCAAGTGTTTGACTTTGTCAAGTTGGTGACCTTGTATGGTTGCTAATGCGTAGACTAATTGCATATAGGTGGTTGCAAGATGTCTTTGACGCCCCTCTGATTGTCATGTTGACTGATGGTGCGTAGTCTGATGCTCTCCAAGCGTCAACTAATCAGTTGCAGATGAAAAGTACTTGTTCTCGGAAAAGAGAACCGTCGACGAAGTGATTGGCTACTCGAAGCAAAATTGCAAGGATATCATTGCTGCTGGCTTCGATATGAAAAAGACATTCATCTTCTCCGACTTTGAATACGTCGGCGGCGCCTTTTACAAGAACATTGTGCGCTTTGCCAAGCGCGTCAACTTCAACACGGCCAAGGCAGTTTTTGGCTTCGACGGGAGGTAAGGGCCTGATCTACTCGAGAATACACAGCTGTACTGATATTTGCAGCTCCAACATTGGCAAGATTCACTTTGCCAGCATCCAGGGCGCCACGGCCTTTGCTAGCTCGTTCCCGCACATCTTTGGCACCGACGAGGCCGCGACGGCCAAGATTCCATGCTTGATTCCCTGTGCCATCGACCAGGACCCCTACTTTCGGCTGACGCGCGACTGCGCCGCCGGCCTCAAATACGCCAAGCCGTCACTGATTCACATGCGCTTCCTTGACGCCCTTCGGGGGCCAGGCTCCAAGATGTCGGCCAGCGATGACACGTCGGCCATTTTCCTGAGTGACTCGGCGAAGGCCATCAAGAACAAGGTTAACAAATACGCTTTTTCGGGCGGCCGTGAGACAATTGAGGAGCACCGCGAACGAGGCGGCAACGCGGATGTGGATGTCTCTTATCAATATCTGCAGTTTTTCATGGAGGACGACGAGGTTTGTTGGGAAAAAGCAATATCTGCCCGCAGCGACTAACATCGTATAGGAACTGAAACGAATCAAGGAAGAATACACTAGCGGCAGAATGCTGACAGGAGAGGTACGCATTCCGTGCATGCACACTTACAACCACCCTGCTAACCACTGCACAGCTCAAAGCCATTTGTATCGAGAATCTCCAAAAATACGTCGCCGAGTTTCAAGAGCGCCGGGCCAAGGCCACCGATGATGTTGTCGCCCAATTCATGGCGGTACGGCCGCTCGAGTGGCAGGGCAATCCCAGGGTGCCGCGCGCCGACCTCGTCGTGCCTGTCGCAGGGGCCGCCAGTGCTGCAGAGGGTTCTGCCGCAGCTGCAGAGGGTTCTGCCGCAGCTGAGGGTGGTGATGGCAAGTTGACCAAGAACCAGATGAAGAAGCTCCTCAAGGAGCAGCAGATTGCGGCGAAAAAGGCGGAAAAGGAGGCGGCCAAGGCCAAGGCGGCGGGTGACGCGGCGTAGTACAAGAGCATCACGGTATCGGGGGCGACGTTGACGCGAAAAGGGTCACCTACTGCGATAGATGCTGATCGCCATTTAGAAGCGGATAGATCTCAAAGTAGACCCAATATGATTCATGTATAATATAATTCGTACTTTGTTCGTTGGGCGTTCACTTGGCTTGCACCGAAGTTGGCCCGAGTTGCCCAGGGCCCTGTTGATGTATCCATCATTGTGGCATCACATAACAAACAGTATTTTACAGCCTAATCTCCAAATACAGGCAGCAGGATAAATATGTAGAGAACACACTATCCACACCCCGTGCCTCTAATACTAGTCATCATTCCTGAGACGAGTACCAGACACCCAGGCAACCAGGCAACAGCACGACAAAGATGCAGTGACAAACAATGCACCCATCAAGGTACGCAGATCAACTAGGGTACGCTACCCAGACACGCCGGAGTGCAGTCGGCGGACAGCGGCCTACCTAGGTAGGTACCTAGGTACCTAGGTATGGATGGGCCAATAGGTACCTACCTAGTGCTGAGCCGGGTGCCTCTATTAGTGGGGCCGGCCGGGGCCAAAGTACCTGGCATGGGTTGCCGCTTTCAGAGCCTAAGGTACTATTAAAAACTAGTCAAGCCACGACGCCCTAACATTAGATCATACACAAGCCACACAATTTTGTTAGGGCCAACCTCCTCGTCCAGGCAGTCAGTCACCCCAGTTTCATGAGTCGTCAGCGCTCTCGGCATCACTCTGCCCCCCCCGTTTCAGCGGCGTCATACGTTGTTCCGCGATAGCAGCCCGTCTCACGCGCGCCTTAGTCACCTGAGTCCACGCTATTACGACCTTGGAGAGCTTCCCAAGCTTCTCTTTCTCCTTTCCATCATCACTTTCTGTCAATCTTTGGCAACCGTAGCTCTTTCATCATCAACAAACCCCATCGGACAGTATCGCCACCATGCGTCTGTCAAACTCGGTCTTGCTCGGAGCAGCGGCCACCGCGGTCGCCGGCGACCAAAAGATCCTCAATAAGGGCGGCGATTACCACTCGCCGCTGCACGTCGGCGGCGGCGGCTCGCGCACCGGCTTCGACTGGTCCGTCGACTTTGACTCGTGGGCCAAGCCGCTCAAGACGCTGTACGGTGACATCACCGCCGAGGCCAAGGCCACCTGGGATGAGGTCTCGCAGTTGGCGCCCGAGGTCGTCGAGACGTTCAAGCACAGCCTTGCCAGCAAGGTTAAGCCCAAAAAGATTCACGGCCGGCCCGACGCACACTGGGACCACATCATAAAGGGCGCCGACGTGCAGGCACTCTGGGTCAAGGGCGAGGACGGCGAGGACCGCCGTAAGGTCGGCGGCAAGCTCGACAACTACGACGTGCGCGTCCGCAAGGTCGACCCGTCCAAGCTCGGTGTCGATACAGTTAAGCAATACTCGGGCTACCTCGACGACAACGAGCAGGACAAGCACCTCTTTTACTGGTTCTTTGAGTCGCGCAACGACCCGAAAAACGATCCCGTCATCCTGTGGCTCAATGGGGGCCCCGGCTGCTCCTCCCTACTCGGCCTCTTCATGGAGCTTGGCCCGGCCTCGATCAACAAGAACGGCAAGGTTGTCATCAACCCGAGCTCGTGGAACAGCAACGCCTCGGTCATCTTCATCGACCAGCCCGTCAACGTTGGCTACTCGTACGGCAGCGGCTCCGTCTCCAACACGGCCGCCGCCGCCAAAGACATTTACGCCCTTCTGACTCTTTTCTTCCACCAATTTCCCGAGTACGCTGAGCAAGACTTCCACATTGCAGGCGAGTCGTACGGCGGCCACTACGTCCCCATCATGGCACAGGAGATCCTGTCGCACAAGGAACGCAACATCAATCTCAAGTCGGCGCTCATCGGTAACGGCCTGACGGACGGCTACACGCAGTATGAGTACTACCGCCCGATGGGCTGCGGCGACGGCGGCTACCCCGCGGTACTCGACGAGTCCCAGTGCCAGTCCATGGACAACGCATTGCCCCGCTGCCAGTCGCTCATCCAGTCGTGCTACGACAGCGAGAGTGTCTGGAGCTGCGTGCCCGCCATCCTCTACTGCAACGCCCAGTTCATCGGCCCCTACCAGCAGACGGGCCAGAACCCCTACGACGTCCGCGAAAAGTGCAAGGGCGGCAACCTCTGCTACGACGAGATTCCGTGGATCACCGACTTCCTCAACCGCGACGACGTCCAGGACGAGCTCGGCGTCGAGCCCACCACCTTTGACAGCTGCAACTTCGACATTAACCGCAATTTTATGTTTCAGGGCGACTGGATGCTACCCATTGTCAGGGTCGTCCCGGGCCTGCTGGAGCAGATACCCGTACTCGTCTACGCCGGCGACGCCGATTTTATCTGCAACTGGCTCGGCAACCAGGCCTGGACGGACCGCCTCGAGTGGGCCGGCCAGAAGGAGTACAGCAAGGCCAAGAGCAGAGACCTGACAATCGAGGGAAGCAAGAAGCCGTACGGCAAGGTCAAGTCGGCCAAAGGTCTGACCTTTATGCAAATCTTCGAGGCGGGCCACATGGTGCCGTACGACCAGCCCGAGGCGTCAATTGATTTCCTCAACCGCTGGATCGCGGGCGAATGGGCCAAATAGATGTCAAATGAGGCGTTCTGACTATAGACGGATATATCTTTTTGGAAATGTGTTCTTTGGATCTATGTTAAGATACATGTTTGGCTATTTGGTTGGCTAGATGACATACCGCCTGCATAGCCAATACACGGACGTATCCTTTCTACCAGACAATGTGAGCTTGAAATGCAATTGCTAGTCACTTTTGATCACTGGCACAAGAGGCTCGGATGTATAAAAGAGAGGCTAACGCTCTTGAAAATTATTAAGTAAACTCTGTAAATCCGAATATTACGGCTGGCGTAAAAAACATTCGCTGACATATTCAGCCATCAAGATTAGGGTAGGACAACACAACGCATCGACAAACTCCACTCAACGATACAAAGCTAACACTGTAAACCCAAACATTACGTCTGTTGAATGAAAAAGTAACAAAGTTCGCTGACATATTCAGCCGTGAAGATTGGGGTAGGGCAACACGACACATCGACAGACTCCACTCGATCGACGATACACAACTCCTCGCTCGGCGTGACATGAACTGCTTCGAATGTGGTTGCGAGAATGACAAATTAGTTTGACAAGTCAGAAACAGTCTGTGAAAGGTCAGTCTTGCTTGGGCTTTTTCTAGCAGCGTGCGTGGCATTCTGACCGAATCTGTGCAGGGAAAAAACACAGACAAACAAGCGAGAAGCTTATACGACAACCGTTCCCGAAGCAACAAGGTGGTTCACATGTTCAGACATTATGTTCGACCAGCAGAATTAGAAGAAGTCGTTGTAAGCATGACAGTGCAGAATCACAAGCGTCACCAGCGATACTTGTGCCACGACACGGTGGACGACGCAGCCGAGCTTTCTGACGAAGCGACGGGACGAGCTCTTCAAAGTACGCATTTTGGACTTGGACTTGGCCTTGGGATTGGACTTGGCCTTGGGATTGGACTTGCCCTTGGACTTGCCCTTGGTGTCTGGCTTTGTGTCTGGCTTGGACCAAGTGATTCGCTTGGCCTCGACGACTGGCTCGATCTTGGTGTTTGGCTTAGCCTTGATGTCTGGATCGACCACAGTCTCTGGCCTGGCTTCGGTATCTGGCTTGGCCTCAGGCTTGGCCTCGATGACTGGCTTGACCACAGTGTCTGGCTTGGCCTCAGTGTCTGGCTTAGCCATGGGATCTGGCTTGGCCTCGATGACAGGCTTGACCACAGTGTCTGGCTTGACCACAGTGTCTGGATTGGTCTCGGTGCCTTGCTTAGCCATGGTGTCTGAGCTGCTCTGCTCCGATATGAGGAGAGATGGAGTATTGGGGCCGAGGGCGGGTCGTGTTGTTGATGATAGTTTAGAAAAGGATATCGCTTAATTCACTGTTTGGGCTGGCAAAAGACGCTGTTGTACGTGGTGGACGAATGAACAGACTACGGGCTTGGAGATGAGGGTTTTGTTTTGCAGCCAACTTGTTCCTGCCATTTTCAATATTGAATCTGCTATCGACGAGGCAACTGCAGTGCGTCGTGGTCGCACCGACCAACATCGCAACGATGGTGTATGTGCACATTTCCCGATTAGGAAAGCGTGTGGAAAAAAAGATGGAACGAACCAAGTCGACTGGCAATACCGCAATCACTGTCTGTGGCGAATCGATCGATATTACCTCTTGCGCGGCAATACAAATTGTTGAGGCAGTACGGAGTATTAGCGTGCAGCTTTTTGCTGCGCCGAGCCTGCAAGCGGAGCCACACTTTCAAAGGGTCCGTTCTGAATAGATGGTTACCTTATGTCGCATTTTATCTATCTCGCCGTGCCTCGGTCTAGAGTGGAGAGTGAGGGTCTTGACTTTAAGTCGTCAATTCTACGTATATTTTGTACTCGTGCCTGTTAATTCATGGTTTCAAATAGGGAAATTATATCAGCACTCGCGATCCTACGTAGGTCTCATCTCAGTCTCATTATGGGAGGCTGGCATTAGCCGGGATATCATGACGTTGGCAGGCAAGTCTGCACAGTACATAATGTTCCTTTTTTTTTTTTCTTTTCTTCCCTGTTGCTTTGCCAATCGTTTCCCGATACTTCCCCAACAAAACTTTCCAGCCCCTTCAGCCGCGAATCAACTGGCGTTGCTCCCGGATGCCGAGATGGGTGGGGCCTCTGTCGTGTGCCTGGTGGCGGCAAGGTGAGACGTCTCGGCGGTGTAGGTGTTAGTGCTCTGCTTGAAAAGTGCACCAAATGCTAACATGTGTATGTAGTGGACCCGTTATTGCTCAACTCAAAAAGACCGGCTGCATTTTTCCCACCAAATTTGATTTTGGGGTCCTTTTGCTCACACACCTCAGATCACTATCTTCACACCTGTCCTGCGACCAATCCCGGGGCGACGTTAATTGTCGGCATTTTGCATAGGTTTCGTCGGCCGAAAATTAGGGCCATTAAAGTACCTAATATATATACCACTGATCCTATCCGTAACTATTAACCCTTATCCCTAGCTACTAACTACTAACCTTAACTATTAACCCCTAATTAGTATTTTAAAAAAGAGAGAATAAAAGCTTAGATTTTTATAATTTTTATAGAATTCTCTATATCTATAATATATAGATATATTATTTAAGGTTATAACCTATCCTTACCTAGACTTAATAGGCTCTTACTTATATCTAATTAAGTTAGCTACTAGTATATAAGATAGCTTACTACCTTTTAGGATAGCCTAGATAGGTTTAGTACCCTCTAAGACTAGCCTAAGAAAGGAAAGACTCATTTTTTTAGTAGGCTTAGTAAAAAAGTTAGCTATCTAATTAGTCGTCCTGTAGGATAGTAGGCTATCCTATATACCTATGGCTGACTTTAGTTATTCTTGATTAGCTGCGAGCAGATTTCCCCCACTTTTTGGCCGATAAAACCTGCGAAACAGTCCGACAATTAACAAGGCCCCGGTCCCCAGCTGTCCGCCCTCGGGCATCCAACCGGAGGTGTGAAATTTATCGATAAGGGGAGTGGCGTTAACACGACCTAGAATTTGGGCGTTGGCTTCAATCGTTCTTCTACTCCAGCGCTCCGACCTGCACCTGTCCGGGATTTTTCCTCTTTTTTGTCCATCGTCTCTTCCTCCCCCGGAATTGGCTCCTCCTCGATTCAGAAGAACCTTTGGCTACAGCTCTGTTTCTCTCGTGCGACACTGACGAGTAACCTCGCGAGTACCTAGCCAACGACCCTCGCTACTGTCTCGAAAATTGCCCTCTTACCGCCTCACCAAGACCGACTTGCTCTCTTCCCCGCCTCCCTCCGCCGCCGTCGAACAACCAAAACGCATCATCAACATGTCGGTCCACTCCGGCATCATCGGCGGCCTGCCGTCGTCGAAGCTCTTTAGCTTCCCTCCGCATAACCCGGCGCCGCCTGTGCCACCGGCCCCCGTTTCTACCCTTTCCGTCATGCGGCCCTTCAACATTCCTGACGGCCTCTTCCTCGGTGCCCTTGACGCCCGCGTGCCCATCACCATTGCCGCTACGTACGCTGTCACCGTTAAGCTGCTCAATCGCTACAACCGCGCCCATAACAAGCAGCCCTGGGCCATTTCCAAGACGGCCGTCTTTCGCTTCTTCGTCGTCGTCCACAACATTTTCCTCGCCGTCTATTCGGCCTGGACCTTTTACGGCATGCTTGGCGGCATGCGCAAGAGCATAGTCAACCCCTTTGGCCCGGGCGGGCTCGCCGCCACCGCCGACAGCGCCTGCCGCCTTCATGGCGCTCCTGGTCTTGGCAACTCGGTCTACTTTAACGAGCACCTCACCCGCTTTGAGAGTGCTGGTCCAGACACTCCCGCCGGCGTCGTTGACGCCGTCACCGGTCTACCTAACGGTCAACAGGGAGGTCGCATCTGGAACGAGGGCCTCGCCTACTACGGTTGGATCTTTTACCTGAGCAAGTTTTACGAGGTCCTTGACACCTTCATCATCCTGGCCAAGGGCAAGCCCAGCTCCACGCTGCAGACCTACCACCACGCCGGCGCCATGCTCTGCATGTGGGCGGGCATGCGCTACATGTCTGCGCCCATCTGGATTTTTGTCCAGTTTAACTCGTTCATCCACGCTCTGATGGTGAGCCACTAAAAATCTATTCGCTCGCGACTCACCCGCTGACTTGCACAGTACACTTACTACACCGTGACGGCCTTCAACATCCGCGTCCCAGTCTTCATCAAGCGCAGCCTAACCAGCATGCAAATCACGCAGTTCCTCGTCGGCGCGTCCCTTGCCATGTGCCACTCCTTTGTCTATTACTTTGCACCGGCCGCTGCCTCGACCTCGACCTCGACCCCGACATCGGACGCGGCCGGTGCCGTCGAGTCGGTCCGCGCGCTGCTATTCGGCTCCGGCGCCGACGCCCGCCGCATCAAGACCATTGTCGACCAGAACGTTTCGTACGTTTCGCAGCCGTGCATCGTCAGCTCTGGTGAGACCTTTGCTATCTGGCTCAACGTCGTGTACCTTGCGCCCCTCACCTACCTCTTTGTCAGCTTCTTCATCGCCAGCTACGTCAAGCGCAGCAACGCCGCTAATAAGTTTGCCGGCAAGGGCGCCGCGGCGCGCCGTCTCAGCAATGTCAACGTCGACGTCGCTCTCGCGGAAAAGGCTGGTTGGGATGCCGCCCGCGGCCTGGAGCGTGAGGTGTACGGCGGTGAGCGCATGGTGCGCAGCAGCGATAACAGCCCTACGCGCGAGGAGGTCACTGCTCGCCGCACCACCAGGCGTCGAGGCTAAATCCGATATTTGCAGAAGAATGGGACTCGATATCTGTGGCCTCATTGCATTGCATTGCGTAGAGAGAAAAGGGAAGACGCGGCTGAGTGTTGCGACACGAAACCGGAAAGAGGAGAAGAAAAAGTCGGGGGAGATTACATGACATGGCGTAAGATGCTTATTATTCTCATGATTGTCTAGACTCTTTGACAAAGATCCAACTGCATTCATTGTTCTGGTTACTCAAGACGATAGAGACGTTTTCCTTGCTTTTACTGCTATCATCTATATACGAAGCTTAAGTGACGCTTGGTTTGTTCATTCATGGATGTGAGGCGATTCTATGTCAATAAATTATGACATTTCTGCTCCGAAATAGAGTTAAAGCAAAGAATGAAGACGCCTAGCTCCATAGTCAAGCTCACAAAGTTCACACTATACTTAAGCCTTAATGACTGTTCACGTGGCAGATTTGAAGACCTAATAAAGTTAAGGGCAACTTGGCAGATGATGTATTATGGAATCGTAGATGCGACCCTCTGTTGTGTGCTTCTCTTTGAGGCCCAACGAAACCCGAAATAAAGCTGAAAATGAAATCAAAATGGCAATGCCATCGCTCGAAACAATGAAAAATATGGTCCCTAATGAAAAGAATGGTCCGTAAACTCCATGAGGTTGGAACCTGCCTCTTGTATAACGTTGTGAAATGCAAAGGAAGGGTAACAACCCATCCATGACCAGCGACTGCGTACGGTCGGCTGATATCTATAGAGGATATATGAGAAAGGCCATGTTAAAATGCGCCTCTTTGATCCGGGTATCATGGTGTCTTGGTGGCTAGCCAACCAGCACAAAGACGTGTATATGTGTATCGTATATGCAGAGAAATAGAGTAGAAATGCAAAAAGAGTGCACTCAAAAGGTGCTCCAGTTCCAGTCGCGCGGGACACTGGCGGCAATGTCCTTGCTGGTAGGCAAGTTAAATTCATTGTCGTCGCCGCCCTTCTTCGTGGAAATGGCGGCCGCCGCAGTGCGGCCGCCTGAGGAATCTGAGCCCGAAGATTGGCTGTTGTTGCGCGAGTGACGGGCCTTGACCTGCTCAAAGCAGTGGTTGCAGGTCCGCGAAGGCATAGCGCGCGGGTTAAAGTTGGCGTCCTGGTCAAGAGGAAGGACCAAGGTTGAATGGAAGTCGCAGAAAATATTACCACATTTGCGGCAGTGGTGCCTGCGGTTGAAGTAGCTGAAAGAGCGCTTGCAGAGGGGGTCGTCGCAGATGGATGATTCCGTGTCGGGCTATCGCCTGTCAGTGCACGCTCTTTTTGGCCGACTTGTGCGTATTGCTTGTGTTGCGAGTAGCAAGTGAGGAGCCAGAACATACCTTCCAATGCCTACGGGTAGGCGGCGACGTAACATCGGGATATGTCGTCAGATCCCAATCGCCCTCGAGGCTCTTGGAGCTCTCGATGGTGGATCGACGGCTGAGGCGGGAACCGATGGCGCCGAGGCCGGTGAGACTCAACAAGTTGGCCGTATTGGTGCGCCGCAGTGTTGAGTCGGAGCCTGAATCGGACGAGGAACCGGGAGAGCGGGAGAGCGGCTGCTGGGGCGGAAATTCGTAGTTGGGACGCAAGACGGCGGGCATGTACAGAGGGCGCGCGCCGGCCGCATTACTGCTGTGAATGTTGCTGCGTGAGCCTGCTGTGCCGCGTGGCGAGGGCGGTGTCGAGGCATAGTGGCCAGCACCGCTGTTGGCCGGGTTTGTGTTGAGTTGAAAGCGAGGGCCCGCGAGGTTGTAAGACTGGGAGCGGGCGTGATGGGTAGGGCGGTGGGAAGAGAGAAAGTGACGAGATTGCTGCTGCTCGCCAGGCAGCGTGGGCATGATAAGCTGGGCGGCCATTGTGTGATGTTTCCAGTAAATGGTTATGAGTGTCGAGTTTTTGCAGAAATTGGCTGTTGTTAAAAGTCGTCTGTCGGAGAGTGTATGCGGAGGAAAAGAGATTAAAGACCTGGAGTGTTTGCTGTCCCAGGGTCCCTTGGTGTCTTGTTGGATCCGGGCGAGAGAGGAGTGGTGGGCACTCGTGGCTGACAAGGTTGGAAGGGATCGCCGGAGATGGAATGACGGTCTGTTGGCGGGCGAAGAGGAGTCGAAGGGGGGGCCAGTTGAAATTAATGCAAGTGTTATCAGTTGTAAGATGGCGGCAACCCAGGAGCGCGGAGCTGACTATCGTAGCGCGGCAATTGGCTGAAAAAGGAGGCGGTTTGGAGCGGCCAAGTGGTGATGGTGGGAGGGGAAACGAGCTGGCTGGGGTGAAATACTGGGGGCCTTTTTTTAGTGGACTGAGCGGTGTGAGCGACGAACTTGTCTCGTGCGTGCAGGATGTTAATGCAACCAGCAAGCAGTGATGTAATGCAAAGATGCTGGGGAGATGGCGATGGAGCGGCGATGTGTTGATGAGAGCGAGATAACAGCATTTGTTGTTATGAAGGAGGAAATACCTACTTATGCAGCAGGGTTTACCAATACAGCAGGTTGTGTCGCGGCTGCAACCACTCAATCACTGTTAATTTGCAACTGCAGCCACCGCAGCCAGCCACCGCAGCCACACAGTATTAGGTACCTAGGTAGGTACCACTATCAATAGCCGCTGCCGGTCGCCGCCGGGCTTCTGGCAGTTGACGACCGACAACGCACGACTCATGGCATGCATCAAGGAAAGGCGGCGGGTATCAATGAAGCTTGCAATAATTCTGCCATTTGGTCGCCGCCTTCCCCCTCTGTTTCGGTAGATGTTTGGTACTCTACATGCTGTCTGGTGTTAATACCTGCTTGCCTGCTGCGCCCGCTGTAGAGCCCCGCTGGCTCGCTGTCAGTGTTTCTGCCACAGGCTTTGCTTTCCCTGTATTTCAGTGCCTTCTGTTCATCTCCAAGGCGATCTCTAGGTACCTACGCGGGAGGGGGGTGTTTTCTGACATGCCCTCTGACATATTTTGCTATCTTGCATATTTTTAGACATATTATAAGGAAATCGCACTTTTTAGCATTTAAAAATTTCTGACATCCTATCCGAGAAGCCCGAATCCGTGGCAGCATGCCTTAATAATATTTAATCTACGAAAATCTGTCAGAGGGCATGTCAAAGAATACCCCCCTCCCGCGTAGGTAGGTAGGTAGGTACCTGTAGGTAGCCAGGCCATTTCCCACCACTCACAGCCCGCCAAATTGCCCCGAATCTCCACATTAAATAGCCTCGCCCGGAAGAATCCGTCACAACCTCTGCATCCACATCTTGTCTTTTGCCCCGTCGCTCCCCTCCCCTCCCACTGCACAACACGAATCCATCACCGACGGGGCGTTCAATTTGCCTGTGAGGCATTTCCCACCGGTAGACAAAGCACCGACCACTGGCCCAGTACCTAACTAACTACTCTTGGCGTCGCTTGTCCTTGGCCGTTGAGAGTCGACATCGCCTGGATGCCTGGCCGCTGTCTTCTCCCGATTATTAGAGTTCTCGCTTCTTTCGCCGGGAGCAGCCATTTATGATTCTACCTTGAAAACTAACTAGATGGGTGGTTAACCCAGAGCATCACATCAACCACTCATGCCGCGTCGCCCATCGTGCAAGGATGCAAAACCGAGCAGAGTTTGCCACTAGCTAACCCCGATCGTCATACTCTTTCTTCTCGCCCGATTTCCATATACGGCATGCGGTGATGCACATCTCGCGGTCTGCTTCTTGAACGGCAAATGAACTGAATCCCTGCTCTTTTTGGCAGGTTTCTTTCTTTTGTTTTGCTACACGCACTACTGATAATAGATAGTTGCTCGCTCCGGCGTACTGCACCCGACCCGACCGGCCGACCGAGCTGGCTCCACCACTAAGGTACAAAGCCAAGCAATAAGCCACAAAGCCTCAAGCGGCGAGCCTGCTTGCCTGCCCGAGGATCCGCATCCATGGGTGTACCGTGTACGTCTCCTGTGATATCGCCAGGGACCCGCACCAGCATGAAAACACAATTGAGCCCCAATGTCCCAATCCAGAAGGTTGCTTAGTTGCGTCTAGATCCAATCTCACTAGGTACCTACCCATTTACAGGCATTTGGCCCCCGAGGCCAGTAGGTCGCTGAACTACTTCAGGCAGGATTTCCGTCCAAGAGTTGCAACTGGACAATCAAGGGGACAAGCTTTCGATCCACTGCAATTTTGGATGTGCGAAGAGAGCCAGCCAGTCGCACGGTCATTGACAATCCTCAAAGACAAACCCCCGACATATCTAAGAAGAAAAATGACAGTCGAATCAATTACCCTTGATTCCTTTTGCATATTCCAACCTCTGCCGCGCACTGGCCGCATTGACATGTCTCAAACAGGAAATGTCTTGCACGACCACGGAATTTCCCCGCGGAAGCACGATCAAGCAAGGATAAACTGAATTCGTTCTCAAACGACCAAGTCCCCTGGAACGCGAATAATTAACAACACTGCTGCTACTGGCTACATACACTGAGTAACCCTCCTAGAACCCTTGCCTGGGCGCTCCGTTAGCCTCCATTTGTCGCCGATAAAATGGGGTCGCCCCCCCGAAATAGCGCCGTCGGCCGATGTGAGAATTGAGGCTCCTGGTTCTGGTCCCTGGAGCGGCGACAGGTCTCTTTTAAGCCTCGCTGGAACGAAATACGAGAACTGCTGAGCTGAATTGCCAGTCTCCCGCGGCACACTCCGCCATCCCAGGATCAGCGAATAACACAACGACGAGTTATGATGGCCATAATCTGTAAAATCGGTACAACCAGAACTCCCCGTGGCGTCGTGCAGGATTCAATAATTACGTGGAGACTCCAACCGAAAAGCTCGTCTACAGGCTAACTAGCTAGGAAGTTACTTACTGATAAATACGACTACAGTCCAGTTCGCCAGAGCAAAATTCGTCCATTTATACCTCCTCCACACACTGGTACTAATCAAGCAACGCAATACGAAATGCAGCCTCAGCTGAGCCTGCAGCCGGTCATATTGATACGCACATGCAGCATGGCTCATCAAGCATACGGGGGCCGCCAGCACGTTCAAGGGCCTAGTTGAAACACTAGTTCTATGATCAACTGGCTGAATTGCACCAGTCGTATTCTCAAAGCGGCTGAACTGCATGCAATTTTTTTTTTATAACATACTACTTAGTGTCAACGACTCTACGACTCCAATTGCAATTCATTAGCCTCAGTTCAAACAGCATCTCTCGCTTTCATCACCATCTCCGTACGCCTTCCCTCTGACCCAAGTCCGCGTCGTCAAGACCATGCCACCACAAGCAACTTCTTAGTACATGAAAGCTTGTCGAAACACTATGCAGCCGTATATACCTGGTTTCCCTTGATCCAGGTCTCTGCCACCCTGGCGTCCAACAGCATCTCTGCATCCCACGCCATGTCGACCAGCACCAAATCCGCCTCCCAGCCTACGCGCAGCTGTCCGACCCTGTCCTCGGCGAAGCAGCTCCTCGCGGATCCGCGCGTCGCCGCTGCCACCGCCGCCGCTAGCGTCAACGCGTACTGCGGTGTCGTTTGTACCGTGCTATTGCGGTCCATGGCTGACCGTCTCGTCGTCGCAATGTACAGGTTAGCCAGCGGGTTGTACGGTGCTGTTGGCGCATCGCTTCCCAGCGCCAGAGGAGCGCCGTGCTCGGCAAATGCTGCGTAAGGAAATACATGCCCGCACCGCGCCTTACCTAGCAGCCGTTCCCACGCCGTCATGCCTGCCGGGTCGAGGTGCACCGGCTGGACGGACGCGGTGATGCCGAGCGCGCCTAGGCGTGGCACGTCCTCTGGTGCTGTTGTCTCGAGGTGCTCGATGCGGTGCCGGCCGGAAGGGTTGCCGACAGCCTCGAGCCCGTCGATTGCCAGCTTGATGGCGGCATCGCCAATGGCATGCATCGCGATCTGCAAGCCTGCAGCGTCGGCGCGCTGCAGCACCGGCGCGAGAGCCTCCGGCGTCCACATCGGCGCAACTGTCTTGTTGTTGTGCGAGTATGGCTGCTGCAACGCGGCGGTGCAGGCATCGACCACGCCGTCACATATAATCTTAATACCCGTGATATGGAATTTCTGGCTGGTAGCATTGTTATACCGCGTGTGTAGCTCAATCGCGCGGTCAACTTGTTGCAACGTCTCCTCGGGCGACGTCCGAGGAAAGACAAGCCAGTGCGCGGCCACCCAGATCGGTAGCTCACCGTACTTTTGCCGATACTTTTGGAGGGCCGCCCAGTCTTCCTCACCCATGGCCATGTCCACGACGCCCGTGTAGCCTACGGCCATATAGGCGTCTAGGGCGGCCTGGACGTGCTGCTGTTTCTCCTCAGCCGTCAGCTTGCTCTCCAGAAACGGCCAGACAATATTTGACGCCGCCGTCTCCTCCATGACACCCGACGGCTTGCCGTCTGTACCGCGCCGGATCCGACCGCCCGGGGGATCCGCCATGTCTGCGACACCCAGCTCGTCGAGCGCGGCCGTGTTGAGCCACGAGGAGTGCATGTCATCAGCATCGACGTACACGGGGCGGTCTTTACCATCGACGTCGAACCCGTCGAGCTGCGACGCGAGCTCATTGCCGTCGGTCGATGGATGGAACCAGCCCTGGCATAGAATCCGCGGAAGCTCTGGATGCTGGGCTGCGTAGACGCGGATTGCGTCCTGAATCTCGCGCAGATTCTTGCGCGTGCGCAAGTTCAGCTTCTGTAGCGATGCGCCGGTCTGGCATAGGTGCATATGCCCATCAACAAAGCCAGGAATTACAACGCGGCCCTGAATGTCGTGTAGAACGGCGCCCGGTGCGGCCATGGCCTCGACGACAGTGGCGTCCGTCTCATCGCCCACGTATGTTATTTTACCCGTGCTCGCGTCGAGGATGATAGCGCTGGCAAAGTAATCAGGTGTCTCGTCGCTGGCTGCGACAAAGACGTGCCCGTTGTGCAGGACCGTGGGCATGGTTGATGGCTTGGTGACTTTACGGAAGGCGAGGTCAGACGCAGTTACTGAAAGTAAAAGACAGATGAAAGGAAAGAATGGTAATCGGGAGTACATGTTGCTGAATAAATTTTCTACTTGAAATTCGGCGCTGTGGCATAGCAAGGCGTCTAATGTGCTCCCGGAGTCGTAGCTTATAAAAAGGGCCGGACATCGGGCCCCGCGGCCGGCGGGGGCCGTGTCACCAAGATTGCCGATGCGATGCTATCTCTTGCGCATGGGCGCAGCACACACACAGTGCAAAAATGTAAATTAGTATGCATAACACTGGCAGGAAATTCGCCGTAGATGATTGAATCAGCTCACAGCATGAGATATCTACCGAGCGGAGAGTGCCGACTCCGAGAGCTGCAAGTCATGCCGCGATGGGGATGCCGGACGCCGGACGGCTACTGCATGAAAGAGCTGCGCCGAGCACAAGTGCCGGCATGTGTAGTTTCTGTGCGGTTCCGCTTTGAAAGATAAGCATAATGTAGAGTGATGGCATTCCGTCGAGCCGCTGAACTGATGCTGTAAACAAATAGCCGGTGATGCTACTACAGACGACGATTGACCACAACCCAGATGTGGTATATTGCAACATACAATTCGGAATCTATACAGTGATATGTCGACGCTTTCTTTGTGATAGAATTGCAGCACGATGCAACTCACAGTTCTAGGCGCTGGGGCATCTCGCGAGATCTCACTAATTCTCCCGCGTCGCCAAGACTTAGTCACGGCTAGCCTGATCCCCTTGAAGCTATCTATGCACACCGCGAGACTCCGCGGCGTCCGCACGCGCCGCAAGATGGTCCACGTCGATTTCTTCGCATAGAATAACGTCACTGCTGCAAAGGTAGACTTGGGACGCTTTCAACGCCAGCAGCTCATCCCTTCGAGTGTGGCAGGGCTGCATCAAGGCTGGCGTCATGCGGCGACAGTGATTAAGAACCTGGACGGAACAGCCGAACGGTGACTAAAGAATCAAAATGCGCCTGATCTCATCCTATTGGTATGCATCGAATATTGCCAGACAGTATGACAGTTTATCACTGGCATTGCGTTGCGGAATCGAGACCCACGACGACGGCCAACACGGAAATAACGACGCCCGTGAGACTTGTGATCTCGAAGAGACTATAAGAATTTTTACCCCAGCAACGCAACCCCCCCCACCGATTAATCGAGGAGCACAAAGCCAGTGCTCGGCGCTCGGCGTACTATGCTTTTATGACATGCATATCTCATAACTACCTATACACTTTACTATATTCTGTCGAAAAGACAGACTTATTAATACTTTGAGATTCTCACGACGCAACAGCAATCTTGTATCTCTACACCTCGGCCCAGCCTCAACTTCTTTCAGAAACTCATCATTACTTCAACCAAGACACTCCATCGATCAAGCTTCTGCATCGAGTCATGGAAAAAGGCGTTATTGACAGAATGCGCTATTGACACATGCTGGCTGCAGTGCTGCTGCTCTTGGGGCCGTATTCGGAGCATGCGACTGCCTCCCACCAATCACGACACGCGTAATGCCCCTCCAGAGCTTCAACTGGAATACCCCACCTGGTGACTCCCAAAGTTTTCTCGCCTCTCCCGTCTGCATCGGCCCGGCGGAACTCTTATTTACTTTTTTCTTTTTCTCTTCGTATAATATCTCATCCGTCTGTTGTGTTCAGTCTTGGAGATTTTCGCGTCAACGGAACAGAAAACGTGCTCGATCCATCGTCCAGATCGTCCTTTGCCCCTCGATTGACTGCCCCGCCACTTACTCGGCTGCTCCGCCCACGATGCCCATGTACGACTATTGATTGACCCCACGATGCTGATGCTGCTGCCAACTGCAATTGAGAAATTCGGGACGTTTGCTGACTATCGGCCGCGATGATAGGCTCAAGGAACCGTCAAAAAAATACAAGGCGTTTAAGGTATGCCGTGCTCAGAGGTGTTGCTCATCTGCCTTCCTCTGCTGACTTGTTAGCCCTTGAAATTGGCCAATCGCCAATGGCCCGACAAGACCATTGAAAAGGCCCCTCGATGGCTGTCGTAAGTACTAAATGCCGATATTCCATGAATCAAGTGCCAAAACAGCCAGATCCTGTCTTCGCGATGGCAACCAAAGTCTGCCCGATCCCATGGTAGGTTCTCAGCGACCCTCTTTCATCACCACGTTTAACATCCCCAGAACGGTGACGAAAAATGGGGTTATTTCAAGATGCTCTGCGATCTCGGGTACAAGGAGATTGAAGTATCTTTCCCCTCTGCCTCACAAATTGATTTTGACTTCACCCGCCGCCTCATCGAAACCCCCGCCGCCGTCCCTGACGACGTCTTCCTGCAAGTGCTGTCGCCATGCCGACCCGACCTGATCCGCCGCACCGTCGAGTCAGTCCGCGGCGCCAAAAACGCAATCATCCACATCTACCTCGCCACGAGCGCGTGCTTCCGCCAGGTCGTCTTTGGATACACCGAGGAGCAGACCCTCGCGCTGGCCGTCGAGTGCACCAAGCTCGTTCGCTCTCTGACCAAGGACGACCCAGCTGCCGCCGGCACCAACTGGCAGTTTGAGTTTTCGCCCGAGTGCTTTTCCGATACCGACCCCGAATACGCCGTCCGCGTGTGCCAAGCCGTCAAAGCCGCCTGGGGCCCCAACGATTCCAACGACAAGATCATCTTCAACCTGCCCGCCACCGTCGAGCTCGCCACGCCCAACATCTATGCCGACCTAATTGAGCACTTTTGCACAAACATTGGCGACCGGGACAGCGTTTGCGTGTCTCTGCATCCTCACAACGACCGCGGCTGTAGTGTGGCCGCCGCCGAGCTCGGCCAGATGGCGGGCGCTGACCGCGTCGAGGGCTGCCTTTTTGGAAACGGAGAGCGCACCGGCAACGTCGACCTCGTCACCCTCGCCCTGAACTTGTACACGCAAGGCGTCAGCCCTAAGATTGACTTTTCCAACCTAAATCCTGTTATTGACATGGTCGAGAGTTGCACAAAGATTCCCGTCCACCAGCGCGCGCCGTACGGCGGCAGCCTCGTCTGCGCCGCCTTCTCCGGCAGCCACCAAGACGCCATCAAGAAGGGCTTCCAGAGCCGCCAGGCCCGCGGCCTGTCTAGCGAAGACCCCTGGGATGCCATGCCCTACCTGCCTCTGGATCCCCAGGACATTGGCCGCACCTACGAGGCCATCATACGCATCAACTCGCAGTCCGGCAAGGGTGGCAGCTCCTTCATTCTGCAGACCAAGCTGCAGCTCGATCTCCCCCGAAATTTCCAAATTGCCTTTTCCAACGTTGTGCAACGCCGCGCCGAGGAGCTTGGTCGCGAGCTCCTGGCCAATGAGATTACGGACCTCTTCGAGTCGACCTACTTTCTCAACGACAACCCTCGCCTCAGCCTCATCGACTACAGCATTACGCCGGACCGAAGCGAAGGCGCGGCTGCGGCTGCGGCGGCAGACGGCAAAACGCCCGACACCAAGAGCGCCATGCGTATCTTTGAGGGCGTCATTGTCCTGGACGGCAAGGAGTACAGGCTGCGCGGCCGGGGCAACGGTCCCATCTCCAGCATGGCGGCCGCCCTTAAGGACGTCGGCATCGACTTCGACGTCAATGACTACAAGGAGCACGCCATTGGTGAGGGCCGAAGCGTAAAGGCCGCGTCGTACATTGAGTGCAAGCCCACTGGCTTAAAGCAAACTGTGTGGGGTGTCGGTATCCACGAAGACGTGGTGCAGAGTTCTCTCCTGGCATTGTTGAGCGCTGCCAGTAACGTGAGTATTGTTCCCGAGATGATCAAGTGAGGACAGTCGCTAATACCGCCGCAGTTCATGACTAGCCGGCCTGCCAGCCCCATCTTGAAGCCCAGAGTAGCACCTATTTCTTGAGCGGAGTAAAAAGTTGAAATATGCATTTCTAGCAATATAATGGTGTAACTTTGTTTTGTCAGTGCTTCCGTCGTGTAATGAGGCAAATTGGTCGTGATCAGCCACTGTGTTGCCGCCGTGCCCTATCTGTCTCCTGTATACATATTCTAGTCCTCTTCAGCACGAAGAAGACTGGTTTCCTCATCCGACGCCCGAGCAGGCTTTTCAGCATCCGGTACCTTCTTCTGCAAGCCAACCCAGACAGCTGCGCCGATGATCAGCGCGCTCCCGATGAAGCTCTCAGCCGGTGGCGTGGTGCCCCACACAAGACGCTCAATGATGAGCGCCGTCACAAGCTGCGTGTAAATCATATTCGTCGCCCTGCCCGCGCGCTCCCGCTGCAAGCCCTCGGTCAGCAGCACCTGCAGCAGGAATCCGGAGACGCCAATCGACAGCAGCAGCAGCCACTGCGGCGTGCTCTGCGGCGTCTGAAAGCCAATGTTTGGGTGGACGAGCAGGACGCCGCAGGAGACAACCGCGCCAATGACGGCAAAGTAGTTTACGCTGACGAGCGAATGCACGCGGGTGCCCAGGACGCGAATCGTGGCGTAGGCGGTGGCGGCGGCGAAGGAGCCAATGACGGCGAGGACGACGGCGAGGGAGCGCTCAGCGGGCGTAGCGGGCACGGGCTTGAAGATGCCGTCGAGGGCGTGGACGGTGCTGTTGGGCGAGGGATGGGTGAAGGGCAGGTGGGAGAAGAGGAACTGCGGGCGAGCAATGAAGAGCACCCCGGTGAGGGCGAGGAGGCCGGCGACGCCTTCGACGATGGTAAAGGGTTCCTGGTGGAGAAGTTAGCATGGGGAAGAGACTGGGTTGTACGAGACGTCGGTGCTCACTTTGAGGGCGACCCAGCAGACAAAGCTCGTGAGGGTGGGCACGAGGAACGTGATGACGGTCGAATCAGAGATGTCTAAAAAAGAAAGCCCATCTACAGACGAGTCGGGTCAGCCTGAGTGATACGCATATCTTACTGCAAAGCAGGTCATCGTACAGTACAGTCCGAAGATGCCAATGGTGCCCGCCGTGCCGCGCAGCACCAACAGCCCCCGGACCCCCGGCGGGCCGAGCGGAAAGTCGGGCACCTTTTTGTACCACATGTACGCGGAGCCGATACTGGCCGTAAAGATCATGCGGACAAAGATGATTTGCAGCGCGTGGAACTTTGTATCAAAGCCCGTTTCCAGCAGGCGCGTCGTCATGGCCATCTGGATGGTGGTTAGCAATCGTCTGCTTTTCTGCTTTCAATGCTGCTTGGGACAGAGTCTTAGGAGAGGAGAGGGAGGGGGGTGAGAAACGGAATCGTACAATAGAGGCAAAGATTTGCGCGACAAACACGAAAAAGAGACCGATATTGTTGTTGTAAAAGGCCTTGGTGCGGACCCAGAAGCTGACCTGCTCGTCGTCGGCGGCCGACGCTTCGTCCGAGCCATGGATTTGTGATGCGTGGCTATGACCATTGGGCAGAGATGCTGATGAGCTATCGGCATGCTGGGCGGCAGCATCCGGCGTTTTCTTGACAGATCCGTACGACATGCCGAGTGAGATGCTCACAAGGGAGCAGGACACCAAACTTTTTTTTTAGCAGCGGACAAGGGGGTTTTGACGTGTGGTGATTGGTATGTCTTGGCTAATCGGAGCTGGAATTGGTTAGAGTACAACCTATTGGGTTGAAAAATCGTCTTCTCACGAATAAATATAGGTTCAGTAGACTTGAAAAAGAGGGAGAATGAGGTCACCGACGTGAGATGCTCTCGGAGTTGCAGTTGGGAAGCGTGCGCTAGTCGGCCACCAATGAATGATCCACCGGATGGCGATACTTGATCGCGTCCCACAAGTGTCCTACCTATGCACCTCTGTATCCACGTAAATACCTTTTAAAGTTCAAATCATCGCCGTCCTTCAGTGGCCAAAATGTCGTCCACTAGCCTGTTCTAGTTTATATTGAAAATCAAGTGGACACTACCTATTTCTAGCACCGTGAAGGGCGCCCTTACTGGGCAGGTGTGCCAAAGTAAAGTATGTTTGTTGGTGTCCCGGTTTAGCAACTATGCGCTTTCAGCACCTTCGGCCTCTGGCCGAGCTTTAAACATGTAGAGCACCGCATCCCCATCCTCAACATAGCTCAATTCGATGAAGCCCATCCTCAGATACATATCAATAGCCACCTGATTTTCCTCGCGCGCTGAAATCGACACCAGGCACGACTTCCCCTCCGCCTCGGCCGTTGAAAACGAAAACGCCAGTGCCTTCTCGAATACCGCCTTGGCGATGCCCTGGCGTCGCGCGTCCGCCGCCGTGTACACGGCGTTGACGGCCCAGTGCAGAAGCGTCTTGGAGTCCTTGTCGCGCTCTTCCGGGACTAGCCCGGCGGCCATAGCTAGCACCGATGAGGGTTGCGTCCCGCGGACTAGAGTAAGGGAGGAGAGAACGCGGAGGTCTTGGTTGCGGATGGCGACAAAGGTCGTGGTGCTGGGTCGTGATAAGCGCTGCCGCCAAAAGCCGTCGTCTCTGGCGACTTCCTTTTCGTACGTAGCTCCGAAAACTAAATTTCGCAATCCTATGAGATGCCTTTTGCGATTGACGACGGGAACACAGGCCATCTTTACTCACATTGTGGATCTTTCTGCAACGCTTCCAGTCGAAACGGCTTGTACTTTGACAAGTAGAATTCTTCACCAGCCTGGTCAGGCTTTATCTGTTCTACCGTGTACTCCATCGACGTCGTCATCGTTGCCTTTTCTCGACATGTTGCAGAATTTAGATACGAGATGCTGCAGCCGGACGACAGAAGAAGGCTGTGACTCAGTGGGGGCTAGCGCTGCCATCATCTTGGTTGGTCATGCGGCACCTTACGCCGCAATGGCATAACTTCCCAGCATGGTGTAAACATCCCAAGCCGGCACCGCTTCGCTTTGCTTTAACGCATCGGCTGTCTTTTGGGCCATGGCCAGCCCGCCGACATCTGCCACCAGGCCAAGCACATCCTGCGCCCATTCGCGCAGGCGTACATCACGAGAGGCTTGCGCGGCCGAATAAAGCGGAAATAACACAGTGTAGGCCCCGAGCTGCTGCATGGGAGAGGCTAGGTCCCACGAGAGGGCGCCCTTTTCGTCGCGCGACACCACATACTGGGTGAAACTGTCGCAGATTGCATGTGCACTTTTCTCAATCGATACTCGTGCCGAGACGACGAGATCCGGATCGTGGGGCCGCGCATACCGCTCAATCATCAAGAGCAGGTTAAGCTGAGCTGTGCGAATGACGTTGCGAACCTGGGCAAAATATAGACCCTCGTAGATGTCGTACGACCCCGCCAAGGTCAGTTGTCGCCCCAAAGCATCGTCGCCGACAAAGACACGAGAGGGCTGCCAACACGACGGCAAAATACCCTCCAACGCGACGGTTGATTGATGAAAATCCAAGGCGCGTGCCAGTATTTGATCTCGACACGAGATATTGCCTGCTTGCACATCTGACGTAAAGTTGATGATCTGCTCATTCAATGTTGTCAAAGCCCACTTGGGGTCGTCCTCAATTTTGAAGTGGCGGCTCAGATCAGCCCGTAGTCGCTCCATCTCAACTGGTATCCGCATCCCAGATATAGCACAGCTGATGACGAGCGTAGTGTACAATCTCTGCGTCAGGCGGCGACCGACGTACGTCTGCAGGTTTTCTTTGCCTCGCGCTCGTATTAGCGAAATAGCGCCATTCATATGTCTCATCCACGACTCTGCTGAGGTGCGCTTGCGGCTGACGAGCTTCTCGTAGAGATCGAGTAGCAGGATCGACTGCAGCGTCTCGTCCGCCAACGAGGCCACCGGGTCGGCGAGCGCGGAATTGACGAGGTGCAGCGCAGAAACGTAGCGCTCCGTCGCAAGCTTCGTCATGGATGTAGGAGGCGCAAATTGGCGAAGAGCATAAAAGGCCAGACTCGCGGCGTCGACGCTGGCGACTAGATGGTCTGGTGGTTTCGTCGTTTGGTACAGGATTCCAAGGGCGTCGTAGCTCTTGGCGAGCCCAAAGACAAAATTGGTAAAAAAGTCTTGCTTTGCGAGTACATCCCACCCAATGTGTACAGGTTGAACAAAGTGGACATGATTTTCCAGCGTTACCTTGGGCCAGTTTGCGGGACGGACACGGCGCAGCTGAACCTTGTGCTTGTGCTTGACGAATTGCGTCTGGTCCCGGAAGCGCAGCTCCTCTTGCGTGCGGTAGCCAAAACAGCTGATTCCAGCCCGACAACACTGTCCGCAGCCATCTAGGCGGAGATCGCACTGATACAAAATGAATGGTTATTTCAGCTGCACGTCTCGGGACGGAGGCTCGGTGTCGTACCCGTAACTTGCGCTTCCTACATGGCAGGCAATCGCGGGAGGGGCGTCCCCTGTTGACCATCTAGATCACTAGCTCCGTGGCAGCTGATGGAGTTGATGAGTATAGAGAACTCGCATGTTGACGGATGAATCCCACCCACGTCGTTTGATACGGAGTTGGCATACGTCAGTCAAACTTTGTTGATATCTCGCGACCATGGTCCATGGCACCATGGTTGCATGGGTACCTACAGGTCAACGCCGACAGCTAGACCTATTCAGGTTAGCGTTCCGGAAGAGGGGCCCAGTAGAGGCCAAAAGGGTTTACAGCGGATTCCAGCAGATTATTACAGGGCCTCGCGCCGCCATGGCCCATGGCCACCAGAATCGCCCAGAAGGGTTAGCCATCCGGAGCTCCATCCGGCTGTTAGATGATGTCTTGGTACCTACCTACCTTACGTCCACGTCGGCCACTCGTCATGTAAAATTGTATCAACCATTATCAGGTTGCTGGGTTTTCAAGTCGGATTTAATGTTTAATTCCATCCGCCCAGATGAAGACGCTTGCATTTAGCCCCCAGCTTCGCAAGTGTGCACGACACAAAAAGCTACACAGCGAGTATATAAAAGGTCCTGCTTTACACTGATTGACATCCGGCATTCAACACCTCGTCCTTATCAGAATTCAGTCTCATCTGCAATCTAAACTCTCCTATCCAAATCAACAGCATTTATTACACTCAACATGGGATTCCCTTTTAAAACAGTCCTCCTCGTTGGTGCCACCTCTGGTATCGGCGCTGGACTCGCCGATAAGCTCGTCCAAGAGGGCTCCAAAGTTATCGCTGTCGGCCGTCGTCAGGACAGACTCGACGCTTTCGTTCAGAAGCACGGTGCTGAAAAGTCCAGCGCCATCAAGTACGACGTTACCGACAGAAACGGTCTCGACGCCTTTGTCCAGCGGTACGCACCCGACCCTGACGCAAAGAATCGTTCGCCATCTCGTACTAATTCCAGTTGATAGCGTCGTTAATGAAAACCCGGACCTAGATTGTGTTTTGCTCAACTCGGGCATGCAGCGTATGATTCGTCTTTCTAAGCCCGCCGAGGTTGACCTCGATGCGTTCCACCAAGAGATCAACACCAACTTCACCTCGGTCGTCAACCTGGCCCTCAAGTTCAGTGCCGAGCTGCTGGAGAAGCAGACTTCGACGGCGCTCATCGTCACGGGCACGCATCTTTCTACTGTGCCGTCGGTGGCCATGCCTGCCTACTCCTGCTCCAAAGCTGCGCTCCATGCTTTTATGGATTGCCTCCGTCGCCAGAATCAAGGCAAAAGCTGCAAGTTTATCGAAATCAACACTCCAGCCGTGCAAAGTAAGCTGTATCAATTGATACCTACATGGGCGTTTACTGATCACTATCAAGCGGAACTTCACGACTACATGGGCGATCGCGGTCGCTCCTTTGGCATGCCGCTGGCCGAGTTTATCGACCAAGTTTACCCGCAGCTGGAGAGCTTAGAGGAGCATACTTCCGTCGGATACCCCGTTGGCATTTCAGAAGACGATTATAAGAGTTTTGTTGGAACTAGACAAAGGATGTCTGACCAGCTCTCAAATGTGGTCATGGCACACATGCAACTCAGCCTTTGAAGTCACAACTGCAATCAGCCTAGGAATATCCGAGAATAGAATAGTTCTTGCCTAAATACTCCTTACGTCCCAACGCGCGCAGACGCAGTCCGTAGACCACAGAAGTACAGGAATAGGAAAGCCACAGACTACCCAAATAAACCCCAACAGCGTGTTACCCCAGCCATAGCCTAGCGACTTATAGGCAGCAGGCGCAAAGATGGGAAAAATAAAGCCGAGGATGTTGGAAAGCACTCGTGCAGCGGCGTTGGCTGAGGCAGTATGTTTGAACTCGTCGAGCATTCCATTGTAAGTTTTGCGAAGTGACGCCGCCGACAATAACATGATAAAGAAAGCGGCTAATTGCAAGCCGTCCTAGAGACGGCTTTTTCGCGTCCAACCTCTGAGCAATAACCTTGTTCTGCTTACCAACTGCCATGATAAAGCTTGTTCTGAGCAATTCGCACCTTCTCCCACTGCGGATGGCGGGCAGTGCGGGAATTCCGTGGCATCATTGTATAGGAATGGTCGACAAGAGGCGCGGGGAAAGGCCCGGCAGGATAGACTGGAACACGATGCAAGCACACTTGATCTTTGCAGCTATCTCTATAAGCGTTCGTACCGACTCGGACCTCTACACGTACAGGTTTTCATGGCGACCCTAAAAGGGCAGTCCGTTGCGAGGTCCGGGCCTCAGCTTCTATAGTATCTCAAGGACAGAGCACGCGAGCAATGAAATCGATGCGGACATCAAGTTTTACCGCCGGACAGATAGCATGAATTGATCAAATGCATCGCTTAGCCTGGACCTTGGATATAACAGACACCACCACCGATGCGACACTTGATGTCATCGGCGCAAAGACTGAGCGCATCTGGTGACGCTTCGTGCTAAGCGCCACTGGCTATCGCGACTACAAGACACCCCTGCAAGCCAAGGGTTCCAGTAGGGGGCCTTTGAGGGGACTGTCCAGCACCCGCAGTTCTGACCCAAGGACTTTGACTTTCAGGGAAATGTCGTCGTGATCGGCTCCTGCGCCACGGCCATCGCCTCAGTGCTGACACTGGCCCTTCAAGAAGCAGCGTTCGCCGACTTACAATACCTCGGTGCCGCGCGAGAACGTCGTGCATTCGTGTTTCGGTCGACGGCAGGCCCTTTACGTTCTCAGGGGGGCAGGTCTCGAGGCAGGAAGAGTCGTCTTTGACAAGTTTTGTGCTAAATAGATGTTGAAAAGGGAAAAGGAGATCGATTTAGCTGTTGGCGCGTGCGCGAGGGGCGGTGGCGTGGGCGCGGGGGGCTGTGGTGTATGGTCAACACTAAATAGAAAGCCACGCCAGTTGATATTTAGAAATAGACATTTTCATACACATCTAAATTGCAAAGTCCGACTGCGCCAATTTTTCCGTACCTCTTCTTGAGTTGTATTGATGGGTCTTGGGCACCTTCTCGAAGCGTGCAATGATCGGTAAACAGTCTGCTAACCTTGTCGATGGCATCACTGACAATAACACTTCCGTTCCGTAGACAGACGCCGCCTCATAGGAAACACTCGTAATTATTTCAGCTAACGCGCGAGTTTTCCAAAACGGCATGATCTCCCCGCGATTTGCAAGCACGAACTTAATGCAGAGTATCATGCTCTCAATGCAGGCGAACTGCAAGGCTCGACCAGGTGGACACTAAATTTACCTTACCAAGCTACCAAGCTACATTTCCATTCGAGCCGATTTGCCTCATCGGCTGCCTGCAGCTAAAGCATGAAAGTGGCTCACATTGTTCAAGTACTCACAGCTAAGGAGTAAACAATTAACAGTCAAGGGCACCTTCATCTGTGCTGATTTAGACCACCACGACGCGTCAACCGTCAAGATAGCCCGCCCTGCGAGCTAAAAGAAGCCGGCTGCTTGGGAGCCGTCCGGACAGCTGTGCATCCGAGAGCTCAGGTTGCGCAGCGACTCCACCGACGAAGCCAATCAATAATGACACGCCCAAGAGGTTTCAACGACGTCTTTTCTCCTCCGATCGACTGGCTTGGGGTCCGGCAGCGCCATCGGCCGAGCGACGCCTCATGGCCAGGTGCCTGTCCGCTTGGAAACACAACGGCGGCCATTGGCTTGCCGTAGGTCTGGGGAGAGAGATTGCTTGTCTTAGTCTCCGTTTTTTTATTGTCTTTGAACGGCATGACAGGCAAGCGGGTACTAAGTAAAACACATGGCCAGTACTTGGTAGAATGTCTGTGAGAGAATCGGTCGCCCATTTTTTTTTGTACCCGCTTGACAGGTTTGGCGGCGCTCTTTTGACGGGAGATCTATCCGTACAAAGACTAGCCAGCGCTCCCGTCTTGCTAGAGTTGGTAAGTAGAGGGACTGGCTAGTCACGGTTTCGAAGCGGCAATGCGTATTTTGAGTGAGGCTTGGCCAAGCTGACTGATGGGGTAGCTCTGTTGGAGGATGCCATGTCTCTTCGTACTGCTGATCTTACGGGAAGGTTTGGATGACAGACAAGTTCTTTGTGAACGAGAGAGATAAAGACCCCGGGATGAGAACATGCGCACGACGTAAAGATATAGATTGAACAAGAGATGTATATAGATTTGCATTCGAGAGCGTTCATCGGTCATTCCCTGGTCGCAGGCCTGCGACGGAAGCTGTAGGGCTGGACCCGACCAAGAGCAGAAGGAGAAAACATAATGAAATATGCTGCGATAACAAAGCTTCCCGCACTATGCAGCAAAACGAAGTACAAAAAATCGAGAAATCCCTCCCAACGACAGCCGTGCGCGCGAAACTGGTGATAGCCTTAACTACACCGTCGCCACCGGTGCCAAATACCTGACTTGACGATAGACGGCTAGTGGCACTGCGGAAACTTTCTAGGAAATGTTCCTCTCACGATTCCGCTTATTCAAGAGCGATCACTCAGACATGTAATGGGTTCGCTTTTCGGTCATTTTGAGCCTTCTGTCTTTGATATACCCTGAAACCGAGGTAGATGAGGAGCCCAACAACGGGGGCACCGGCGACACAATAGATAACCCACTTGACCGGGCCGCTGCCTTCGCTCATTGTGAAAGGAGGAATTGAAGATCGGATCTGGGGTCCTCAAACGTTATTGATAGCTCGATTTTTTGTGGACTTCTTCTTTGCCATCTTCTCGCTAATGCACCCCCAGCTACAGCTGACAATGACGATCAAAACAAGACCGCCGCTGATGTAGAGGAGCGCCATCGGTAGGAGCTCTTCTATGTCCACCGACTTCATTATGAAAGCGAGAACTTACGCCTCGGTATAGATTAGAGGAGTGTACGACGTAAAATAGACGGATTGACGGCTGTGATCAAGAGGATAATGTTACAGGGTGACAAGGGCGGGCTGTGAGCATTATATGCCCCTCTCTTGACGCTTTGTGCTGCTCGAGCCAGACGTTTGGCATTCTCGAGCATTGTTTCGCAACATACCATCTTTTTGATGCGCGCGCGATGCTTCTGGCGACTTTGCACCATCGCCACTGGTCCTTGAGTTGGCGCGTAGATAGTCGGCGACCGGCGCTACGGCCACAGGAGGCGCAGGAAACGGGGATTGCTCAACACGAATGAAGGCTGCAGTAATCGCTACAATCGATACGACAGGAATAAGAATGAGCTTGATCGGTCTGCCGATTAGATATATATGGTGGAAGCGGGAGGGTGACAAAGGGGAAGACATTGAAGCTCGATAAAGAGCGCGAAGGAAAATAAGGGGTAGACTCGGCGGCTTGCCTGTGATGAATGGGGCAGTATTACACAAGATGTGATGGACAATCTTCAAATTTCCAGTTTCTAATCAGGGGACAAATTGCGAGCATACTACCTTCTGTTTGACAGCACCATCACTCTTGCCGGGCGCCTGGCAGTCTCTGACATTGTTTTGCACGAGGTCATTCTCTTTGGTGCCTCTGATGGTGATGGTGCAAGGTCGCAGCAGGCGCTTCTAGGGAAACTGTCGCAGGGCGAAGCGTCGCATCTAGATTGATCAGGAGCGTAATTAGGCTACGTGCCCTTTCCGCTGCCAAGCAAGAGAGAGAAAAAAAAGGGCATGCCATGGAAATGGGACTGATGGCAACCAGAACCAGACGCAGCTTTATCAGACTCAACGCGCGCAAGTCGGCATACGCAAACGCAAACTAGGTCTAGGCAGGTGCTGTTTTCAGATGGTCGTTTTCTTGAGCTCTCGTCGCGGAGATGTGCGGAGCAAAGTGGAAGATACTGAAGTTGGCGAATGCCACGAAGCACTGAAGCTATCATCAAATATTCGACGCGACTGTGTTGCTGGTGAGGAAGGCAAGAAGGGTAGGACTAGAACCAGACGGGCGCAGAAAGGTGTTGTGGCGCACGTGACCTAGTTGTAGCCATCTATCTTCGATTCTTTTATATTCGGCCTGTCTTGTGTATGACCGTGGCAGATCAGTCATTACTTGTATCGTGTCTAAATCATTATTGCATGGCGACTTCTACAGACAATACTTCGTATATCGTGCCGCAGTGCTGCAACAGCGAAGACACAACTTTCTTCGATGGAGAAGAAACAAGCCACACACTAGTTAGGCTACCAAGCAGCTAGGCTGGACCATCATACTGGCATGGGATGAGATGGATTTGACTGATTCATCAACACCAAGTTTGCTAGTCTCACTCCTTCGAAGCCATGTACCCCAAACTAGCCGGTAGCTCTCTTTTCTGGCCCGGATAGTTCGCGTTCCGGCGCGGGAGCTCCACGTCTTCAATATGCCCAGCCAGTTTGCCAGTCAAGCAGGCATTGCGTTTGGAATCATGGTGTCATCTTCTGATCCCTGCCTGGGACGTAGAAGCGGGGAAAACGGCCAACTTGGCTGGCTTCATTCTCATTGCTCCCGTTTGTGACAATTGGAAACAGTAACTTTGAGCATCAAGTGTAGAAATTTGACGCATCAGGAAAGTCTGCAGAATTGACTTGGATCGAAATAGCTCATAAGAAGACCTACCTTGATCTAACCCGCTAGACTAACTCTACTATAACGGTGTCGTGGCTCAGTTACCCTCTGGCATGCCAGCCAACGAGAGCATCGCTCAAAATAATCAGCCCGTCATGAGAGGCTGATCTCCCTGCATGGGGGGTTGTCATAGTCCTTTTTTGGCTAGCGAAGCTACCGGGGATGGGGGCGTGTGTGCGGCAGCAGCGATCATTGATGCATGCATGCATGCATGCATACCATATCGAGGGCTAGAGCTTCAGCACGCCCTTGCCCTTGTTCTGGTGGTACTCCAGATTTTCAACAAGCAAAAAGGAGGTTTGCGGTCTGAACAGCTCCGTAATAAGAAATACGCCATATATGATTGGCCCGCCGAAATGCAATTATCGCAGTATTTCGCCTTGGTGTTGTGCCACTCACCGAGCAAGCCGTCGCTGCAAAGACTGCCTACGTGCGATAGTGTACAGAATCTTTGCTGCAAATGACAATTCAGTAAAACTAAGTCCTGGCTTTCTATATTTTGTATTCATTCCTTTACGAATATGCGTTGCCAGCGACAGCTGCAGGTCAAGACGAGGGTTGCCCATCTCGCGCCGCTGACGCAGGCTAGTCCCCGGACATCGTCGGACGGACCGTCGCTCATCCGGCGCACGACGGTGGGCTTGGGCGTCTAAGACAGCTCGAAGTGCCAGTGAGAGACAGAGGGGGCGTGTTTTCATCTTCATATCACCAAACTACGAGTACTAAACGGCTAGCACTGGGTTCTGCTAGCGGTGCGGCGTCAACGTACCAGCTCACGCTGGCTTTTACTAGTGCAAGCAGCTCAAAGGGATACCATTATTAGTTGTCGAGCAAAAGAAGATTGAGGGAGCGGGATGATTCATCCCTAAAGGGACAAGAACTCGCAACTAGTCTCTGTTTATAAGAACTTGCTGCTGGCCGTCATGCCGCGTCTGCTATTCTGTCCCTCCCCCTTCTCCTCTTCCTCCCCAAGTAGAAGCAATCGCAAAGATCCACCGTCGAGAAAGGATATCAAGACACTACATTGAATATCAACATGCGTTTCTCTACCATTGCCGTCGCCGCCGCGGCCACTGCCGTCAACGCCCAGCGTCCCATGGACATGCCCATCTGCGACTACTACACCACGGCTCTCCTCAAGAACAACACTGCCGAGAACCAGGCCACTCTCCTGACCCTCCTCGTCAACACCGTCGTCATTGGCAATTGTGCGTCTATCTTCTGGAGAGATTGTAGCTCATATCTCCGGGTCCATGTATACTAACACGCCGCAGACACCATGCCCAATGTCGGCGTCTCTGTTCCCGGTATCCTCAAAGAAGGCGAGGTGGACGGTACCAAGGTCAACCTGGCTCCTTACTTCAACGGCGGTCTTGCCTCTACCAACCGCAACAATAAGGCTACCTGCGTCAACTTCCTCGACGGCGGCGGTGCCGAGCCTCTGATGAAGAACATGCCCGCCAACAACGACAAGTCCAACCAGCAGTACGTTGACGTTTGGCTCCCAAATGAGCATAACTGTAACCCACGTTGCTAATTACTTTTGCCAGCTTCCTCCTCACCCATCTGTACCAGTTTTTCGGCACCCTGCTCGGCTGCTCCAAGCAGGGCATGTCCGGCTTCGACGCCTACATGGGCAGCCCATCCATGTACAAGGTGCACAAATTCATGAACCTGGGCAAGGCCGAGATGGACTACTTTATTGGGCAGGTCGGCATGGCCGCCGCCTCCTTTGGCGCCGACCAGGCTGACATTGCCGTCGTCGCAAAGGCCCTCGACAACACCTTCAACATGCGCTGCAGCGCCCCCGCCGAGGTTATCAAGGGCGAGGGTCCCCAGGCCCAGGCCATCTGCATCCAGCAGGACTGTTCCGAGGCCGAGAATGCACAGTGCGACGCCTACGAAGAGGCCGTGGCCCCCGGCAAGTGCTCCATGATGCCCACCGGTACTGGCGGCATGATGCCAACCGGTACGGGGAGTATGATGCCTACCATGACCGGCTCCATGACTGGATCCATGACCGGCTCCGCGACCGACTCCGCAACCGACTCTCCGACCAGCACCAACCCTACAGCTACCGCTCCTCCTACAACCGGTGCCGGTAATGTCAACAGCTTCGGCCTCGCTGCCGTTATTGCCGCCGCCGCTGCTTACGCTCTGTAAACGTATTGGCAGTGTCTAGTAAAGTGCCGAGCGTTGTGATTGAGAGGTTGACTGTACCAAATAATGGTTGAACGGAAGCACGTGTACTTTCTTTTTTTTTCTTCTAATCTTCAGGGATGCTTGCCCTGTGTGTGAGAAACAGCAAGCGAACGCCTCTAGGCTTTTAATTACCAATTCAATTCATCTGATAAATCGACATGTTATGCTGTCATCGACGCTTAAACGAGTGATGCATTTATGGAATTAGTCATAAATCTGCTTATCGCAACATTCTTATCCCACCGACTCTCATACAGATGCACTCTTCTGGCCGCCCGCTGGATCATCTACGATGAGTCAATTGCTTAGGTTACTCACGTCGCGATAAGCACGGCACCGATGTAGCAGTTTACACTGCTGTTCTGCGCCAGAATGATGCTAGGTAAGACCCGTGGGCCGATAATTTATTCATTCAACCCGGCTTAGCTACCGCCAGTGTCGAGTCCCTCACTCCACGGCAAACTATGGCAGACCAAACGCCCCGCGATGAAAATGCAACATAAATGTACACCACACGAGTGACATCCTCCCCTAAATTTCATTCGCAGCCACATCGAAAATTGGCCCGCTAAATTCGAGAAATTAAGAGACGTAATAAAATTCAATGTCTTGTGTGTTAGCCGTGCGGTACTCCTAGATTGTATTGGGTTGGGCAATGAGCTGCAGTGAACTGGGACGGCGCCCAATGTTCGTCAGTCACCACATCCGTCATACGTGATGCTGGCCGCATCTTTTGTCTTCGCAGAAGAGTCGCGTCATTCTTTTGCTGAATTCAGTTCGACTTGCAAGGTGCCGTGCCATCATCATTCCCCAGAAATAGTCACCTCCACCGCTTCTTCTTCTTCCGCGGCTGAGGGACTACGACAGTTGGGTTTGTCGACGGTAATATCGGCTCCGAGGCGGCCTTGATATTTCTGGAACTGCTGTTGTAATGTGCAAAGTTGGCAGGCTTGCCGAGAATGAATCCCAGGGACCGACTAGTCCCTTGGCCGGCCTCAGCCTTCATGAGCTCGCTCAAGTCGTGGCTTACCCGACGTGCAAACTCGAATGTGTAAAACTGCTCACCATCGAGCAGCTCACCGACGGTTACAGGGATCGGGATGACGGACATTATCGGCATGTCAGCCAAGGTGTAACCAGAGAGCGTCGACCATGCTCCCCGTCGGCCTGAGCCCTGTGAGCTGGAGGAAGACGCAACGTCTTCTTCTGCAATCCGCTGCTGAGCAGCCAGACGATAATTAACGAGTGAGCCAGCAGGGCCGTGGATATTGGCAAACACATCGATCAAAGTTCGCATGCGGTTGGCAAGTTCGGAGTTGGAAGAGAGCAAGCGGATGATACGCTTTTCTAGGCTTGCGCGACTGTTTTCCGCATCGACTAGACCAGGACTGCAGCGAGTGAATAAGTTAGCATTCAAAGCGGTATTTTCGGCAAAATGATGCCCATCGTGACGAGTGCGTAGGCTTACCATTGCAGGACGGTTGTCATCATGGTCATGGAGAGGTTGTGCCAGCGGATGCGCGCGCACAGACTGCGCAGCTTGGGGTCAAATTTCTCGCAAATTATGGTGTGGTCGGTTGAGGCTGAAAGTAGGTTTTCGATGGCGTAACACACATCTTGCAGCTCCGAAAATGCCAAGACGGTGTCCGCCATAGTAACAACGACATCATCAGCTTGAATCCATGTACTGCGCTCTGGAAAAGGCAGGCGCGCGGATTCGAGCAGGCAAAGTGTTTTGTATAGAATATGGGCGGAGGAGCGGCATTGTTTGGATTCCAACATGGCTTCGTTGAGAAGTGTGGTGCTTGGGCTCAGCACTGTGTTCACCTCCAGCAACATGTCGAGGATCTTGCCGCCGACAGCCAACAGGCCAATGCTGGCTGTCGTGACGGACAAGTGCTCCATGCCGCGATTCATTGTTGTGAATATTCGAGAAGAAAAAACGTTCGCTGCGGAGAATTTTTTCGAAGAGCGAGATATATATTGTTTTTTTTTTCTTGGCCGTAAAAACGGCGACGTGGGATGTTTGAACTCGGGGCGGCCGCGGGATTCTGAGACGCTACCTACCTGTAGGTAGTTATTGCGAGGCCTGTAATCGTGTGCCGTCAGGGTGGCGGTAGTCAGGCAACAAAGGCCATGACTTGCAACGGTTTCAACGGTCGGCAGTGTCGAGATGTTATGATGGAAATAACAAAAGTAAGTAGAGTCGCCTCGGAGAAGGAACAAAGGCGACGTAACAAAGGTAAAAGTAACCCTTGGTGAGGGCCGCCGAGAAAGTTGCCATGCGTTCCGAGACCCCGCAAAAGCGAGAGCAAGGGGACGAGGACGGATAGCATGCAGAGCCTGAGTGGTGCACGACAAGGCCTAGCACGGATAAACGGCACCTGGCGCGAGACGAGGGTACCGTAGAATGCCGTTCGGAGTCTTGTGGGCGGGAGGAGCCGATTGGGTCCGCTGCCGACTATCCGAGATGTTGTGCGCCAGAGTGTGACCGAGGAGCGCATGGTGGGAAGCCCATGCGTCGTGCTGGGTCATGGGCACATGGGCACTGGCGGTGCGTTGTGCGAGCGGGCTTGCGGGCCAAGGTCGTGGTCGGTGGTGCAAGGTGCCGATCGGGATGCGCATCTTGTCGAATTTGCCCGTCTTTGGCAATCCTTGCTTCCCCTCGTCCGATGCGAAGCCCGCCTGGTAACACTCTTCCTGCATTCGCCATATCTGTCATCCGTGACAGTAGTTATGGGCTTGGCTATCTGGACACATAAAGGCCCGAAGGTACCATGGTACCTTAGTTGCTTACCTTTATCTGCGCAAGTGTCCCAAGCGTCTCCACAAACTCTCCCCGCCCTAAACTAGGTATTCACGGCCACCTGAGTGCAGCGCTGGCGGGGCACCCTACCTAGCACCCTAGTAGAGGGCTTTCAGTTTTGGCTCTGAAGCATGATCACGACTCTTTGCCTTACGGGGTTTCGTCGACACTCGAATCAGGGTGCCTACGTGGTGAGCTCTGACAAGTGATCAACTAGGCCTTTCGCTGGATCGTTGCGACATTGTCGTGCTCATGTCTGAGGATGCAGTGCATGTAGTAGAGAGGGGAAGTAAGGCAAAGCGGTATGCGCTTCTACCTAGGTACCTAGATGCGTTTGCAATCTAACAGCTGGCAACCAGAGCCTAGCACCTGACATCTGCGGACAAGCAGGCAACGCCAACGATTCAAGTTAATCCAAACTCCTCTTCCTGCATTTCTTTGAGCATCCACCATCACATCAATCGTCAACGTGCGTCCAACTGATGATCGAGTCGGCAGTCAGGCCCACTCATACGTGCCGTTCAGCCCGATTCGGGCTGTAATTGTTCACTACCATCCATGCCAACAACGACGGGCCCTTGGGGCCCTGGTCCTCCCCTCCAGCCATGGCCCGCTATGAGTTCGTACCGTTCGGGCCTGTCTGCATTCGCCGGCTCATATTGGCCAGTAGAATGCACCTATTACGATACTGTCAGTTCGAGATCCCTCGACTGCACCGCAACTTCAGCCCCGTGGGCCACAAATCCCCTCCCTGGTCTTGGCTTTCTTAGCGGCCTCTGGCCAGTGGCCATGGGCCGACTACTGACGATGCCAAGCGATCTGATAAATTGTTCCGATACCTAGACAAACCGAGTCTCCAATGCGGGAGCTATTGTTCAGTATTAGTCCATCGATGAATGTAATCAGATGCAAAGTAGTTAGCAGGCAAGGGGTTAAGGTCTAGTTACTCGGAGAATCTTACCATCTTGGCCTGACCATGATCCATGGAGAGACTTGTTGTCTGCGAATGCCGACTGAGCTAGCCTGGTGGCTGCCCACCGCTTATTCTCATTCTATCTCCGCCGCAAACAATGGCATACGCGTCCTCAACAACGATGATTTGCCATTTGGCTAACCAGCACCTGGGGATGCTGGGCACCAGGCTCAAGGACACAGCTTGCCTGGTTCCCGTACCCGACAATGTTCATACGAAATACGGCAGCCGACCAAGAAAAATAACGCCATCGAGGAGCCTTCCGCCAAATCCGCCGCAACTGCAACAGCAGTGAATACGCCGCTCACTAGTCCCTCGCCGCCCCCTCCTTTCCGTCTAGCCGACTTTTCCGTGGAATTGTCTTTTCTCGGACAGCTAATGCATATCGTCAAATAATTTCTCCTCCTAGGACATGATCCTTCAGCCCGAAAATAGCTTGCAGTCCCTCGGCAGGCAACGACTTCGACTGTTATCAGCCGCACCTGGTTTAACGTCGAAGAATTTGCCTGATCCAAAACCGGCAAATCATGGAGAGACACCAATGACGTTGCTCGTGCCGAGAGCCGTCGTTTGCGTTGCATGCTTGTCCGTAGGGCTCGCTACCGATCTGAAACCGGACGTAGATAGGCTGGCTGAGATACCATGACGACGGTATTACTAGCACAGGCGACCAGGCTCGGCCAGCTGCTGCCGTTGATAGGCGGCAGAGCCACTGAAACGCATCGGATAAGAGGCACAATGCAGGCCGATCACAGGCTAAATCAGTTCAGCAGTCATGCAGGCTTCCTGAGACATCGACGCTCTTAACCGCCGTCTACATACTTTTCCACTGCAACGACACTTGCAGACGCTGTCTGCACTGCTCGTAATATCACTGTTTATGTCCTCTTTGACCCAGGCATGGCCGCTTTTCATGAATCTTCCTCAAGCTAGCGGGAGCAATGCGCGGAGCACCGACCAGGCTTCTCGGATCGTATTCACGATTTATGGCTCACGCAATTCAGAACATGATTGGCGCTATATTGTCCCCTTAACCTTCGCGCACCAACGGCGACAAATCAGACGAACAAGATTGGCTCGGCATAAATAGGCTGTGATCTGTTTAGACGACCTTGGGCATCCCTTCTGCGCAGGAGGATGCGCTCTTTTACGCTGCGACCTTGTAGACTCCGCAATAAAGCCGTCGGGAACTTGCATATACTTCAAGGTTCGGCGATACAAATCAAGTACGCCGGCTTTTACTGCATCGCCATATCCGCTCGCAACCGAAAGCAGCACCAGATATTGTCGTAAAGATGGGGAGACTTGCAGGCGGAAGAACCGGCCACTCATCTGGCAGGAATCTCTTCTTGTCGTCTCTCGGCCATGTCTGATTTTGGTCATCCGTTGCAACTTCATTGCGAGGCAGTCGTATGCATACATGCCAACCCATACTGCGTGCAGTATCACCATAACGGGAGAGAAAGCACGCAGGCTTGCAAATGACCGCGCCATGCCCCATCGGTGACTTGGGAAGGGTGAGCGTTGGCCGAAACTTTAACCCGAGATTTCGCAGAGGGCGTAGAGCAGCCTTTGGCTCAGTTCATCATGCTCTCTATAGCTCATAACGGGACTGTATGAAGATCCTCGGTCGTAAACATGAAATCCAACTACAATATCATAGCTGCTATACAGATCCAACCCACATCGTGCCAGCGCACGACTCTGAATCCTCGTAATCCTGAAATTATGTCCGTAAATGTACATGGATTCCCCCTCACAATGTCGCAAGACTTTGCGTGCATTGCAAATTTAGCCCAATAATTCAGTACTAATTCTAATGTTACACTCCAAAACGCTATATTCAAGTTTGTTAATGGGAGCTTTGGCTGAGGCGTGAGCGCTTGCGGCCGCTGCTAGTTGTAGCGGGGTGCATCTTTTCGTTTCGCTCTCGCTTGAGCTTATCATCCAAAACACGGGCTAGAAACACGAAGCATTAGCACAATTCTGCTGATTTTCCATTTCCAACCGGATCCTCGCCACTTGACGACATTGTTGCAGATCTTCTTCTCGAGGGATGAAAGCCGCAACGGCCCTCGTCCAGTGCATCGAAGTCGTCCACACTCGCAAAAGCAGAAAATACTTACTCAGCACGTCATAACCAAACTGCGGGTGCTCCAAGCACAGGCTCTTAAACTCGTTCTCGGCCTCGGCACGGAGGGCGTGGGAGCGGGCGGCCCAGAAGCTGGCAATGGGCGCGCGGACTGCGGCGTCGTCGGGCGCGGTGTGGGCGTAGACGTAGCGGGCGTAGGCGAGCTCGCCGCGGGCGGTCGAATTGATGCAGTGGATCTTGGAAGAGGCCAGCTTCTTGAGCAGCTCCATGCCAAACTTGTCGGCGATTGTGTAGATGCGCGCGTGGCGCAGCAGGTGGTCGCCGTTGTCGTCAATGCCCGGCGCCGTCGGGTCGTGCTCGAGCACGCGCTGTCCAGGCACCTTGCGGGGAAAGTACTCGCCCGTGTACAGGAACTCGAGGAAGCTGCCCATGGCGTTGTAGTCTTCCTCGGGAAGCTCAATGGATCGCGGCTACAAAGTTGCAGAGTCAGCGCGAGACCAGGGAACAGGACAGCAAAAAACCAGCAACGAGGCATCCCGGGGCTGTGGCATCCATTCGCCGCCGGGTATGCATGACACGTACGCTTCCGTCCTCGATGAAGCTCTGGCACAGCTGCTCAAAGTACGGGCTCTTGGTCAGGAGCGCTTGGTGCGCCGTCAGCACCGTCTGCGCCTCCTGCCCGACCAGTAGCGTCACGACGGGGCTCGCCAGGTACTCGATGAAGCTGGGGCGCGTCTCGGCCGCGGGTTCCTCCTGGATCACGCTCGCCTCGGCGTCCTCAACGGGGCCCTTTTCGTACGGCGTCTCCTCGCCGGCCCCGGCGCCTTCCATCTCGACGTCGCCGCCGCCGCCTGCGGCGCTCGTGGCGCCAATTTCAACCTCCATAATCGAGGCGTCGTCGCGCGTGCTCAAACTCTCATTCTCGTTGTCGCGCATAGTGACAAGAGGGTTTTGTAGCTCGTGGGTCGGAAACGATGTTTGCTCGGATGGAAGAGGCGCGTTGCGACAGTGCGTGGGCGACTATTGAAGCTGGACTTTTTGGCCAGGTTGGTTAAAGCTGTGATGAACGCTAGAGTGGGGCAAGCGTTGCTGTAGCAAAGCCAGTTGGTGAGAGTGGCTACCTATGCGGCGAGGTATCACAATCACATTAGTGCAATGAAAATAGGGGTGTTATCGAAATCGAAGCTGTATCTTTTTTAATTCGCGTCTTTGTGCGCGGCCTTGTATGGGCATACTCGGAGTCATCTAAAAAGACAAAAAGGAAACAAAACAAAACAAAAGGTGATTAGAAGCTGCAACAACTCCCCTGCAACCGCTAAAAGAGGCGCGATTTGCGTCTTTGCGGGCTTATTCAGTATGTGGAAATCGGATTTATGACTTGCAATCCAACGACTAGCTATCAAGCTTAACAATGAGACCAGGAAGTAATTCTACAAACGAAGGGCTGTCCCGTCCTCCTGCTAATGCTAGCTTGATAATTTGCCCTCCTGAGCTACCCTCGAGCCATATTCGCTGATGGCCAAGGTGAGCTCCAGATGGCGCATGAAAGAGCCACCCATCATCCCCGGACTTGCCAGACCCTGGCTCATATATCGCCTTGTACACCTCCCGGAGATGGGTGATGTCGCCCACCGGAGCCTCAATCACGATGCGGGACACACCTTTGGCCCCAGAAGGGTGGCCAGTCAGCTCTGGTGCGTTCTCGTACGGGACACGAAGCGCTCGGGGTGTCCGATCCAAGCACCAGAATGGAAGAGTGCCTGGAAACACTAGTGTCCCGTCAGGATTCAAAGCTGCCCCGTTGGCCCATTTGATGACTGTTCCATCCGGCCTTTCTCGCCCTCCTGGTACAGGATCTCTATACTCATACCGTGTCTGCGCTTTCGATACTTGCTCTTGGATACGAGCAAAGTCTTTCTCCTCATGCAGCGAGCAGGCCCAGTCGATGATGGTGCCATCCGCGAGCGAGCCCCAGCGATGCTTCTTCCGCACCTCGGGATCAATAGTGTCGAAAAAGGCAATGAGCTCAATGTACACGCCGTCTTCAAAAAGTATCAGGCGATTCCAAGTCAGTCCGTCTGCGTGGCGGCCGCCAGGTGCGACGATGAACAGCCCATCGAGTCGTTCATCGATGCCAGTGAGGGTATGATGGTCGACCAGTATGACAATGTGATCTAGAAGCGGCTTGACGGGATTAATTCCCACAGTAGCATCTAAACCGGACATTTCTGACGTTTGAGGGATTATCTCTGCTGTTGCGAAGATGGAAGATGGAAGTTGACTGATGACGTGAAGTGAGGAGTTATATGCTGCAGCCGGCTTATAAAGCCGATCTAGCCCCGCGTTGACGTGACGGACGGCTTGTATTGGCACCTTCCATTCAATCCCACAACTACACCGCGCGTTGCCAAAGCATCACAAAGTGACGCATTCTGTTTTTTCAACTTTTATCTTGCTGATACACAAAGCTGAATGGCTCGAGGCGCTGCCAGGCCTCAAAAAGTCCTGCCAGGCCTCAAAAAGCCCTGCCAGGCCTCACAAAGCCCTGCCAGGCCTCACAAAGCCCTGACAGGCAACAAGAAGCCTGACAGGCAACAGGACAGATGAAGTATCGACATGTGCTTTATTGAATTCTAGACAACTACCTAACATTATATCTGAAAGCGGCAGTTTAGTCCTGCGTGATCACTCCACCGGATCCTAGTATCCCTCTCCTTTCCTGACTTAGGTACTGCTATATCCCTAGGATAGATAATTTGCATTTCTATGGGCTCTAGGCCCTCTGTCATCGCAATCCTGCCCAGTCTATCTGCTCGCAAGTTATCTCGGCGCTTCTCATATCCCCATGTCCAACCCCCAGACCTGGTTATATTATTACCATGGAGGTGAAGAAAACAATCTATCAACCCGCTCTTTGCAATAAGCTCCTGGTCATCTTGACTGATAGCATTAAAGTCTCCGGCAATGAGGCCTACGTTTCGATGTCTGTCTTCCTGTTGATCATTATTCCGGCACAGCATACCCCTACAATCCCCATCTGCTCTTTTCGATAATGTAGTGTTGAGGCTAGAGAATGAAGATGTAGGTTGATAAGACGTAGGTATTGTCGGCTCGGTTGTTGTATAGGTAAAGGTAACTTGGAATCATGTAATGGTAGGGAAACGTCTATGCAAAGCGCATCACTTCCGTACTGGCTTGGGAATTTGACCCGGGTAGCAGGAGTAGCTGCTGCATCATCCCTGGTAGTAAATAATGTAAAGCAAGCTTTGGAAAGCAATGTCATAGTTGTAAATGGTACGCTGTCGAAGGCATTTCCGTCTTCAGCGTCGGTAGTCAAAACCCAGCACGGATGCGAGCATCGTTTAGCAAGCGGGCACGGACCTCACGGGTAACCTCCTGCAAGAATATGATGTCGCTCGTAGTAGATGGGCATGTCAAAAGTCGATCTATAATGGCAAACGCGCGGGCGATTGGCCGCGGCGAGAACGCATTGATATTCCAAGTTGATAAGCTGAGATTTGTAAGATTTTGACTTATAGTTGGAAGACCGGGAGTGGGCATCCAACGTCGAGTGCAGGGCTTGAAGGTGCTAAGGACACGTGATATTCGCGGTATCGCCATCATCATGAAAATCTTAGCCTGTTAAGAACTCAGCTTGGGTGTTGGACACTTGATGTTTGTATGGCATCCACCATTCTTCTTAAATAGAGGAGGGCAGAAAATTTTACGGCATGTCTGTGTAAGTTTAAGAATTCACATACAAATTTAAACGTCTAAGTTATGTGGCCACCACCTACTTACCTACCTAGGCTAGGTAGTTAGATGTGGACTCCCTCCCCGCTGGCCACTACAGCTCCGGCGCCCTCAGCTCCACCATCACCAAGCACGATATACATTTTTATGGTCAACTCTGCAATCGTGATGAAGCGTTTGTTCGAATTTGACTTAACCCCAACGGCTTTTTTTTTTTTTTTTAACAATTCCGCTTCAGCCAGCCGGAACTTAGGGGTCTTCTTGTCGGTCCTCACACTAATCATCTCCAAAGGTATAGCATCCATAGATTCAGAAACCTTGTCAAGGACCTTACGTCTACTGGGTGTAGGCTGACTAAATTAGGTAGCGCATCTGCAAAGGACTTACAATCAAGTTGCACTTTTCTCGACCCCTGTAGACTTGCGATCTAATACTATCTGCCCCCATGGCTCCCCGTCCGGACAGGTTCACGCAAGTATATCCGCTGAATTTCTGTGAGAGTGTGGCTCATGCAAACTGATCTGCGTGATGAGGCGCTCCACACAGCGCTTAACTGCGGGGCGTCACCCACTGATTGGAAAGGGCACTGTCGTACCTGTCGTAATTTACAAAAACGCTGGTATATTCGTAGCAATCATTGGACAAGAATCGTCATCATCTTCATGGCTGGGTATCATCTGCTGTGCAAACAGCTATGGATTTTCTTTCAGGGAGTTGCATTAAGGGGTATGAGTCCACTTGCTCAAGCATGTCGATAGAGGATTTTACGTAGGTAAAAAGAGAGTCACTGTCACACAGGCACCACAGTCACCTATATATACCTAGGCAACCTTATTAGTGGGCACTCTTCCACAATACATCATCATCTCTCTCTTTCCATCACTGTCATGGTTTCCAACAAGGACAGGCTTTACATAGCGCTTTACCCAAGCGGAGTCGTCAACAACGACGAACGCAAGTAATGCATCATCCACGCCGCGACTATATCTGAATACTGACTGACTAGCAGATACCACTGGGGCTTTCTCATTGGCCCTAAAAACGAAAGCAAGGGGAAGGTTCCTGGCTTGCGCTGCCATGCCAGAAATCATCCCCTGCAAGGCTGGAAATACGAAGAAGTTGAACTGGAGGATGTGAGAGCCACCGCTACTCTTCTCGCGCGAATTATCATTGCGAAAATCGAGGATAAAGAACGGCTCTTGAAGATTCTGAGGAACACTCCTGTGGTTCAAAACGATCCACACTTTCGCTGTCGGACTTGGATATCGAATGCTTTGTCGAGAATATCCAATTCCGCGCCCAGCGTGGTTGGTACGTCAGAGTTGTGCTGGGACACAATAGAGCACAAAGCTAGGCGCTACGTGGAGAGAAAGGCAGCAGCAGGAAGGTATTCGGATGTAGGTCGTGTGTTGGACCCCAAGCCAACCTGGGATATGATAAAAGAGAAAGAAGTCACGGATTAAGCAGTGAAATATCTGTCATCCATCCACACAGCCAAAGTGCCACTTCAAAAGTCACCCCACCACTTCTGTCTGATGGCTTCCATTCGCAATGCATTGGGCCAAGGGTCGATGAACTTTTCTGCCATGCGTTGCCACGCTATTCTGGTCTTATTTCCAAGCCAAACAGACGTATATTCCCAATAACGAGGATACCAGCCTGAAAATTCCCAGTCAATGATGGCCTCGATCTTTCCATTCCGGATTATAATATTGAATGGGTTTAGATCGCCATGAGTAAACACCGGCGTTCCCCATTCCTGATTTTGCATTGCAATCATATACTTGAGATCGGCCCACTCCTCATCATCAACATAAGGTGGCTTTTCTTCCGCCCCAAGCCCCTCTCTTAGCCATTCATGAAATGCCTGTGTGGAAGGAAACGGCCCGAACCTAGGCTCCGGCCGAGGAATACGAGAATCGCACAGTGAGCCTCCTACGCAGCTCCCAATTGCAGTTCCCGGAGATGGGATTGCACGCAGCTCCTCGAGCATACCTCGCAGTTGCAGAAGAATACGCTCAACATCCGCCTCAGATAATTTTGGCCAGGCACCAGGTAGTGTTTGCCCACGCATGCGTTCCATGACAATGTAAGTAACATTTCGATGTGTAAATGCACAATGTACACGGGGTACTGGAATTTCCGTCCGAGCGGCGACGAAGGCCATGGTCGCTGCTTCCGTGAGGTTGACCCTGCTGCCTTTCTTGACAATATGTCTGCTGGAGATGGGGACACAAGGGCCGTTCCATTTGTAGAATCGAGAAACGGTTTTGAGAGCAAGTAATGTGAGAAACCTGCGCATTGGGGTGTTATTTATTGCCATGGTATTGACATCCTGAAGTTCGACATCGCCTGTCATAATTGTGTATAATCCGTGATTGTGAGGTGCGAGATTGAGAATGGGCTGGTCCCAGACATTGGCTGCGTGGAGATTTGTATCTCCGGGCCGGGCTACGCAGCTAAGGAACAGCGAGTGGCCAGTGCACCCCGGGCAGCGTTTTCCTGTGCGCGACATTTCTACCACGTCTCTCCTATTTCTTCAACGGCTTTTTCATGCTTTTGTGCGACACACTTGATCGTATTGTGGCACGTAGCTTGCTGAAGAGGCCTTTTACTGTCAAATGTGACTGTGCGTTGCGGCGCTGCAGTTGACATGTTACAAGGCTCGGCATATCACCGGAGCCCAAGATGCTCGAAAAAAAGGCAAATGTTGGCTGCCTGTCACTGCTAATTTCCTGACAAGAAAAACGCAGGCATATCGCTGCACGGCTGAAATGAGTCGAAGCGACCCTGTTTCTGATAGAAGAATGCAACATGGTCTCTAGCTCGGCGTAGTTTGACTTTCCAACGAGCTCCTCATCAAACTTTCGAGGAAAGCAGAAGTCGTCTGCAAAGATTCGAATCCGGCTAGCATGCCAACAACACACGGTCTGTCTGATTTTGAGGAGCTACGCTAACTAATCAAGCCACGACATGTTGCTTTTCTACCACACGGCCCGTCTGCGCCATGCGTCTTGGCTGCCTATGGCTGAAAGGCCAGACTCAACCGAAATGGGAGCAAAAAAGGTGTCTTGCTTTGGTCAATCTGCAAAGAAACGGGGCCTCGTAGGAACTTGTGGAAATTCATGCATAGGAATATGCGCAAAGCTACTAGGGTCCAAGGTCGTTCCGAGACAGTGGATGGCCGTTGCAACTCGCGGCTGGGTTGGCAGCAGCAGCAGGCCAGCAGCCTGATGCGATATAATGCACGGCCGACTCCCGCAGCATCTTTGCTTTCCCCTCTTCTCGCCTTTTCTTAAATAAAGTTACTCGGGCACCTGCGTCTAAATCTTTTGGGTATTTGTTCGCGCCAATATCTCCACTGCCAAAAAAATGAAGAATGTCGTGAATGTCGTGAGCCTGATGGCTCTGGCGCGCTTCGCTACCAGCGTTGACGTCGCTCCCGCTTCTTCTGCCGTCTCTGTCCCTTCTGCCGCCTCTGTCCCTTCTGCCGCCTCTGGCTCTGCTGCCGTCTTGGCCTCCTCGCCAGTCCCTGCTCCTCAATCCACATCCTCTTCTGCCGTCGCCATCCAGGCTGCTGACAACTGCGAACCCAAATTGAGGGGTATCCCTAACTGCGCTGTAAGTGAAGAAAAACAATGCCCGCAAAGCATGCACATCGCTAACATGCCTCTTAGTTGCCATGCTTCCATAAGGCTACTCTAGAGACAGAGTGTGGTGGTCAAGACTACGCCTGCCGATGCCAGCCCAAGAACGCTGCTATCGTGGAAGAATACCTCAATAACAATACCTGCGTCGAAGCATACTGCGGTGATCCCGGGTTGCTACGCGGCATCTTGAAAGTATTCCAAGACCATTGCGCCTGCATCAACCACGGCGGCCTGCCTGGACCGTCTGATCCTTCCAGCACGCCCACGCCCACGCCCACGCCCACGCCCACACCAACGTCTACACCTTCTGCTACCCCGAGCTCTCCCAGCGGCTCCCCTACTTCTCCAGTTAGTGGCTGCCCGTGCCAGAGCAACGCCGACGCCATTCCTGACTGCGGCAAATCCTGCATAGTTGACGGTGCAGCCAAAGTCGGCTGCGGTCCCCAGGACTACCAGTGCCAGTGCGCAAAGCTTGAGGACATCAAAGCTGCTGCCTTTAACTGCTTCAGCGGTGCCTGCGGTGATGATGCTTTTCGCGTCATCACTGCTCTTGGGTCTCTGTGCTCCTGTATTGCTGATCAGCCTGCCGATTCTTGCAAGGGTGGCGCTCCCCCTGTAAGCACCGGTACGCCTTCCCCTCCTGCGAGTACTACGACGCCGTCTCCTTCATCAAGCACCGAATCGCCTCCGGCTAGTACAGAAACACCATCGCCATCTTTGAGCACCGGCACACCCTCTCCATCCCCGACCACTGAGTCGCCATCTGCGACTACCAGCACGCCGGCTCCGTCTGAGAGCACCGAGGCACCTCCGGCTACCACAAATACATCTCCAGCCAGCACCAACTCGGAGCCTCCGATCAGCAGTAACTCTGATCTTCCCGGCCAGAGCAGTGCCTCGACCCCTACTGATCCAAGAAGTAGCGTTTCGTCCGCCGACAGTAGCTCTGCTACGTCTGCCAGCAGTGTCCCCAGTCCTACCGATAGCAACACGCCCTCTCCTCCCGTGAGCAGCGACTCTTCTGCTGGCCCGTCTGCTCCGGGACTGATTCTCCCCATTACCCCTGAGGCTGTTTCTGGTCCCGCCCCTAGCACTGATACCGCGTCCACGCCGAGCTCAGGTCCCAGCACTGATACCGCGTCTACGCCGAGCTCTGGCCTCAGCCGCAAGCCGTCTAGCAGCACTAGCACCGGTAGCTACGGCAAGCCTATTACTACTGGTGGTCGAACCAACACCACCAGAACTGCCAACCCTAGCAGACCCAGCTCGACTGACAGCACTGGCGATGATGGCATCGTCCACGCCGGGGGTGCCCGCATCGAGATTGGTATTGCTGCCGGTGTCGTTGGCGCTGTCTGGATTGTCGCTGCTATTCTATAAGCGATGGAACCCGATGATGGAATCAAGTGAAGATAATGTGGAATCTACGGTCGACTAATAGTAATGGAACATGACAAAGAGATTGGTGATTTAAAGCAATGGGGGGGAGCGTTGCAAGTTGAAACGACTTGACGATCCAGTTTGAATAATAGTGTTTTGTATTTAATTTCTAATGTTCAACTCCTTACGCAATTTATAGTAGGCGTGTGCCCGGCTGCAGCCCGTCTTGCCCGTGTAATAAATGCTGTGTCGTAGCTCCACTGCTCCGACCGCGAGACCGAGTCTATGTAATATAACGGGCGCAAGCCGAAAATTTCCCAACCTGCCCTCGTCATCACCACGTTGCATTGCACGAATTTACAAGCCACACCATAGACATACAGAAGAAAGAAAAGAAGACAAAAAAGCCGTCACCCATCAGCGTCAGCATAAAACCCCATTCATGCCCCCTCTGGAAGCGCAAGCATCCACTCCAGCCGGAACTGGGTCGGACGTGTCGGATCTCGAGCGAACCGCTCACGTCTCGGCCGTCCTCGCGGCCCTCAAGCGCCGCAGCCCCATCTACGGCACCATCCTGCCGACGCTGACCCTGCACCGCGTCTCGCAGGGCCGCGTCGTCTGCCGGCTCCTGCTCGACGCCGTGCACGTCAACAGCCGCGGGGGCCTGCACGGCGCCGTCTCCGCCACCATTGTCGACATGACGACGGGCATGGCCATTGCCGCGTGGGACCTGCGCGACACCACCGGCGCCAGCGCCGACATGCACCTCAGCTTCCTCGGCACGGCTGCGGTCGGTGACGAGCTCGAGGTGACGGCGACGGCGGAAAAGGTGGGCGGCAGCTTGGCGTTTGTCACGGTGCGCATCGACAAGGTTGGGGTGGACGGGGTGATGGCGCCGGTGACACTGGCGCAGCATACCAAGTTTGTCAGGGCATCGGCCAAGAATCCGTCTACTGGCGTGAATACTCCTGTTTAAAAAGCCGTGGTGGCATGGTGGCATGGTGGTGCGTTGCGCGGTTTGATGTTTTTGAAACAGCCAAACATTACGTTTAGACTATGCATGATTGGTCGGATAGAGCAGCATGGATCATTATAAAGAATAGACTCACTTTGAACTAATTTCAATTTATTTTCCAAGTTGCCCTATCTAGTAAATGTATGCCGAGTCAAATTACTCCTTCATCATACCAGACTGCATGTAGCTTATGGCTTGATCGGCACCTATTGGTCTGCATGTGTCTTTATACGCATGATTATAAACATTAACTTGCAATCCCTTGAGCGATTAGCCCGCACCTGATGTGGGTATGAAATCCTGAAAAAGGCTTTGCATCATGACATCGATGTTAACAGACTCGCCGTCAGAAAACAAGCCGTCAAACGGCTGCAACATGCTATCCATTTCCATAGCGTCAAATAATGGCACCTCTACCCCTTCACTACCATCACGTACTTCTTGGTCTGTGATTTGTGCCCGAGTGCGACTCGGCCTGGAGCGGAGCTGGACTGGCTGCTGATGGCTTGAAGGCGCCGACTGAGTTTGCAGCCACTGGACAGTAGACTTTGCCAGGTCCTCTAGAATATCACGGCATTTTTTGGCCGCGGCCCAGTGCTCGCCCGTGGCGCTCAAAATGCCCAGCGCGGAGCTGATTGTCCCCATGAGCGTATCCGGCTGCGTCGCCCGCGCCACCTCGGGCTCTGCTTTGACGCAGTACAGGAGCGTTAGCACACTGAGAACCAGTCCATGCAGGCTGATCCAGTTGTGAATGAGCAGATTCTGCCGGTACATTTGGTCCAGGATCTTGATGCTCTCGGTGGCGCTCTTCTGGCATCGCACCAGGGCGTCGGCGGTCGGCTTCGGAATGGCAGGGCTTGGTCGAAGGAGAAGCAGACACAGCACGTGGTAGCGGAGCCGGCATACGAGCTGCATGAACTCGTTTGGATGTTGGCCATCTGATGGTATATTTGCCAGCCAGCCGTCTAGTTGCCGCAGCACATTGTTTTGCCAACCGTGTATGTTTGTTTGCGGTGGATACGCATATCGAGGAGCCTCTTGGACGATGCTGTTGGCGACATATTTAATTTCAGAGTTGATTTTTGTAGCGCGAAATAAATGAATCGAGTACGCTATTCCCAGAGTTCTCGTACTCGAGGAAGAAGTCTGAAGCGGGGTAGCGAGCATGGCGTCTTCGATTTCTTGCGGCAACTGTCGAGGTTAGTCTGCTACTTATTCAGCACCGGGGAACTTACTCGTAGCTCGCAAGCTTCGTCGCGAAGGCCAATTGGCCGGCCCATGATCGTGCATACTGTTCTGTCTAAAAGAATACAGTTCCAGAAGATTCTAGTTCTCATTTCTTGCTCCAGCAGCGAGATTCCAGACTCGACAGTAATGTTTCTCTGTAGCCCCAAATCCAACACTGCTGCCAAGCACTGGTAGTTTAGGTACCACACATTGAATCTTGTACAAGGGCTATGCAACGCAAATATCGAGAGTAGCAACAAGCATTGCAGTCCTTGGATTGAGTTTTCGATGTTGATTCGCGAAAAGACCTCCAATGCTGCCAGACAGTACGAATCACTCGGTAATCGTACCTTTGAGCGCATGGATAATGCTATGGCACCGATTGCAAGGACCATAAACACTTGAAACGTGATGACAGGATCCACATTATCATTCTGGTATATATGCTTCACCGCGTCCAGGGTTGTCTGGTAATGCAAAATCGGGTACTGTGGATGGATGAACTCGAAAAAGGCGTCGCACATCCGTTGGGCCAGTGGCTTCGGTGGGAGGGGAAGCGGGCCAGTGCAGGACTCAATGAGCTCTCCTGGTATATCGGTATAAATGTTTTGCATGTCGGTGCCGCTGATAGGATCACGACCTTTGCTCAGCATAACTCGTGCCAGAAAGTAACCACTTGATGGACCAATGTACCGCGAGTCTTGGCTGGCACCAAGCGACAGCATGCCAATTTCATGAGCAGACGCGCTATTCCCAGTTAATACTTGTTCCAAGGCTGGCCGAGGCAGCTGGCTAATTATATCAGGTTCTGTAATTGTCTGGGGAGCGTCGGCAACATTTGTATTGATGCCGTTGTTGGGCTCCAGCGTGGACATGTCCAGCATAGCCGGATCAATGCTCTGCTGCGGCTGTCCAGTTTCCAGATTCACGTCAGGACATCGCTGTCGCACAATCGACTCCAGCCATGCTATACGGGACTTGAGACTGGAGATTTCGCTATGACCGTTTAGCGGTCGCCTGCTCCGGAGTCTCTTTCACTCACGCCCGAGGCAGGTCTTTCAGACGCGTACTGAGACCATCTTTGCATGCAGCACCGGCAATCCTGCAGTTTTTGCAAGTCGGCAAGTCGCCGTCGCACTGCAAAATTAGCAAGCCGCGTTGTATAGCGCCTGTGCTGTTCTTACACGAATTTTTCGCCGCTGGCAGCGCAAACACGCAAGCTTACCCCGCGATAGTCGCTCGGAGTCGGTCCGCCTTCGAGGTGTGCTCTGGTCTACAGGCATAGTTTAGGCGTCAATAATGATGAGAGAGCCGACCATGGATCGACGGAGAGTAGTGAGCTCCCTGTCAACGGGTAGTGTCTGACAATGACGGATAAATGCCGTTAACGTAATACGGTGCACCATTGATACCCACTTTTGCAAAGTTGCTCTTTGGTTTCGCATCTCCACCCAGAACGGCGGTAAATAGCCGCAATACAAAAAGTACCGATGTATTAAAATGGCATCCGCTCCATTCATCCTAACCTGCAAAGAAATATAATGTGGAGAGAATACATACAAAATCGCAGGATCGACCTTGATCTTTTGGAAAATCTACAAGCATGACCTTTAAGCAACCGCCGCAAGAGCGGTGCCATGTCGCGGCAACCGAAGCTCAGCGTCTCGTCGAGGACATCCTCAAAGGCAACGGCGTCCCTGTCGAAAATGCCACCATCGTGGCCAGGGGACTCATTGCGGCTGACCTTCGCGGCGTCGACACCCACGGCATGAATCGCATCCCTTCTTACATGGAGCGCATCAGACAGGGCGTCCTCGACCACACAGCCACGCCGACTCTCACGCAAGTCACGCCAGTCGTGGCCCAGGTCGACGGTCACAATGGCTTCGGCTTCCTGGCTGCCCACATGGGCATGGCGGCGTGCATCGAGTCGGCAAAAACATATGGCATCGGCATGGCCAGCATCAAGCACTCGAACCATTTCGGTATGAGCGCCTGGATCGTGCAGCAGGCCCTCGACGCCGACATGATGAGCCTCGTCTTTACCAACTCGAGCCCGGCCCTGGCGCCCTGGGGTGGTCGGAGCAAGCTGATTGGTGTCTCTCCCATTGCGTGCGGCGCGCCTGGAAAGGATGCGTCGTCGCATTTCATCCTCGACATGGCTCCGTCGGTAGCCGCCCGGGGCAAAATCTACAAGGCGAAGCGGCGCGGCGAAAAGATTCCCCCAGACTGGGCGCTCGATGCCGAGGGCCGGCCGACGGATGACCCCGAAGCGGCTCTAAGTGGTGTCATGCTGCCGATGGGAGGACCCAAAGGGTCGGGCCTGGCCGTTATGATGGACGTCTTTTCGGGAGTCTTGTCTGGCTCGGCATTTGCAGGGCATGTAACCGGGCCTTATGATCCATCGAAGCCGGCAGACGTCGGTCACTTTTTGCTGGCGATCAAGCCGGATCTATTCATGAGTCTGCGAGAATTTCGCAGTCGCATGCAGTATCTCTACGACAGAATTACGGGTTCCGAAAAGGCCGCTGGGGTTGACCGCATCTACTTTCCTGGCGAGCCGGAGCAATTAGCTCAGAGCGAGCGCGAAAAGACGGGCATTCCTCTCGTGCAGGCCGAGATTGATGCTCTGAATGCAGAAGCCGAGAAAGTCTCAGTAGCACCAATGGCTACTCTGTAAGACGTGGTAGTCTTTTATCGGCTTCAAATGAAATCACTCATGTGTATAATAGATGATTGCAAGTGATAATGTCTGTCGCTCAAGCGCGATTTTATAAACTCGGCATGACTTTACGTATTTCACGCCCGGATGCTCATCGCAGCCTTCTCGTCTGAGCTAGCCCGCGTCACCATGGGTAAATCGCTTTCCTCGTCGCTCTCAAGCACCTCTGACCACTTCTTCCGTGTCTCCGGAACCGGTGACAGCTTGCACAGTAGCAAGTAGATGACGGACGAAACAATAAAGCCCCCGAAAAAGTTGACGTTGAATATGTACGTAGCGCCAATGGGCACAGTAGCGCCGACTTCGCCAGCGAAGCCAACGACATTGATGAGGATACCCGCGACATATGCTGCATACGCGCGCCAGTGGACGCCAAAAGTGTAAAAGTATGGTCCGAATCTTCGCGCAGTGTATAGCTCTGGAACATTGAGGTATCCTCTGCGGACGAGATAATAATCGGTTGCAATGACACCGGCCATGGCGCTCAGAAAGATGGCGTAGGCAGACAAATATGTCAAGAATGTGTTGGAATCTTTGAGAAGAAGCCAAGGACATAGGACCAAGCCAACAATAGCGCAAACATAGCTGCCACGCCGGATATTCAGGTATCGTGGTAGAAGTGCAGTCATGTCCGTGCCAGCCGAAACAGAGTTGGCCGCGATATTTGTACCAAGCTGGGCTAGGGCAAAGGCAAAGGCAATGACAAAGATGCCAAAGCGCTCACCTGAGCTAGCGCCTTCAGAAAGTCTTTCGAGTAAAGAAAGAGGATCCCAAATCGGCTCGCCGTAAATGACGGCAGAGGCAGAAGACACGAGGATGCCGACCAAGGAGGTGAATGCAAACGACAGCGGCAAGCTGATGAGCTGCGACCACAGAGCGTCTCGGGGCTTGCGGGCAAATCTAGTAAAATCCGAGTCATTTATGATGACGGTCGCAAAGTTGGCAATGCACGACATGACACCCTTGATAAATTCCCACGCCAGATTGCTGCCTTGCAAGTCTCCCGGGCGCGACACCACGGGGCCCATGCCACCAGCTTTGACAGCGACCCAAATCAGATAGGCAATGGCGGCCGGAGGAACAAAGTAGGCTTTTAGGGTAAAGAGGTGGCGAATCTTGTAGACGGGAAACCAAAGCGCCGGTAAAGAGCAGAGCCAGAATATGATGAATGAGGCAAAGTCGGCAGTGGTTGTGCCGCTGCTGAGGGTGTTGGGAATAATTTTGCGGTCCCACGACGTCCATATTGCGTGAATCATGAGATAGACGGCGTGTCCACCAATATAACAGTTGATACCATACCATACGCATGCTTTTGAAGGCCTGTCAGTTAAAATCTGCAAGGGTGGCACTTGTCAGCTGCTCACCCATGACTACACGGTTGAAGACGGGCCACAAGCTGCCCCAGATTCCAAACGAAGCACGGCCGAGGACCGGGAAGCTAACGTGGTACACGGCCCCGATGCGGCCGGTGAGCACGATGAAGATGGCGGTAGAGCCGTAGCCGAGCCAGACGGCCAGCCATGCTTGCCACCACGACAGCCCGCCGACAATCATGGACGAGGCAATCATCCACGTGGCAATGTTGAAGGCGTCTGCGATCCAGAAGCTGGCAAAATTCCAGCTGGTCCATTTGCGCTGGCTCTTTGGCACCGGTTGCAGGTCTTTGCTCGCGAGCTTTTCGCATCCCAGGCACATGGGGGTTTGTTAGCAAACTGCACAAACCAAGATTTTTCGCGTGCTCGAATCTGCGGGCGCATGCGCTTGTTTCTTATTTTATAATAAAACGCAAAATATTTCATATTTTCATACCATGAGTTGCACACCAGACACACCGGGTTCCCCATCGACGACGAGTTTGCCAGCGAGTTGCGAGAGCAGCACGCGTATGCGGACCATGATTGTATGCTGCTGACCTTGTTTGAGCAGCGAGTGCTAAATACACCTCGATGCCTCGCAGGAGAGAGAGATGCAGGAGAGCAGGCCGCACCCTTGGCTTTGATATAAACCCTGTCACGCCTGTTCCACCAATTCAATGCTGGTGGCAAGGGACTGACTGGATGTGTGGGTAGTTTTTATCTCCCTACCCATGTAAATTTTAGTCTAGTCTCGTACTAGTTGGTGCATATGATATGTACGTGGTACACTGACAGCTTCAGGCGGTGCAGCGCAGCGCGTGTTGCTAGTGTCCATAGATGTGGTGCGGCTGAAATGAGTGGGTTGATAAGTGTTGCAGGTGGTAGATATATACGTGATGCGGAACGGGGGTGGCCAAGCAAGGGCCAAATTGCAGGGTTTCTATAACTAATATTACCGGCATTGGAGACAGTCCAAGCAAGACCCGGGTTGCCGGGCTGGGGTCATTCGAGTGACCATGTCGGTTCAGCGCTCCGGCTGATCGGCGAGCAATTGGGCGCCGCGCTGGTCGGACACATACCGGCCAAGCTTTCGGCGAATTCAATGTCGTCTTGGCCGGCTAAGACCTTATTAGTGTTTCCGATAATTTATCATTTCGTCTTCCCTTCCTCCATGTTTCTTATCTAGGCTGCCAAGCATTTCTCTCCAAGTATGGGTACCCCGGTAATTATGTACATATATATGTGAGCATCTTATCAGCGACCATCACTCCCCCGCAGTTGAGTCAAAAACGAGGTCAAGAACAAAAGAAAACCTAGCTTTTTAGGTCAGTTATTAGTTGAGCTGGCTGATTTCAATAACTGAGTAAAGCCCGAAAAGAGCATAGCCTTAGGTGACTTTATAGTCGTATTTAATGCTAAAAGGGCTAACAGTATCGGCGTGCGCCGGCTCAGGAACCGCTGCTGAAGCCCAAGCAAGCCCCCCCAACTAGAGATAAGTTCCCGTCTACTACATGGCTATCAGGCCTCCACTTCACGAGCTACCTTGTGTAGAATCCTCTTGTCTGTCTGTAATGCAACCCTTATCAGAGTCCGTCCGGACCGCCAACATGGAGCTACCGCCACGCCAGCGCGGGGCCTTCCGGCTTACACAGGGGCCAGCGACGATCTAAATAATTAGCTCACAGTGAGGTTGTCTTTGCAAAGGGCCTTCCTGTGCCGTGTTTTTGCTTTGAGTTACACTGCGTGACTGCTACCTACTTACTCCGCACCTTCAGAGAAAGGCCAACTACCCCGCGCCGACCGCAATCGGAGACGTCCATCGACAGCCACCCTTCCACGCCAAACGTCTAAGTTTCACTGCAAATTTAGGCGCTGTCGTTCCTTTTCTTTTTTTTCTTCTTTTTTTTTTCCCACTCCTCCTCTCCTACATTTGGGCGAATATATAGGCGGGCAGCGATCGTGAGAATCCCGCGCCTTCACCGGCGTCCTCATCCATCCATCTATAAAGATTCCCCTCTGGTACCCGCAACCTTGTCCCGTGTAAGCTAGACTTTCACCACCACGACCACAACCGTGAGACAGACCAGCAAAAACCCTCCAAGAATGGCCAGGCTCGGCGTGCGGCTCCCCCGCAAGCCCGCGTTCCTCCAT